TCTCCACCTCCCTCCAAGGCCAGACCCCGCCCTATAAAAGCTTGCCCTTATCCCCCAATGGGTGTGAATTCTCCCACCCCCAAGGGGGTTGGCAAACCTTGCCTGGAAGCGCAATAAATTTCCTGCCTATGAGAAACTTAGCCTGGCTTTCCTTTTCTTTACTGCACCAATCCTTTCAGTTATAATAGCTGCTTCCGCATCTTTGATAATTCCAACATCTATGTCATCGTAGATTAGCATGTGTTGATATTCTTTTCCTTAAGAGAGTCCAAGTATTTCCTGCTTCTGTACTTCTGGATTATATCCTGGACATTTTATTATGTAGACTCTAGGTCCTATTAATATCCTCTGGAGGTTATTTAAAAATTTTTGTTTTATTAGGCAACTGACTTGATCAGGCACGGATCATAAATTCTCATTTTCTGTGGCACTGGTTCCAATTTCAGGCCCTTGCAAAGCCTGCTATGCTGTCATTAGTCTGTCCCCCTTGGGGGTTGTCTGTGACTTGGCCAGCAAAAAGTTTTGCTTTTTGGTTTTGTTTGTATCTTACTTCAGTTCTTAAAGCTATTGCTTTGCTGATTTGGGCCTGTCAAATGCAGGCAAGACGTGGTTGGGTTCACGCACAGAATTAAGGAACCCTGCTTTCCAGCGATCCCAAATCCACAACTCACCCATCCCCCCTCCCCCCTCCCCCACCCTTCCATGCTCCCACTCCCACAGATAAACATAAGCTGTTATTTTTCAAGGTCTTCACCTTGATTCTTCTGGTAAGAAGATGGGGATTTTCTCTTGCGTTTTGACTGTCCCTATGTCATAAGTGGAGCCTGCCTTTGGGGAAAAGGCGCAAAAGGAGAACAGGATTCCTAACACTCTCTTCGGACTGCAGGACCCATTTTCCAGACCTTCTTGCCGTAAAAATAAGTTTTCCATTGCCACTTTGGCCTCTGGCACTGTCCCAGCATTGCCTTCAGGTTATTGAAGCCACTGAAGAAATCTTGTGCTTCTGACTCTCCTTCACAAGTCACCTGCTTTTGTTTACTTTTCAGAGCCTTTAGGCAGCTGCTCTTTGCATTTTATCCAAAGTTATTTGTGAGCAGTGGAAAGAAGTTGTAGTGGGCCTACTCCATCTTGGATGGGACTGGAAGCCTGTGTGCCCCAAAAGAGAAGGGAGCATGTCGGGTTTTACCCCTGACCTACATGGTTCTAGCACATGGTTAGGCACTCAAACTCATGAATTTTATTTTTCTTTTAACAATTGCACTTTTGGGCCTCCCCGGTGGCGCAGCAGTTGAGCGCTGGGTTGCGAAGCTGCCCGCGGCCTCTGCGGCGCCAGTTCGATCCCCGGCTGCTCCCCGGCCACCGGAGGAGGGTCCCACATGGCGCGCAGACCTCTCCTGCCGCCCGCTGCTCCCCTCAGCAGTGTACTTCGGTCCTTCTGCCTGCTCTGCTCCCCGCTCTGGCTCTGGTGAATTCTCTCACCCTCCCGCGCTTCTGACTGTACCCAGTGCATGTATAAACAAAACAAACAAATAAATAAATAAAACATGCCCCTATTAAAAAAAAAAAAAACAATTGCACTTTTTATGACTCAATTTCTTTATAGAAAAGCATCTTATCAATAACTCTATGCAATTAATTGACAAAAACAGCTTGATATAACCAAATTCCTTCCTGACTGATTCAGAAGTTCACTGCGCTGATCCAGGTGTCTAAGGGCTGCTGTGACCTATCCTGTTAGGAATCCTCTCACTGTTAGGAATCCTCTCACTGTAATGGTGTAATGGAAAGGGTGAGGTCTTTGAAATCAGAAATACACTACTTGTATGATTCTGGGTAAATCACAATCTCTTGTCCTCTCTCAATGAGCTGAATACTATCTATTTCTTTTAGTGCTCACAGCTAGAGAAAGTGGAGTCAAATTTGAGAATAGACAACTGAAGTTGAGTTTACTGGACATCATGCCATCCCTTTTGTATACTAACAAAACAAGACTTCACACTTCACAGTGGCTTATACTCCACTATTTTATACTTATCATCTCAGTTTGCGGTATGTTTGAGTAACTTTCTTAAAATACTTTCTGGAATGAGGCAAAGTGTAAATAAATACATATGTATTTTGCCATTATGGGGATTGAGATGTCTGTATAATTCCTAGAGAAAGGTATGGCATTCAATTTGATAATTTTTTTTTTTTTAAATTTTTTTTTTTTTTTAATAGAGGCATGCTTTATTTATTTATTTATTTGTTTGTTTGTTTTGTTTATACATGCACTGGGTACAGTCAGAAGCGCGGGAGGGTGAGAGAATTCACCAGAGCCAGAGCGGGGAGCAGAGCAGGCAGAAGGGCCGAAGTACACTGCTGAGGGGAGCAGCGGGCGGCAGGAGAGGTCTGCGCGCCATGTGGGACCCTCCTCCAGTGGCCGGGGAGCAGCCGGGGATCGAACCGGCGCCACAGAGGCTGCGGGCAGCTTCGCAACCCAGTGCTCAACCGCTGCGCCACCGGGGAGGCCCTCAATTTGATAATTTTTATGGAAAGTATGTTCTGTTATCACATTGCTAATACTTGATTTTAAAACGGAGGAAAATTTTTATGGCTTTAGAGGTCCTATCTTCACCTGGTTTTACCGCAGAGCTTCTTTGTACATATTAATAATGAGCATAATCTGGTATTTGGAAAGATCAGGTAATGGAAGCACCCGGCCTTTAATTGGCTACACAATACTGAGTATATTTATTGTCACTTCTCCTCTTTGTTCCTCAACCCCAGATCTATAAAAGGAGGAGGGAAGGCGCTTGATGATGGCAGGCCTTTATTTTTTTTTGAAGCCTATGCACCCATTAAGAAACAGGGTAAGAGGATACCTGTCCACGCTGTTTGGAAATTTCACTTCTTATATCAATATTATGTGCACACGCATGTGTATCACTTATCAGAATCAACTTCTAGATTTTCCCTGGGGGTTGTTCTTGTCTAGGGTTCTCTGCTTCAGCTTATCCTTCTGGAGCAATGCTATACAATAGCGACATCTAGTGACTCTTGCTACATATGCATCCCGCAAAAATTTATGGCCAATTCTTAGTCCTCTAAATAATGGGATTCTTGTGGCTTAGCTAAACACTTTGAAGTCATTTATCTCTTCTCCCTATAGATTTAAGAAATACCAATTAAATTTGACAGTTGCATTAACAATTGGATATCTTCTAACAGAAATGACCCAGAAAGAATGATGATGCTTACAGACCAAAATGCAAACTGATCTAAGTGAGACTGCAACATTCTTCCTCCCTTTAAATAATGGCAAAACTGCGTCTTGAATTCAGAAGCATTTCACTACGTAGTCCATGCCTCTTTGCTAGCCTCTACACCATACTGACACCCAGTAGCCATTTGTTAAATGACTGTTAGGGGAAGTTCAGGCATCAATATCCATGTAAACATGCACTGCTTCAGGATCTCTGGAACCATGCTCCCTTTCAGACAAAGAAGGTTTTTTCAATTTACATACATACATTTACCAAAGTACCCACCCCATTATAGTACCCACCCTATCAAAATAAAAACAACTACAGTACAAGTCTTTCAGAACAAACGAACTTGGGAGCTATATCCACAGAAACCATTCTATATAAAGAACACTCAAACTAAATCCTTTTTTAAAAAGTAATAGTAACTGGCTGATCAGAAGACAAGTCTGAGCTCAACTGCTGCTATAATTCAAATTGACCATCACTTTTAAAATTCCTATTGTGTTTAGTGTCTGTTCTCAGCATTATCTTGAATTTTTGTTTTTTTTAGGGGCGAACATCCTGCTTCCACAATAAAGTAAGAAGGTATTTCAGGGTCGGAGCATTTCCTTAGCACCATACACAGTAATTTTTCTCACCTATGAAGTTACCACAACTTACCCGACCCCCAGAATTTCCACCACATGCCATCAAACCACCTGTCGGCTTTCTCTCTAGTTCTGACCCTACATTTCAGTCAATTTGCTAATTATACTCTCTGCAATATTTATTTTCCTTGATTTGCCTAGAATACCCCACTCTGCCCCATGTATCTTCTCATGTAGATGATACCTGGTTGCTTAAGGGTCACTCCAAGTAAAGCTCCCTGTGCCATGAAGCCAGAAGTCTTCCCTTTGTGAATGCCTGCATTGTCCTGTCACATGCTCTGCCTTCCTTTTGCCTCTCTGGTTATCTTCACAGGCTGCTCCTCTATCCATCCCGTCAATGTTAGGGTTCCTCAGGATTCCTCCCCGTGCCCCTCTCTAGAGTTACTCTATGCTCACTTCTTAAGAAATTAATTTTATTCCCATGGCTCCAAAAATCACTGAGTGCTGATGAGGCTGGCCTTGATATGCTCTTGAGACTGCAACTAGCACATTTAACTACCAGACCTCTCTAAATGGCTCCCTTTACAAGCATCTTATGCTCTCTGTATATACCACTGAGCTCAAGACCTTTCTCCATCAACTCTTTTCTTCAGGAATTTCCTATTACAGAGAACTAAGCCACTCTCTACCCTCCTTCTCCTTCCCTGCTGATATCCAGGGAGTTATTAAATCATGTTAATACAATTACATGCTACTAAATGACAGCTACTAAATACTTAAAATTCTCTTCACTTCTCATCATATAACTTGCCACTGCGTAAGACCAGGCCATAAGCACTTTCCCCCTAAACACTGCAGTGGCTTTCGACTGTTCTTTGCTCCTCCAGACTCGGTCCTTTCCAGTGCAATTTCCGCAGTGCAGAGGAATCTTCCTGCTTAAAATGTAGGATGTTGCTTATGGCAACTTCCTGCTTAGTATTCCTCAATGGCATCTCATGGAAGAAAAAAGTGCAAACTCCAAACACACAGTTTACAGAATCCTTGGTAAGGAGGGTCAGCCTTGGCCCTATATCCTCACCATAGCACTCACCCCATTACAGCACCCACCCTATCAAAGCGTCCACCCTTTCACCGCACTTGTTCCTTTGATTAGGCAGACACTCACCCGGAGCCAAAGGCATCTCTGGCTCTTTGCTCCCCTCCTTGTGGAGGATTAACTCTCACAGGGCTATGGAGGCTCGTGTGGTGTATGAGAGAGGGTCCAGGAAACGCTTCTTGATGACAGACTTGGGGCTCCCATCTACTTCCCTACTATATTAAATCCGTACTGTTTTCATAATCACTTCCAGGTTCTCTGAATTACCTAGCACAGTAGGTGGTAGATAAAGATTTAAATCCCTTAACTGTTGGATTTTAAAACAAACACAGAAAGGTTTTGCCTAACAGTCTAGAGTCAGTAATTACTATCTGGAAATTTTCCTTTGATACCACTTCAGATATTATATTACTACAAAAGAGCAAAGAGGTAAACCACTACAGTGGAAAAGATGGGACTTATTGTCATAACACTGTGGTTAGAGATTCTGACACTTACTAGGGATGTATCCTTGGTCAAGACCCTTAAACTCTCTGAGACTCAGTTTCCTAATCTGAAAAAAGTAGTTACAAAATCTAATGAGAAAACAAAATAAAATCACAGCACAAATGTAATGGGCAATCCAATGTGTACATTATTGCTATTTGAATGAATCCAAATCAGGTCTCCCTGTCACTGGTCATCCCAGCTCTGGAGACAATAGGACCTCCAAATTTTATCCTTCATCTTCACTTTACCATTTAAGAGGTAAACTTTTGTACTTTAATAAACACACACTGATGTAAATGGTTTGGAAAAAAAACCCACAAAAATATGCCAGGAAATTTAACAGGTAAAACTTAAAAGGACAAGAGATAGAAGTCCCAGGCTACGAAAGTCTAGAATCTGGTTATATGGACCTTCCCAAATCAGTCCACATCTTATATGTTACCTGGAAGGGCAGACAGCACACAAGAGTAAGCCACTGAACTGTTTCTCAGTGAAATGATAAACCACTAAGCTGGCGTGTCAGGAAATCCAGGTTCGAGGAGCAGTGTAGCTACTGTCTCCCTAACACCCAGCTATTCTACCACCCAACACTCCGGAGCATCGGTTGCCTGGTCCTTTTGATGCCTATGACCTTCTCTTTCTCCCTAACTCAGCCACTCACTTGCAAACCACAACTTTGTGAAGACCTCTCAGTCCTGCCTGTGCTTCACTAATATTGCTACAGACAGAATGTTCACTCCCTCAAAATTCCTATGTTGAATCTTAAACCCCATTGTGATGACCTCAGGAAATGAAGTCTTTGGGAGGTGAGGACAGAACCCTCTAAGTCAGGAGGACAGAACCCTCGTGGATGGGATTAGTGTCCTGAGAGCTCTCTCACCCCTTTTCGTTATCTATGAACCAGTTACCGGGCTCTCCCCAGACACTATAACCGTGAGCACCTCGATCTTAGACTTCCCAGCATCTAGGAATATAAGAAATAAATTTCTGAAGCCATCACAGTTTGTGGTATTTTTGGTAAAGCTACCTCAATGGGTTAAGAAGACAAGTATAACTGCCGTCTTTAATACCTCCTACTCAAAGAGTCCCCCTTCTTTGCTCTTACTGAGCTCGCCTCAAATCTAATATTTCATTGAGACACAGAATATCAGATGCTTTCATCATCTGATCACTGAATCTACCTGATCTCTTCTTATACTACTTTTCTTCCTATCACTATAAATTATATGCTTATCTTCATAAGCCAACAATTCTACATATCCCCTGGATCCCAACCCTTATTGTTTTCTCAAAGACTGCTCTCCTGGAGTACTGATGTCCCACTACCGTAAAGTATAATGTTCCTGTTTAGTATAATTTCGTAGATTATTTTTTGGACCGGGGAATTAAGAAACTTCCATATAAGAAACTTCCTCTGGTGGCGCAGGTGGTTGAGCGCCGCACTGTGAGGCTGTCCACAGCCTCTGCAGTGCCGGTTCCATCCTGGCGGGCCGGCAAGGGTCCCACTTGACACAGAAGACCTCTCCTGTCTCCCCTGCTGCTCCCCTCAGCAGTGTATTTCATCACTCTGCCTGCTCTGTTCCCTGTCTCTGGTGAATCCTCTCACCCTCCCGCACATCTGGCCTGTGCCCTGGTTCTTGTATAAAATAAAAAAAGAAATATTAAAAAAAGAAACTTCCATATAAATTAACCATAATAACATTCCCACATTAAAAAAACAATCTGCGAAATTATACCAAAGAGGAATGTTTACTTTTGTTTTTTGTTTTTTTTTTTTTTTTAAAGATTTATTTATTTATTTATACAAGCACTGGGTACAGTCAGAGGCACGGGAGGGTGAGAGAATTCACCAGAGCCAGAGCGGGTAGCAGAGCAGGCAGAAGGACCGAAGTACACTGCTGAGGGGAGCAGCGGGCGGCAGGAGAGGTCTGCGCACCATGTGGGACCCTCCTCCGGTGGCCGGGGAGCAGCCCGGGAATTGAACCAGCGCTGCAGAGGCTGCGGGCAGCTTTGCAACCCAGCGCTCAACCGCTGCGCCACCGAGGAGGCCCAGGAATGTTTACTTTTGGATAGTGCAGGAAGCCTGTATCTTTTATACATTCTCTCTCATAACTTTTTCCCCTCTTTCTACTACATCATGTGCATTAACCTAAAACATACTAAGTCTCCTCATCTTTCAGAATCCCACATATTCCTCTTCCTCCATTTCTCATCTCTTCATCGATAGTAAAATATCTTCAGTGTCTTCAGTGCTATATCCATTTTTCACACATTTCCTCATCACTGTGTTTGCCAAAATCCAAGTATTCTCAGCATGTTTCAATACCATTAGTCACGCTTTGTCGTCTTGGCTTTCAAGTACCCATTCTCTTTGCATTTCCTTCCTACTTCCCAGCTAACAGCTGTCTTTATAAGATTCCTTGAAAGAGCCAAACTCTTTCCTACTTTAGGGTTTTTGCAATTGGAGTTTCCTTTACCTGCACTGCTCTTATCCCAAATATTGCCATGGTTGGCTTTTTGATATCACTGGGGCCTCAGCACAAGTGTCAGCTCTTCAGACAGGCCTTCCCTAACCAATCAAAGCAACCCCCTCCCCTGTCCCTCTTCCTTTACACTGTTTTACTTCTTCACTGCGCTTACTCAAAATCTCCTGCTTCATATATTATTTACCTTTTCATTTTCTATCTTCCTTCACTAGAATTAAAGCTCCACCAAAAAAAGTATCTTGCTGGTATTTCTTACCATGTTATTCATAATGTACTAGATTCCCTAAAAAAATTTCATGCATGTCTGTCCCTGAGCAAGTAACTTGCCAGACTCGCCTCTGGGTCCAGGGTACACAAATGGGACCGGGGCATGCTCCTGGAGCATCCTGCGTTCATCCCTTCGACAGAAATTTACCAATGCATATTACACCCGATTCCAAGTGCTGATCAGAATCAGTGTTTCGTTCCCTCTTCAGTAAAAGCGAGTCTTGCTAACCAGGCCTATCTATCTCACACAAGTGACTAACAAGCAAGCACAAAACGAGGCCGCAGTAAGAATGTTACATCATCGACCAAGGCACCGGCCTCTCCTCCTGTGTGGCGATCGGCACGCCATGAGGAAAGGCGAGTGGGAGCCGACAGCAAAGCAGCACCCCTTCCGGGAATCCCAGGGGGCCACGGGCACGAAGACCCTTTGCGCAGGCGCACGGGGACCCACACCTGACCTGTTCCGGGGCGTCAGCAGTGCTTAAGCCGGTCGCCACCCTCCGGGGCCCGGATAATCATATTCACTCCGACTTCCGCAGCGCCGCCCCGACGGGCTGCGCCCTGTGGTGGTCGCAAGAATGGCGGGGCGCGGCGGGGACCCGGGGTGGGGCCGCGGGGGGTGCGGGGCCCGGCCGTGGCGGGGGGCCTTCCCGGCCGGGCCGCCGTCGGGGCCCCCCGCCGGGGCCGGGCGCACGAGAGGGCCGACCCGCCTCCGGGCTCCGGGCGCAGCGCCACAGCGGCCGCCCGCGCTCCCCCCGGCGAGTACCTGTCCAGCGAGGCGGCGGCCGGGGCGGGGTCCGCCCGGGGCCGAGGAGCGCGGCGGGGGCGGCGGGGGCGCCCTCCGACGGAGGGGACGCTGAGGCGCGCCCCGCGGGAGGCTGGGACTCGTGCCGGGCCCGGGCGGCGAGCGCGGAGAGAGCGGCCCTGGCCTGCCGCTTCGGCCCTGCCGCAGCCGCGGAGCCGTCGGGCGCCCACAACCGCCGCGCAGCCCCTCGCGCCTCGGGAAACGCGGCGTGGGGAGCCCCGCGGGGCGGGGCCTGGCGGGCTGACGGCGACGGGGCGGGGCGGAGGCCAACGGACCGGTGGCCGCGGTGGGGCGGGGCCAACGTGGACGGGGCGAGGCCGACGTCGACGGAGCGGACGGCGGCGGGCGGGGCCAACGTGGACGGGGCGGGGCCGGCGGCGAGGGGCGGGGCGTAAGGAGTGGGGCGGGGCCCACGGGGCAGGGCGCGAAGAGGCCGCGCGTTTAAAAGGCGTGGTGGCCGCCAGGGCCCAGATGTGGCGCTCCCCGGGGGTGCCGGGTGCGTTCTCAGTTTTCCCACCCGTTCCGTTCGGCGTGGATGTTAGCCATTAGGTTGGAAAGTCCGGGACAGGGTTCGTCACAGGCCCGTTGGTCTGAAAGCGGCGTCGCGGCGCGCGGCGGGGCTCGGGGTCGCGGGCAGCGGACATCGTCCCCGCGCTCCCTCCGTGAGGCCCGGGCTGAGCGCGGCCCTTGCCTGAACGACTTTTGTCCGCAGTGGGCCCTCCCCGCCTGCCTCAGGGCGACACCTTCCGTTTCTCCGCAGGAAACGTCCTGTCTTTCTTCTGGTATCGCCTCTGCTGGCAAGGCCTGCTGTCTGAAATGCCTGCCACAGTTCACGCTGCCTTTAAAAAGTCTTGTTGACAAGCAAGAACGTGCCTCTAAGCGAGGGTAACACCTCGTGGTTCCTCTGGCTCCCAAGTCCCCGCTCTTGTTTTCCCGGGAAGGCGACTGCTCTGGAGAGACTTCGTGTTCCCTCCCAGCAGGGGTGGTCATCGCCAACAGGACTTGAGCAGAGACATCCAGCTGCCACATCATGTCCTTCAAAACCAGCTGCTTGCTGTGGACTTTCTCCTCTTGCCGAGGGCTTGAAGGGAGGCTTGGGATGGGTGGAAATTATACCATTACCAAACGCCCATGTCCCATCACAATGGTGTACGCTGGAAACTGTCATAAGCCAGTGTTACTGCAAAAAATATTTAATTAAAAAAGGAAAAGAGACATGAGAGAGACCCCTATTTAAGCAGCGTGTGCTAAGTAGGAGCAGGGCAGAGCCTTGAGACGGAAGGCTACGAGTCTCTGAGTGGCCCTCAGAAGAGATGCGTGATGAGCAGGCCAGCTTCATGAGGAGGAATTCAGTGTTTGTTTTCCCTTAAGTGCTGTGTTTTCTGTGTCTTCATTACAGCAGCTTGCCTGGCACTCGTTAAGATGATCCTGAGGCTGGCATATACTTTTGAAAATGCGCTATCTCTCACCCAGCGAACAGGAAGCGCCTGCAGATGTGAGTCGCAGGAAGCACATCAGAAAGCGGTGCAGAGGGCATCCTGATGGGGACACACCAAGATGGGCCAGTGAAATGGGACTCTGAGAGCTCATGACAGGATGGGGCCTGCCGACATCTGCGGAGGCTCAAGGGGAAGAACTGGTGAAGACTCTGCGTACTTTAAATTTTGGTGGGAGGAATCAACTACAGTAATTCAGAGAGAGGTAGCAAGAGAGGTAGACACTCAGAAGAAGCAGATTTGCAGGAAAGTGAGACATCAATGCTGTGGACGGTGTCAGGGTATTGAAGACCATCAAAGAAAGATGTGAAAACCAAGGCAAGCTTTGCGAGGCCGGAAGCTTCAACACGGGGACACTGAGGTAACAGAGCAGGCTGTTTGCCAGCAGGTCAGGGTAGTGGACTTGTTTTACCTGTCTTCATTTTAAATTGTGGTAGTACATTAAAGTGTATCTGTGTCTCTACAGATTAAGAGACACAGAGGTGTTTGAAATAAAAGCCTGGTAAGACCTTACCCCTCACCCCCAGCCAAGGAAGAGTAATGGCCAAAAATGCTATTTAAAGAAATAGCACGCTTTCAATTCTTACGTTTTAAGCTCAAACATCACTTATTTCAGTGCCCATCTTGACACAAGTAGGCTTTGCTTTGCTAGCAGCTTTCCAGCATTATATTTAGTAGTCTCTGTTTTTACCTCTAAGCTTGTGTAGCAGTCTCAAACTTCTTCATCTTTACTCTGAGGTTCAGCTTTCTGGAGAAGCCTGGGTCCCAGCAAACCAATAAGTATACTTCCAATTGGGGCCGTGATGAGGATGGCCAAAAACGCCACTGTCAGCACATCCATTCCGTAGTCTTCCAGCTGCTGCTCTCCGTGTGACCTTGCTGTGTCCAGAGCCACAGATCCGATTGCAGCCTGTCAATGTTCAAAGTAAACGTTGGAAACACAAAAAGATAAGCACAAGGACAAAGGGGAGTCATTTATCATTCGCAAAAGCAGTTGTTCCTTTTGCACAACGAAAACTGTTCTATTAGTCTTCTCTCAAATGTACTGCGGTTGGTTGTGATGATCTGAAAACTCTCCCTGCCCTGGCATGAGGAGAAGGACGATTCCTGTGCACCTATTTTCATGAAGGAGGATTACAAAAATGTCAGGCAAATATACTTCAAAAACCCAAGGGAAATACAACCTCATGATATTAGTCAAATATAACAAGACTCTAGTCGACTAAATACCTAAATACCTTCTGAATTCAAGATGAAATACACTTCTCATCTCATTGTTTTTTCTTTAGGGATTTGGAATTAACGAAGGACAAGATGGGAAAATGCAGCGATGCTTACTGGAAGATAATGATGTTTTAAATAAAAAAACCTAAGTGTATGGGTTGTTCTAGTGCCTCAACTAATGCTAAATATCTTCGAAATGTGAAGTTAATCTTACAGGAGTTGGTGAAATGTTTCATTTAAAATTTGTCTGCCACGGCCTCCCCGGTGGCGCAGCGGTTGAGCGCTGGGTTGCGAAGCTGCCCGCAGCCTCTGCAGCGCCGGTTCGATCCCCGGCTGCTCCCCGGCCACCGGAGGAGGGTCCCACATGGCGCGCAGACCTCTCCTGCCGCCCGCTGCTCCCCTCAGCAGTGTACTTCGGTCCTTCTGCCTGCTCTGCTCCCCGCTCTGGCTCTGGTGAGTTCTCTCACCCTCCCGCGCTTCTGACTGTCCCCAGTGCTTGTATAAATAAATAAATAAATAAATCTTAAAAAAATTAAAAAATAAAAAAAAAAATAAATAAAATTTGTCTGCCAGAAAGCCTTCCAAAAATTCTCATTTTCTTTCAGAGGCAAGATGCAATCTTATCAGTGTCCTTGGGAACATAACCCATGAGCCAGTCTTGCTATTCCCTAACTCCACGTAACACAGCATCAGCCTGCAGGTCACTGATACTGGAGAGGAGATAGCAGCGTGAGTGAGACAAAATGGCAGAGACAATGGCCGTCTCTGAATGCCTCTCTTCCCTTCCCTTCCCTGTAGCACTCCTGAGGTGTAGCCAAACACCCTGCTGTCCAAACAGAGACTATTTCCAGCCTTCTTTGCCAGTAGGTGACACCATTTATCTATGTCTTGGCCAATGAGAAGAGAGCAAAAGTGATAAACTCTTCTTGTAGCTCCTTCCATAAAAAGAAATGGACACTTGTACTTTTTACTTTTCCTCTCCTGTTGGGTGAGGAGTGGCAACAGCTTCTTCCAGGGGAAGGCACGCTCTGACACAGCGTTCACTCTGCAAGCCAGGATGCCCACCCCGCACTGCTGCTGAGAGGCATGAAAGGTAGCCCCAAATCTAGGGCTCCCTGTCATTGCAGATTACCCTGCGCCCTCCCGACCTCATCATTTCACGAATTCTTGGCCAGAAGTGCACAGTACTATGTCTGTGTCTCTTTGAGCTCTCTGTTGTGTGTGAGTGTGTACAGGTGTGTATGTTTTGGGGCATATAGGTATACTGAGTTATGATTTAGAGTATATTTCTTATAGATCATGGGAAGAATAGTTTCGAAAACACTATTATGGAAAAAATATCTAAGAAAGTCTCATTTCTTGTGCAGTGGCAAAAGGAGAAAGAAGAAACTTGTGTATAAGACTTGCTTTACAGAACATACATTGTTCAACACAAGCCAGACAATTTTTCCTCATTTAAAAAAGTGTTTTTGATAGCAGGGAAGTGCCATTTTTCAACGTTTAATGTTCAGAAATCCATCTTTCATACCAAAGTTGTTGGAGTGGTTATTTGGCATTTCCCTACTAAAGGTACCAGGAGTACTGTGGGGGCAGAAGATACTGCAGTGGGACAGGGGGAATGCCCCCCTCACAGTGCTGCATTGCCCTGACCTCACGGTGCTCTCAGCACCATGTCTCAGACACCTTGAAAAGTCTGATGGAACCATGCCCAAATGCACAGCCACACAAAACCTGTCATATATTATGGCCCATACACATCTCCCAAAGCTTCCTAAATTAAGAACATGTGATTTTCATCTATGAAAAAGGAAGTTACATATTGAACTAATTGCAACATAATCAGGGATATAGCAGTTAAATCTTGCTTGCTATAATTAGTCTGAAGATATATAATATAATCAGGCACATATTACATTTGCAACAAATCATAATCCATACAGTTCTAATTTAATTAGGAATTACAGGCATTCCGCCAAACACAAGGCCAGCAATTTCAAGCAGCTCTCTAACTGCCTTGTTCACTGGGGTGCACACATTCTGGGCCTTGTGACTGAGACTGAGACAGGCGCTTTAGCTAGTTTGAAAGTTCAACTAATCTAGGAAATCAATAAAGAATTTTCTGAGTTGTCCTTCAGTAAGTCATTCTCCATTATATATAAAGACTGTCATGAAGCATACTGAAGTAATTCCCAATCCTAAAATGGGTCACACTCCTTCTGTCTCTGCTCCCTTCTTGGAAGATAATGAGAGGAGTTAATGACTATCTTTGTGGAAGATTCAGAAAGTGCTGACTGACAAACATTCACTCTCCCAGCCTGCGACTGTTGTTTTCTAGTAGCGTAGGTATTTATTGGATTTTTAGTTGTACTTTGCTGCATTAAAGAAATTTAAATGAGCTATCATATTTGAGGAATCATTACATCAAAAAATTATTATAAAATATTAGTATTAATATTAGTATAACCTTGTTGCATAAATCAAACTTCAATTACTTATTTTTACCAAATTAGAATAAGCCCTCTTATTCAAAATTGCAAGGTCTCAATTAGAAACAGGAGTTAAATGGGAGGTATCCATCATTACCTGAACTGTGGCCTTTGGAAGCCATGCAAAAGAAATAAATATCTTTTCTTTTATGTTAAAACCAGCAAAACACACCATCAGGAATGTGGTCAAAATTCGTATCAACACTGCAATGCTGAGGGTGGTGACACAAAGACCTGTAAGAATTTTTAGAGAGAATGAAATACTAGAGGAGAAACTGCATCGCAAAGACACTGACTCAAGTAGTATCAAAAGAAGTAATCTAAAAAAATTAAAACAAAAATGGCATAATTTTCACAATATCAACTTTATATATCAATCACATCACTTGTTTTAAAAAATGTATTTTCCCTACATTAAAATCAGATATCATCCAAACATATTTGAATTTCTACAAAGGAGACTTGAATGTTATTTCTCTTACATTTTACAGCAAGAACCACACTTTCTTCCACGTGTTTATTGAACAAGACATTTATTAAATGATGAACTATGCGTGGCAGGACGTGAACCAGGTGCTAATACACAAACAGACAGAGTTTGCCTCATGAACTTCAGAGTCAGAGAAAGACAAACAGCTGACATAGGCCGTAGGACAAGTGCAGCGGAAGCACGCTGCTAAGAGGGCACAGGAGTGGAAAAATGAAGATTTTCCTCAGAAAGGTTGAGAATTCTTGATGGAGCACAAAACCAGGGGTGATAGTCAAAATATCTATCAGCCAGTGGGGAGTCTATCAGAACAGAGCTGACTGGGTCCTGACCAATCAGAAGTCACTGGTAGTCTGGGCTGTTTCTGGTGTACCTGGAGTCACTGCCCGTTCACCCCTGCTGACATGGACAGGGGTTTATTTCAGCCCTTTAGAACCCTTTGCCGACAAAGATAAGTTCATCCTGATGTGCAGGATTGTGGCTGACAGACCAAGAGAGACACAGAGAAGATGACTGCTAAGTAGGAGGGTGATTTACTAGTAAAAACCCTTAGACTTATGGTCTAAATAAACACGCCAACATATTTCAACTGAACATAAAAATCTGGTTCTAGCAAAGGGACTACTTTGAAATTCTCACCTACAGTTTCTGGTCTAAGAGACGTGATAGAGACCTCTGCTCCAATCAGCCCAAAGAGAAGGGGCTGAAAAATCTCCCAGACAACCGCAATAATTTTTCCAACCTCTGCCTGAAAGAAAAACACACAGACACATACATTTTTTTTTTTTTTTTTGGTGGGACCCTCGCCAGCGGCCAGGGAACGAACCGGCGCTGCAGAGGCTGCGGGTAGCCTCGCAGCCCAGTGCTCAACCGCTGCGCCACCAGGGGAGGCCCAGACACACACATTTTTATTATGTGAAGGTACGCGTACCAAGTATCTGATCGTTTGAAATTTGAATCAATTTGGCCTGAGAGAGGCTTCATTCCTGTGGCACCTATAAATAACAGGCTGGTGAGAAAAGAGCCAAAAATCCTGTGTACAGAATCTGGCGCATTAGTACTGGTTTGAAAAAATGGACTGTTATTATAAAGATGCTTATACAGTAACCTTAGGGGGATAGCTCCCAAATATATGATGCGTACTTGTATACCCTGTACACACCCCCACACTCAGTGTTGTCTTCACTTCAGGTGAACTCACCTTTCCGCTGGCCCAGCCCACGCCTGCGAGGAAAGCCATGACCAGGGTGCAGAGGCCCCCAGACCCGGGGAAGCCGAAATACCCGCTGCTGAACACGGCGACCACGGAGAGCCCCAGGGCCAGGAACGCCCGCTTCCACACAAGCTGCGCCTTGACAAGGAAACAGGCCTTAGCCCGGGTGTCGCCTGCCCTGGCTTATTTACGCCAGTGTTTTTAAAATTTTTATTATTTACATTGTTCAACTGATGTAAAGGTTTGCCACACTGTCTGTGTTTTAGGGTTACAGGATCACAACTCCTCAGAGGAGTGATCCCCATACTACCCTCCCCCACCAGACACCCACAGACTGCACCACAGCCCACTGGGCCCCTCCTACCTGGCTCCCACCCCCCGTTCCCCGACAGCCTCAATTCCGCAGTCAGATTTCTAGGACTTGCTTTGATTTACTTCTGTCAGTTCCTTAGTTCTCTGCACATTCCACATGGTGAAAACCTGGTGCTGACTTACTTGGCACCATCCACCCGTGCTGTTGTGAAGGGCAGGGGCTATTTCATAGCTGAGTGGTACCCCATTGTGTATACAGACCACATCTTGACCCACTCATATTTTAATAACCAACTTTTGCATATTTAGGACCGAGAGGAAAATAAACGTGGCACAGGTTCCCCTGGGGAACACCAGAGGACCAGCCACAAGCTTGCGCTCGGAGCCCACGGCGTCCTCACAGGAACGAAGAGCCCAGAAAGTCACTTTATGTCTTGGTTTAGTTGAGTGTTATGGATAACAATAAAATAAAGATGAGCAAAACAATAAAATATAATTTAAAACTAAGGCTAGCATATCTTACAGTGTTGGAGTTAATGGTACTTGTCTCACAACGACATTTGATGTGTGCAGAATGGAAACTAGAGAAGTCCCAGAACCGCACACACTAGCCCTCCTCATTCATCTGTGGACGGCGCTGACACCGCAAGGAGCTGTTCTACAATGCGGGGGGCATTCCGAACCACATCCTTCCCCTCGGGTTGGTGGGACATGTCCCACATGTTCTTCCAAGGACATTTTAGATAAGCACGACTTTCCCCCAGATTATTTCTTGTACCTGGTCACTGCTTGGAAAGTACTGAATGAAAAAGCCCAGAAGAGACCCAGCCGCCACTCCAATCACCACCTCCAAAACTCCTCTGAGCACGTTAAATGCCGTGGAGCCTTGAAAAGACACAAAAGGAAAACTCCAGAAAGAATTCCAAATCCCCAGGGACAGGCCTACTCTCACCATCAACATAAAGCATCTGGTGACATGGAAGAAGACGCGTACACGTGTTTCCTGCTCACCACATTCTTAAATACACGGGACACAAAATGTCCAATAAAATGGGCTTACAAAAAAGGTGCGCATGGTATTGGAGATAAAGTTCAAACAGGTGTAGGCTGCATCTGTGCATTCTTTTGCATGTTTACTTCATAAAAATGGAAGGGTCTAAGGAAATGTGAAAGATACAATTCATGATGCAGGTACATTTGTCTTCTTACAAGCACGGGCTGTGTGAATAGACAGGTCTAGTCTTCAAGCTGCCGTTTCTGAGTCTGATGTGTTCATAATCAACGTGTGTTGGTCTTGGTGGCTCTCATCGGTATAGGATAGAGTAACTTAAGGATTTGGCAACTAAAATCAAAAATCTTTTTTTACTACAATGAGTATAGGGGACTAACCCCTTCTCAAATGTTTATTTTAAAGGTAAATCTGAAATGAAATTATTTTTAAAACTCCTGTTTTAAAAACAGTCACTATTTGCTCCTTAGCTTTTTTGAAGCATCATAACGTAGAAAGAAGTAGAACCTATATTTCTCCCCACAGCCTAGAATTTGGAAAACTTTAATAAAAATTTGCTAGCATACTATGTAGGAAACTACATTAATATTGCTCAACACATAAAGCTCTCTCCACACCCTGTTCTAAGAAAAATCGCACTCACACTTGAGGTTTCCTGTTATTGTCGTGGAGGGCAGAGCATGCACCTGAGTGAGATGCAGCGCAGGGATGTCAGGCTGGAGCTGACGGGAGTAGCGGGCACAGGAGCTCCTTGGCCCACGGGCCTGACTGCAGGACACACACGTGCCAGGTGTGTCCTCCGGTCTCTCCAGGAAGGACAGAGGTGACGGGGCAGCTCTGGACCCCCATGAGCCCAAGATGCCCCAGCAGGCTGCAGACAGACGGTGCTAGACCAGCCCTTCTCTACCCTCCGGTCCCCACTCACTGGCATCCCCCTGGTTGGTGCCCTAACAGTGCAGTCCTCTCCGCCTGTCTTTGCAACAGGAAGGGGGCCTTGCGACAGTGGCATAACTAATCTAAGATGGAAGATGGTTCCATCTTGGTATTCAGGAAAACCTATTCATCCTTTGCGTGTCTTTTCCAAGGTTAAGCTTCCCCAGGTCACCCAGCAAGAGGCTGCTGCTGCTCTCTAAGTTTTGCCACTTTGTATCCGCTCAGTGCACCTGTCTTACACCTGAACAGGCTGCCCAGAGTGAAGATAGGAAGCCTCTATGCCTCCCGAGGGACAGGACTAACTCCTGGAGCTGGTTCCTCTACTTGAATTTGCCCTCTTAAAAATTATGCCAGGCTAAGGACACTTTAATCTAGGCCAAGGTGCCCATGAACTGGGGTGGAGTGTACCTGTGGAGAAGGCCATGCCCAGGCAGGTGTTGAAGCCAGTGATGGCCAGGATGTCATCGAAGCTGCCCGCAGCCATGAGCAAGGTGGGCACACCTTTTTCTATGCCGAAGCCGCCAGCCTGCAGAAGGAGCATGGACGGCACCACCACGGCTGGAGAGACGGCTCCTAGGACAAAACTGCGCAGGCAGGGATTTAGCCGTGCGACACTAACGTGCTCAATGTCAGCTCTGAAACCCTAAGAACCTCTCCCCGAGAAAGCATCCCGCTCTAGACAACCACCGTCTTGCAAATGGCAGCCAAGCACCAAACCAGAAGCCCAGAGGCACATGCACCTTCTACAGAGCCTCTCTTCAAAGCATGGCCGTGCACACGCTGCCCTGGGATAATGTGGGGCAGAGAGGCCCCGGTGGCTGAGGCCCCAGGAAGCTGCCCTTCAAAAGCTAAACCCTCTTAATGTGGAACTGAAAGAGTCCTGGTGTGTTTCAAGCACTCACAGGCTTTGTGGACTGAAGCCAGTGTGTGAGGCGCTCCATGGTGACTGGTGTGTAAACCAGACAACAGGCGACAAGGAGGAATGACAGGATGGGCAGGGACACCAGGGACAGCAGCAGCAGTGACAGCAGCATGGCGCCTACCAGGCCAAACACCATCCGGAGCACCTTGCGGAAAAGGCTCCTCCCCACGGCCAGCAGAGAGCTGCAATCGGGGCCTGCTCTCTGCTAGGAGGGGTGGCTCAGAGTGTTTAAATGACCTGCAGGCCACCCTGGAGAGTGACTGGGCCAGACCACAGGTGCAGCTGCTGACGGAGGCCAAGACTTCTTATTAATACTAAATTAATTCTTATTAATACTAAGTTCTCTCCAGGCACTTCTGTTACTTATTCTCATGACTTCTTGTCACCAGAGGTAAGAACCCACAGGAGATTGGAGACGCTCAGACTCTGAGGGCAGGCACTTGGGGGCGAGACGGCAGCAGGCTGGGGGGTGATGTGGGTCACTGTGTCCATGGCCCTGAGGGCAGGCTCCTGGAGAGGCCAGGCTCTCTCCCCAGCAGGGAACCTGGCATAGGTAAAAGCCCACACCTCCTCAATGGGTTGTACAACCACTGCCAAGTGGGGGCCTACATGGACATAAACTGAATTTTGAAGCTACAGTATTTCTATGCTGGAGTATCAGTACTTGTCATCTTGATGGAGCTGTCTGTTGTTTCTGGTGTCTTGTGGGCTGTGGTGTGGAGTCAGGGGCTATCCTCCGTGCCCTCCACAGACCTCACAGGGCAGGGAAGAGCCTTACCCCAGCATGAAGGCCCACCGCCACGGCAGGCCCAGCAGGAAGCGGGCCAGAAGCGCGGATGTGCAGGCCTCCACCAGACAGGGGCCCGCGGACAGCCTCACACAGACACCCTTCAGTCTCTTCAGAGCCTGGAGCAGAAGAGTAGACACCGCCCAGTCATGCTCAGGCCACCTGGGGTTAGCACCCGGGATGCCTTTCCTCCTGAAGCCACCCTGTACCCAGATCAGTGACTGTACAGGTGAGACTTTCTTCTTAAGCGGGGTACAGTTGACATGTGGGGTTCTGTTCATTCCCACTGTGCAACACACATCTTCAGATGCCCCATCTAAAAGTCATTTCCCCAAGATCCTGAGTGGGGCAAGCCCTGGAGCCCAGCTGGACCAGGCGGCTTCTGTCTGTACTCGGAGGCCCCACACCTGCTGGGGAGCTTCACAGTGTGGTCTTTGCTTACAACTTGTGGCCCCAGGATGAATGAAGCTCGGGCATAGGCCTTCACCCCCACATTTATCACCAAATTAAAAAACATACATGAGAAGAGCAACTTGGAGACTCAGGCTACACACTAGGTGGTTCTGAGCTGTACCATGCCCTGAATGCCCTGGGCACACCTGTGTCCTCTCTCTGTCAGGGAGGAGGAAGCCCTAGTGGGGATGAAGGAGCCCCCGGAGGGAGGAGGGACCCATACAAGGGAGGAGGAAGCCCCCAGGAGGAGGAGGGAGCCCCGGCAGGGACCCACCCTCTCCCACAAAGAGCATGGAACGTCCTCTGGGCAGCGTGAAGTCAGTGGACACGCCTACGGGAACACCAGGTGATGTCCACAGCCACTCCCCGAAGTGCAGGGGTGACATTCTGCAGCACTGGAAGAGCAAACTTCCCACTCAGTAATAAGAAAGACACTTGGTACCTTGGAATCGAGCCCCAGGCCCGCGCGGACCAGTATCACAGCCAGGGCGATGCTTCTGAGGGAGGAAGACCAGCGCGGTCGGATCTGCACGTAGTCACTGAGGACAGGAGTGTTCTTGAGGAGAAACCCGGCCAGCAGCATGCCTGCGCCAGAGAACAGGACTCCTTGGTTCTCACGTCCGGGAGAACCCAGCCCTGTACAGAGGACCCGCCACATAACCCAGGTCACCAGATGAAATGATGTTAAAGACTCAAAGGAAAATATTAAGGTGATAGAATGAATTGGAGGAGTCGAGAAAAGGCTTTTAATACAGATAAAAATAGACTAGAATAAAAAAAACTGAGCCTGAAAGGAGACACAGGACACTAAAAATGTGGTAATAGTTTCTTTTTTTCCCTGAAACTAGAGCATATAACTACCTGAAATGGAAACGAATCATCTAAGACTATGTTGACTTTCTCTTGGAGTTTTTTTGGGGGGATAAGGGGACATTTTTTATTTCTGAAATGCACTTCCAAGCAATTTCCTTGGGACTCTGCCTCTTTGCTGATGTCCTGTGTGGTATGGCCACTTGATTTTGGCTTGTCAGGTGCCCCTCTCCTCCCCTTTTCGGTAACAGAAGAAAAAATGTGCCATTATTCATAGGTCAAAACACTGTGTATGTAACATCCAGCAAAACTATGGAGATAACATACAATCAGATTTCTAGTAAGCTGTCAGAAAAAAAACTCATAAAAATAAATCTTAAGGTTTTTTGAATCAGTTAAGATTCAAAACAGGTAGTTTTTTAAAAAATGTTAAGTATTGTACAAAAATAAATGACAATGTAAGAAAACAAAAAAGTTTAATTAAAAAAGGGGGATAAAAATGTAAAGTAGACTTTAACAGAGACCTCTAAAACCAATTGCCATTAAAGTAATTTCTGTTAAGTCCTCAACGCCATCAGTTGGTTCTGGGAAACTTTAACTTCAAGCGACATGAGGTATGATCATTCAATTTGACCAGAGGGTAAATGATATAAACTAGAGTTGAATTCCTATAGCAGATATAAAAGTATCACCACATTTCTAAAAAAGATCCAAATACTTCTAATATTAAGCAATGATTTGGATTCATTACTTCATGTTCCAAGTTCAGGGTGGCTGGAGGCTATGCTAGCACCTCAGGGTCCAGGCAGGACCCACCCTGGACAGGACGACCTTCCACCACACCACACACCACACTGAGGCCCCACTAACCTCCCATGCATGTCTCTGGGATGTGGGGTACACAGAGTCCCCGGAAAAAGTCATCAACAGGTGTCCCTCCTTGCCTGTGAAGTCCACTGGGGCTTCTTTCTCGTAGACAAAAATCACCTATGATAAAGAGCATGTTCTTCCCTCCTCAATTTATTTTTTGAAAGGAACTTTTTAAATATGCAAAAATAATCACAAAAAGTCAATCTCATTTCAACTACTCCCAAGTTATTTCCAAGCAAATTGCTATTTAAAAAAAAATCCCATCATGGGAGAAGCTTTGGGAGATACACTTTATTTTTAATTAATATTATTATTAAATATTTATTAAAATAAAAGTTTTATTTTCTTACATTGTTGTTCACTTTTGTACAGTAGTTGATCTCTCTCCTCAGGTGTAGTCCCCACAGATCTCCCACCACCACAGCACCCGTGAACCCTCACCATGGTCCCTTGTGTCTTTCCCTCCCCTGGTTTGAGCCTTCTCCCTCCATCTCCCCTGCTGTATGCCTCAGATCTGTGGTTTGCCTGCAACTTTTGTCTTTTTCCTGACCCTTTGTTTGGTTTCACTATATTCCACCCATAAGTGAGACCATTCAATATTTTCCTTCTTCTTTTTCCTTCTGACTTACTTCACTTAGCATAATTCCTTCCAGCTCTATCCACATTATTGCAAATGACATGAGTTTATCTTTTTGATGGCTGAGTTATATCCCATTGTGTATATAGAACACATCTTCTTGACCCACTCATTGTTTGGGGGCAGTTAGGTTCTTTCCATATCTTAGCTATTATCAATAGTTTTAAATGACTACTTTAAAACTATGATTTACTCTTAAGGAGGTAGGGTGTGCTCAGCACTTACCAAGAAGAGGGGGCAGTGGTGGCAACGTGGGGAGCTTAATGAGCCCCAGCAGTTTACCTCCCAGGACAGCGGAGTAGAAGAGAGTGAGAATCCCGAACAGGTTTCCCCCTGGAAGACACTCGCTGCCTGAGAGCGCCCAGACCACAGCCCACAGGAGGACCACCAAGGTGCCTGCAACAAACCAGGAAAACTTGCTCCCATCAGGACACTGCCTTTGCAGGTTTTAACACAACCTCAAGTTATATAAACAAATATTGAATAAAGGATAAATGTTCACAACCAAGTGTATATTTTAAAGACTATCAGTAATAGGGCCTCCCCGGTGGCACAGCGGTTGAACGCGCTGGGTTGCAAAGCTGCCTGCAGCCTCTGCAGCGCCGGTTCAATCCCCAGACACCAGGCGAGGGTCCAACATGGTGCGCAGACCTCTCCTGCCACCCGCTGCTCCCCTCAGCAGTGTACTTCATCACTCTGCCTGTTCTGCTCCCTGCTCTGGCTCTGGTGAATTCTCTCACCCTCCCGCTCTTCTAACTGTACTCAGTGCTTATATAAATAAATAAATCTTTAAAAAAAAAAAAAAGACTATCAGTAATATGAACAACCAACTATCTCAAGACCAGGGCCTTTCAATCCACCTATGTACCTCAACCCACTGCCGGAAGAAGCTTTTCCTTATAATGTTACCTTATAATGATAAACATATCATTAGTTAATATGAAGAAGAGAAATAATTGCTCCCTTTATCCTCATCACAGAAACCTGAGATTAACTGCCAGAACCACACTCCAGTATTCTACTTGGATTACACATTATTAGCATGTCTATATAGGTGAATTATATGGGTGAATTACCCATTTGTTTTTGTTGCATGAAATTACTAATTTTATTTTACTTTTAATCTATTTTTTAAATCATCGTTCATTACAGCATCTCCAATCTGTAGTCTGGGAAGTGATTTTGTCATATTGCCTTTAGCTGAGGCATTTCTGTTAGAATGTGAAATGTTTCCCTGTTTGAGAACCCCATTCTCTGAAATTGAAGATGGGAATAGAAAGGCTTGAGGGAAAACAGAGTTGGGGGCAACCTTGCAGAGCTCAATGCTCACAAGCAAAGCACTAGGGAAAACAGTGCCCGTCCCAGTGAAAGAGCAGCGCCATTAAGTCTTGGTGACATCAAACCCTCCTCTTGACAGACTTAAGCCTGGAATCAAGCTTCTTATTACAAGACCTGGACTCTTGAGGAGTTTGCTTTAAATAGACTGCAGGTCCACCAAAATCCCGTGCAGATCTCGGCCCTCTCCACAAGACATGCTACTTTTCTCAACTGAGGCAAAGTGTTGGTAGTTTCTCCATGTTGGACAGTCAGCTTCGTCCACATATAGCTTCATTAGATGGTTTAAACCATTGAATTTAAGTGATTTGTATTGTGGAAAGTGTAAGTGGAAAGTTGAAGTCTTTAAAGCCTCTAAGGCAGAAACTCACTGCCTGCAGTGAGGTCCTGCCACAGGGAGTCCAGCTTTTCAAAGGTCCCCGTTGTTAGTAAGGGCTCATCCCCGATTGTAAGAGACTATACACTTGTCTTTTTTTGTTTTCCATACACGTTGCACTCACTTGCTATTGCTTGACAGTGCAATATATGAATGTGCCAGGAAAAAATAGGCACAAAAATGCAAGTTCCACATTACACCGACCCATCTCCTTTTTTGAACAAAAATCAGCATCACTGTATCTGAACATCTATTTATTCATCAAACTTATATAAGAATGTTTAGTTAATTCCCCCCAAAACCTGGAATAAGTTGTGTTACTTATAAACTGATGGCATTCATTTGGAAGTATAAATTGAGCTGTTTGCTCAAACATCATCATGGCACTTAATAGCAGCAACAGTCAAGATTTATGTGTGCTTATACATTTACAAGTGGTTTCTCAATTATTTTTCTCATTGGAATGCTGGGTCTTGGTCTCTACTCTTCTTTTCATGGTGGCTGGAATGATAATGACTAAAGAACTCCTGGAAGCCACACCAGGATGATGGAACTTGGCTGGAATGGCATTGAGGCTGATGGTGCCCTGTCTGCCTGGGCCCTGAGAGACTACATGGAGCAGAGCCCCACCCCTCACCCTTTGTGAACTGCCCACCTAGTAGTTTTTATGTGAGAGAATCAAACTTACTTTTGTCCTTTAAACCACATTACTTTGTAATCTCTTATTATAACAACGTCATCTTTTACCCCTTTTTTCTCAATGTTTCATCATTTACTTACTATTCGTTATTACCCGATCCAGTATACCATGTGGAGGGCAGGCAAATGTTTGCTTTAGCTTTTGCAAGTGATTTGATTCAGTTGGCGTATCTTGTAGTTTTTTTTCGCTGTAGTTCATCAGGTTACTTCCTTCTGTTAGTTCATTTCCATCTATACTTTCAAGGTTCATAATTGCCTCCTCCTATGTTAAAGCAATTTGAAAAACTCTTAAGATTATTTCTGTACATTTTTATATTCACCAACCATCATATCACAAATCAGATTTCCACTACTATATTCAAGGCTAATACTGTACAGGGAAAACACTTGCTTACTAGCTAATCAGCTAGTGTTTGGAATAAGAATTATGCAGAGTGTTTACTGCTGAATCACTATTTGTAGTGTTATAAGTGCTTGAGTCATTTTGCAATACTGGGTTTAAAAATTAGCCTATTTAAGATATGATTTAAGGCACACCAAAGTGTTCAGAAAATGGTAACCATTTGTGGTGAAAACTAAGCCACACACAATCCTCTACCAAATGTAAGCAACAAAAAAAGGATTGGAGGAACCCAGCACAGTCCAAGGATAGGCCAGCAACATGAACCCTTTCAGGGGCTCTGCATCTTCTCAGCTGGATGGAGGGCCAGCTGCTAATAACTCTGGGGAAACTAGTATTTCCAGAAATTCTCACTGCCTTGGGCAGTGAGAGTTTGGGGCTAAAGAACGGGAACAGAGTCATTGACTGAAAAAGAGTGAACACAGTTCTGTCATGTGTAGATTACTTCCTTCTGTTATTTCATTTCCATCTATACCTTTGAGGTTCACAATATGTAAATATGTAAGGGGATGGCTAGTATGTTCGATGTCTGGTCACAGATTTACCTGTGCTTCTTGACACAGAGAGGTTATGTGATTTATCCCAGGAGATGGGTCCTGATCTTCATGCTCAATGGCTTTATTTTCATCTCCCATGATTTGTGATTAAGAACAAGATGATGGAGGGAAGAGGAACAAGATCTGTACTGAAGGGGAAATAGTATAGATACAGAAAAGCCATTTGAGAATCTTTGGAAGTAAACGAATGTATTATATTTACTTTTTTCCCTTGGAACTCTAAATAGATAAAATGTTTTAAGCTAGACTATGCTATTGCTAACCTTTTCTTTGATTATATTATTCTCTTTTCTACCTCGCTTGAAACAATGCTTAATGACCATCATACTTTTATATTTGTTCTCACCCTGTTTCCTGAGTTATACCTCAAAATTCCAAGCAATATTCCAAGCAAAAATAGTCCCCTCTCATGGCCAGCCTGATGAAGCAGGACAGGTAATGAATGTCTCAATGTTGATATGAGAAATGAATCAGCAAAAGGAATAAATCTATGATTCCCTCATTTTTAGAGAGATGATAATGATTAATTCCTGCCTAGTTCTTTTTTCCAAATGGAAGTCAAAAACTACAACATTGATTGAGTAGCTATGATTATAAAGCTCATGCAGCAGGACAATGCCTGACTGTGAGGAATTAAATACTTAATGTCACTGGTGTTCTCCAATCACGCTTTTAATCTCCTTCTTCTAGGACAGCTCCTTAGTTAGGGATGTAATGACTGCCTGTGGCTTCTTTACCCATCCCATCAGCAGAATTACCGAGAACTCCTTCCCAAGTATCATCTGGGCAAAATCATGTCCCTTATCAAATTCTCAGAATGAGACAATTCTGCCACCTTTGAAGAATATTTCTAAATATCCAACAAATAAATGATTATTAATAATAGATAAAAACTACTGGCTAAAATAAAGTGTTTGAGAATTTATTAATGTTATTCTGGTCTTTTTAATTTATTAATACAAAAAATTAAAATCATAGGATTTTCACTTTCTTATATCAATTATTTAAGTGTATGAGTGAGACCTATTTAAATAGCGCCATCCATGTTGCAGCAAATTGCATGTGATCTTAATATATATGTACACATGATCCAGTCATCTACATTTGGGTTGTTTCAAGCTAGCAAGTGCTGCTATAAACATTGCCTTTGGAAATAAATATAGGAGTGGAATTGCTGGGTCATAGAACTATGTTTAGTAGGCACAGCTTTCCACAGTGGTTGGTATCTGGTCTTTTTAAAACACAATCAACACTGTTGCAACTCAACGTTATTCCAATAATAAAAAAGAAAAGAAAAAGAAATAAACAAAAGCAATAACAATCAAACCTGGGCAATTTACATAGTATATTATAGGAATTTATATAGCTTTTTGTTACAAATAATTCCCGATTCTCCTACACTCTCTAGCATAGATGCTGTAATTTGAGACTAGAGGCTTTGCAGTGACAAAAGGTAAGATAAAATACCAGTAATTTAGTAAGTCCAGTATAACAACTGACCACTGGTCAGCTTTGCTTCTTTATTCTGTCTCCGCTGAAACCTTTGTCATTTCAGAAACCCACTTACCTTAGAAAAGGCATGAGTGTGCAACCACGTTCACGCATTCACTGTTCTTGGCCACGGGGTCCTGAAACCACAACCCCTGTGCCCTGGAGGAGTCAGTTGGGGAAAACCATCAAAGAAACACACAGAAGTGACCCTGCATGGCCGCAGGAGGCCCTGAAACCCACCTCAGGGCAGAAGGCCCACACTCCCCACACAGGGAGGGGCTCAAGTCCTCACCCACAGCCATCACCTCTTTGAAAATAATTCCAATGACTTTGCTCCCCTGCTTTCCAAAGCTGCAGAAGGTGAGGTGTTATGATGTCTTAAGTTAAAAGGCAGGGAGCAGCCGCGGCAGAGGCAGCCCCGAGCAGCATGGGGGCCATCCGGTGACCAGGGGAGAAGGCAGCCAGCTCAGGAGACGCAACTCAGGGATAAGTATCTTCTCCGTAGGTGACTCTGTCCTTCTAGCTTCACCAGCAACTCCCCTCCCCTTTTTGGTAACAGCAGAGCAGCTTCCTCTGTGGAATCCACACCTGCCCTCCTCTGCACCCACATGGTTCACCAGGACTGCCATGGTCACCTCCGCTATCCCAGCTGCCCCACAGAGGAGGACAGGCCTGGCCAGCAGGGAACTCCCTCCCCTGCCCCTGGAAGCCTCCTACCAGCAAGCGGCCCCTGCCTGACCAAGGAGCACCAGCTTTAAGGGGACCACTAACAGCCAGGGTTGTTGGGCTTGTCGCTGGGGTTGCTAAGCCCAGACTCGGCCTTGACAATCCTGTGACAGGCAAGAAAAGCCTTCCAAGGAAGGGAGCACAGGGCGCTGGAGGGCGGGAAAGAGAAAGCTGCAAGTTAGGAAGGAGGCTGTTGGTGTGGCTCCACCGCACCCCCGGGGTGCAGACCTGCTACCCCCGCCGAGCCCGCCGGGACCCCCCGAGGCCAGCCTCTCCAGGGCAAGGCTGCGGGAAGGGCGTCCCGGGGTTGCTCGCCGGCCACCAGCGCTGCCCAGTCACCAGCCAGGTCTGTCCTGACCCCAGGCCCCCGGGCTGCGGCGGCAGGAAACACAGGCCCCGCGCGCACAACTCGGGGACTGGGGAGGCCTGTGTCCCGGGGCAGGGGCTCCCGTCCTCGTCCGTGGGACCCGGCGTCTCAGCGCCGCGGGGCGGGGCGCACTGGCTCCCCGGGGCACCCCACCCCCGGGACGGCGCGCGCCCGGCCGACACCGGAAAGCGCCTCGAGGAGCAGGAGCCGCGCGCTCCGGCGCCCGAGACCGGCCGCCTCCTCCCGGTCCCCACCAGCGAGCCACCGCCCGCAGCGCCCTCGCGCCCCCGGCCCCGGCCTCGCCGGCGCCCCGGCCTCGCCGGTGGGAGCAGCGCCGCCCCGCCCGCTGAGGGAGAAGCCGGGGCGCCGGGGCGGGACCCGCGCGCGCCCACCGCCCGGGCCCCGCGGGGTGCGCCGCGCTGGGGACCCGCCTTCTGCGCGCGCGGCCCCGCCCCGCGCCCCCTAGATCCCGGCCCCGCGGCCCCCGCCCCGCCCCGCCCCGCCCCGCCCCGCCGGGTCCCGCCCTGGACCAGCCCCGCCAGGAGCCCCCGCGCCCGACGGGAGCGCCCAGGGGTCCGCCTGGGGCTCCCGGCGTGACCGCGCCCCTTCCCCGCCTCCGCTCGCGCCCCCAGCTCTGGGGGAGCCCCGGGCCTGTCTCAGGCTGCTGCTTTTCCTTCCAGAACCCCATTCCCGCGCTCCCTTGCCGCTGTACCTCCTCTCCAACCGAGGGGTGCGCCCCTGTCGGGCGACTTTCAACGAAAAGCTTCTTCCCGTTTTCACCCCTTTAAGCAAATAGGTTTAATCAACGCCTTTCGGGCAAGAAGGGCCACCCAGGGTGACGGCGCCCCACAGAGCAGCCACGCCTCCCCCCCCTCCCTCGGGGCCCCTCCGCGCCGGCTCCCCGGCTTCTGAAAGGCCGGGCTCCGGAGCAGGAGTCCTGTCCTAAACCCCACGTCTCCGTGCCGTCCCGGGACCTCCCCTGGAGTCACCCGCTGGGTGAACACGGCCCGAGCACGCTGGGCTCTGGGGCTAGATGTCCCTGGGCCTTTATTGCCATGGTTACAGCGTCCAGGCTGGAGTCCACTCCCTCAGCGCCCCGCGCCGAAGGCACGTCCGGCCCTCGCCGTGGGGTGAGCACCGAGCAGCAGAAGAAAGCCAGTCGCGGGGCCCAGCCCCAAGGCGAAAGCAGGATAAACCGGGCGACTGGTCTAGGTCCCACACCAGGCTGTGTCCATGGAGATGCCTTCGTGCTCCAGGGCCTGAGCAAACCTCATTTCTCACCAGGGACCTGCAGGAATGCTCACCAGAGTATCCTCTATTTAATGTTACCCTACATTGTCTGCTTCAAAGTTTTCCTTTTAAATATTAATTCGGGGTCTAAGAGAAAAGGCTCATGTATTGAGTCTATGTGCAGCCTTCCATTTGGCTTTTGAAGGCAACAGCAAATAAAAAACAGGAAAGCCTGAAACTTATCTCTAATAGCCTGTTAGAGAATTACCATTTTTCTTGAAAAAATTATTTTCCTTAAATTATTTGTTATATGATTTGTTTGTATTTATCCAGAAATTACTTTTACTTTTTGTGCCCTCTTGTCTGTTGTCCTGGAAGTTGGTGAAGAAATCTGTATCTGATCTAAAAAAATCCCTCAAACTAATAGCTCAGCCAGTTAGTTAACTGTGTTCCTTAGGCCCATGTCAAATATTAAAATCATTGTTTATCTTAATAAATAATTTTAGTTAGGGCCTCCCCCGTGGCGCAGCGGTTGAGCGCTGGGTTGCGAAGCTGCCTGCAGCCTCTGCGGCGTCTGTTCGATCCCTGGCTGCTCCCCGGCCACCAAAGGAGGGACCCACATGGCGCGCAGACCTCTCCTGCCGCCCGCTGCTCCCCTCAGCAGTGTACTTCGGTCCTTCTGCCTGCTCTGCTCCCCGCTCTGGCTCTGGTGAATTCTCTCACCCTCCCGCGCTTCTGACTGTACCCAGTGCTTGTATAAATAAATAAAAAATAAATCTTTAAAAAAAAAAAATAAATAAATAAATAAATAATTTTAGTTAGACTAAGAAAATAGTTAATTATAAATGGTGACATTCATTAAACAGAAACACCTGGTGATTATCCTTCTTTTACATATCAACATTATAGTTCTAGATTTAAACCCCTTTTAATGTAAATTATAGATGCCAAACTCCTTCCTACCATCGGTGTTCATTTATAATGGTGTCAATTTAAAATTAAGCTCCACATACACATCAATCTATTATAGAATTGTACAAAAATAATTGAACATGGGAAATAGAAATAGAAAAAAACTCCTTTTAAAATATTTCCCTTTTTTCATGTTCACATTTTAATTTTATGTCCTTATACACTAAGGTTTATTTTTAAAATTTGTGATAAGCAGTTGGTTGATCATCTATTACATCCTCTACTTACAAGGATTTCAGAAGCAATTAGAAAGAGATTGTGTATTAAAAGCATCAGACTCTCCAGGACAAGATCACCAACAGGAGAGACATGCGGGGGGAAGTTTTCTTCACCACCACGGCAACAGGAGGGGCCGCCGGCCATCACAAGCTCCAGCCTCCATCAATGACCACAGGATTGCCTGTCACGTAGGCGGACTGCAGGGGAGACAGGGCCGAACAACCAAGCGGTTTAACACAAGTGTTTCTACATGGCTTCCGTGTCTCTATGGCTGCACTAGTTCCTCTTGCAGTAACAAGAAACCTCGCACGGCACAGAAAATTTAACGGCACAGAAAATTTACTGAATGGGATTAATCCCAGAGGACTTAATCCCCTGGGTGTCCCTGAACACAGTCTGCTGGGTATTTGGTTTCAGAATCTGGAAACTCAGAAGTCCAGTGACACACAGCCATGGCACAGGTTAGGATCAAGTGTCGGCTGGAATGCCCATTTTCACTTGGAAACTCAGAATCATGCTAAACTGGCTGAATTTTATGGCTCCAATATGCTTTTAAACATAATCAAGTGTGTCATCTGAAGTGATCACATCAGTTTCCAAACAAAAATAAAAAAATTGTATGTACTTAGTTGGTGAATATACAAAGATAATTTTGGTAACTGAAGCACATGAAATGTTTTTAAAATCTGTATGAAGAGGAGAGCTCTGGGGACTACAATGATGTAAGAAAAACAATTTAATTAATAAAAATAATACACTGAATAATCAAGCTATTATAATCCATTGAACTCTGAGGAAATATTCTACACAAGCTTCAGGTATCCCAATGTGTGCAAAACTAAAGGAGTTAAAAATTTTTAGTTTTTTTCCCCACAGTAGTTTTCACTTTCTTTTACTGATTGATTGATTGATTTTTAAAATATTTATTTATTTTTATACACTAGCTGGGGTACAGGCCGGAGGCGCGGGAGGGTAAGAGGATTCACCAGAGACAGAGCAGGGAGCAGAACAGGCAGATGGACCGAAACACACTGCTGAGGGGAGCAGCGGGCAAGACAGGAGAGGTCTGCTGCGCACCATGTGGGTTTCTCCCTGGCTGGCCAGGAATCGAACCTGTGCTGCAGAGGCTGTGGATAGCTTCACAGCGCTGTGCTCAACCCGCTGCGCCACTGGGGAGGCCAGATTTCATTTTCTAAAGAATTAAAGCTGAAGAATTAAACCTCTTCCTTGTGGAAGAGGTTTAGAAATCCTTTTTTAAACCTGGATGATAAAGATACAAATTTGTGTTTTTAATTTTCATCCAAAGCCTGAGACCACAGAAGAGGCAGGAGGGAAAGAAATGATATGAGTACTGAAAGTTTTTAAAGTTCAGTATAGAAAAATAGATGAAATAAAGTGATAAACTAAGGGGCTATTAGTTGTTTTACCAAGAACAACCCAGCTCCCCACCCCCAAGTGCTTCTCAAGGCACGCTAGACTCCTCTGGGCCCCTCTGGAAGCTCAAAGGTCCTTTTGTTGCACATTTCACGCCAGAGCATTTCCAAATATTTGATACCCAAAGCTCCACAGGGGCACCAGCTTATCAGCAGTGCCCCTGAGGGAAATGAACTGGATATCTGGGTTCAGAGAAGTCAGCAGGCCAAGGTGCTTGCTCCCTCCCCCCTGTGCCTGGAGGGTCCCCAGTGTGGCAGCTGCTGGGGACTCCTGAGGCATTAGCCTGGCTCTGGCCCCGCTTTGCCCCAGCCTTACCTTTTCCTCCCATCACAGGCCCCTACTACACACACAGCAGCCCTGAAGAGGAAACCGGTTCCTGAGCAGAACTATGACTCTCCATCGTCGGTGACCACAGTGGGATTCTCCCAACAAGCCACCTGTTATCCTAAAGTAGGGTGCCCATTCTGCACACCTGGACAAAGCTCTCATGTTACCCTCTCTCACTCCACCCCACTCTTATAACTCTGGAGGGTCATCTGTTGGACTTACATTTAATCAGGGTTCCCCCAAGAGTGATTTTTGAAAGCAATTTTCTCTCATAAAATCAAGCAGTTAATATATTTCAATCCACCATCTGACTTGCTCCAAGACTTCGTGACAGGTACACTGGATAAGCAGGGAGACCGACATGGTCTCATTTGGGAAGTTCAACCAGACCTTGCTCCTGTACTGGAAATGCAGCACCTTGGCATAGGTAAGTCATGGCATCTATGATGCTCTCTGACAGTCACACACAGGCTGGATGTGAACTCCCTGGGAAGAGAGCACTCACCTCGTCTGACGCCAGGTACACACACAGTTGGGCCACTTCTTCTGCGGTGGCGAACCTTCCAGTCTTCTGTCTCTTCAGAAAGTCGCTCAGGGCCTGTGACCAGACATGATTGACACATGAGGCATCGCAATACCATAGACTGTGAGTCAGGCTGAGAGGGCTGGGAGGGCTCCAGTCCCTCTGAAGATACTGAGACACTCTGTTCTATGAGAACCTATAGACCCGTGACAGACAAGAATGAGAATAATAACAAAGGCCCAGATTTGAAGCTGTACTAAATTACACATGGTAGAACATTCGCCATCGCGACCATTTTCAAGTGAGCAGGTGAGCGGGGTTAAGGCCAGGCACACGACTGTGCAGTGACTCTCCAGAATGCTCTTCATCTTGCAAAACTGGAACTCTGCCCTGTGAGGCCCCAAGACTCCCCTTCCCTCCACCGGCCCCTGGCACCCACCTGACTACTTTCTGTCTCTGTGAATGTTCTGCTCAGGTGAGGAACAGGGCATTTAAAACTAGATGATCAAAACACACTCAAAACAGTAGCCGTACCTCCTCAGGATTGGGTCTGGCTTGTATCCTTTCTTGCAGAGATGGGGTATCGACCGTTCCTAAATCAAAGAAAAAACAAACACATCAATGAACTTTAAATTTCCTTTCCATGTGGTACCACCTCCCTGGTTAGATGAGAGCACGTTTCAGCTCTTGCCGCCTCCACTGTGTCCTGGCTTCCTTAAATCCCATTTCTATGATTTTTAAAAACACAGACTATACCTCTTCTGACACTGTGTGGGACTGCGGGTGAACCAGCCAGCACATCTGAGGCCATATATTTTACTCACATGATACTTTATGGTTTTAAGCACTTTTATGTGTGAATGACATGTTTTATCAATCAGTCAGTGCTCACAATAACCACAAGGCGTAGATAAAAGCACACACGTGTGTGGCTGGCACATGGGCCTGGGCCACCTCACTATTCACAGCCGCTTTCTGCTGCAGGTGCCCTCCCCCGGGGGCCCAGGCACAGCTCCAGGCCTGCGCAGCGTGTGGGCAGTGAGGGGGCTCTGAATTTTCCTCATTGCCTTGCCTACTTTCATCTTTAACCATAGTTTCATGTTTCTCGTCAACAAATATGATTTAAAATTAATTTACATCAAAAAAAGAAAAAGGAGAACGGCACTGGCATTTCCCAAATTCCCAGCGCCTGCTCCCACGGGGCAGGTTCCCCGGGTGTCCCTGCTGGCTCCTGCAACGCGGGAGTCCTCTGAAGGGCCTCTTTCTGACTGGAACGCCCTGCGGTCGGGCCCTCGCCTCACATGGCTGGGCCACACCGGGACCATGCCGGGGATTTCAAGTCTGCTCGGAAACCATCTCCGACTTTTGGCACCATGGGCCATGTCTCCAGGGAGGCCAGGCACCTTCAAACTCAGCAGCCTGTGGCTTCTCTTCCTCTGCCCAGGCATTATGAGGAGGGCAACGCCACCCCTACCTGGGGTGCTCACGGCAGATATACCACCCCGCTGACTAGGCCCTTTCTGTCCGCCATGTTCCTGCAGGCAAGAGTGTCGATAAACCTGAAGCCACCTTTTCTCCAGGTTCTCAGAGTATTTTCCTCACTTTCCTCCAAAGTCCAGCACTGTAATGATGACCCCTTCTTCCAGCCAGGCCCACCAGCCTGTGCCTGACACTCTGCTTTGGTGGCTGTGACATGAAAACTGAGAGCAGGCCCATGCTCCTGACTGCAGCCATTGACACAGGCCTATGTTCACGCCTCCGTCCCTGAGCACGGGCCTGCGCCTGGACCCAAGGAGCTGCACCGCAGGCCCTCGTCAGGTGGCTCGTGAGTCATGGCCACTTCCTTGTTCCAAACAGTTTGATAACATTTTCCAATCTCCTGAAAGTCCAGCTGCTAAAATAATCACATTTTCCAAGTCACTTGCCATGTATTCCATTGCGTGAATGGCCTAGACTCGAGTATCACCAGGGTCTAGGTTAACCCCGTGACATGGTCTCTCCTGCCTCCTCAGAACGTCTCAGCATGGAAATCCTGCATGTGAAAAGTCACCAGCAGGGCAGTGGTTTTCAGCATGAGGGGAGACGGGATGGCTCACACCAGGGTCTCCTGTGGAACTTCCCAAACTGCACACAATTCTCCCATCAGGGCCTTTCCTAGACTCTACCTGCCCACAGGTAATTCTGAAATGCTGCGTCTCCCCTGACCCTGGCCCAGCAGTGAGCCATGGTGCTGGGATGCAATGCTGGATTTGTTTTCAAGATGGAAGTGTGTGATTTTCAGCACTCTGTCTTCTTGCTGGGCTGGGGGAGCATGTCTACTTAATAGACACTAAGTATTTAGAAAGTGAGAAGTTACTCCTAAGAAGTAAGCTATTGAATGCTTTGGTTTGGACACATTAAATAGCCTCTCTTCTAATAGTAAGTTCTGCTTTTCTTTTATGGGAGATGTCAGCACACTTGGGGCCTAGAGAGCCAGAGAGCAAATGTTTGGGGCTCTGAGAATCTTCCCGCCTGCTTCAACTCCTGGAGTCTACCTGCATGCATCTCCTTGAATGCAGCCAGAGCCAACAATAAGCAAATCAGGGGTGGGGCGTGCCACTCAACTGTGCTGACACAATGAGGCCCAGCTTTGGCCTGCAGCCACCAGTGGCTTACCCCGTCATAGCACACAGGCATGAGCCCTGCAATGGGTGAGCCCCCAGGTGATGACCGTCTATGCTGCTGTGTCTGGGAGGCTCCTCTTACTTTCCTCCTGCTGTGCTGGGAGCTGGCTCCGCCTGCCTGCCTTCCCCTGAAAAGGTCACCCCTGGGTTGGTTGCCTCCCAAACACTAAGCCATGGGGAGTTAAGCCTTTACCCACAGGGTGGCACTATCCGCATACAGCAGCTGCGCTGAAATGCTTTGCCTCTGTGGACCATTCCCCATTACTTAGCACCTGGCTCCCAGCCTACCTTTGGGCTATTAACTAATTAAGCCTAGACCTTTCTCCTTCTGAACCTGCCCACGTGCTGGGACTCAACAGGACATGTGGCCCATGCGCTTCTGCGAGGCCTCCCCAGCAGCGCCCACGGTGCCCACTCACCTGGACACACGCAGTTGCAGCGGATGCCCTGCTGGATGAAGTCGGCGGCCACCGACTTGGTGAGGCCGATCACCGCGGCCTTGGTGGCACTGTACACGCATCTGTTCACAACTCCTGTGGGAAGGCAGGACCCAGTGGATCAAACACAGTAGCCAGCACCCCGCCAGGCTCACCCACCCTCAGTGCTGGCGTCAGGTTCCCCCCTAGCAGGGCAGTTTTCGAGTCTGGGAGGAGACCACAACTCACGGGCACTCAGCTGCTGAGACACCCACCTCAAGGACAGGGGTCCCAGCTTTTCAGCGCCAGTTGGTATAACTTGGGCAGATTGCAAAGGAGAGGAGGACAGAGCAAACAAAACACCAGGGGCCTGGGCACTTCTTCACTGGTTCCCACTTCAGAAGAAGGGTTTGGCCTTAGGAACTTAGTACCGGTTTTCCAACAGCAGTTGAAAATGTGTGGGTTTAAGGTCTCTGTCCTGCAGGCGCCCCAAACCCACAGCTATGGGGGTATGCACGGCTGAGCATGGGGCCCAAGGAAGGTCCACCTACCTTTGATGCTGGAAGCCACAGAGGACATGTTGATGATGTTGCCAGATTTCTGAGCAAGCATCTGCCAAAACAAAACAAAGACCAAAAGATGCCACTGCAGGCCAAGGACACGACTTGGTTAAAGGGGCTGCTGCACCGGCTTAGTAGCTTCACATTCATTGCAGTGAAGTTCTCTGACTGCCACCTTCTGTGTTGGGGATCCCTGGCATGTGCATGCTCTCCGGCAGGGACATTTTAGGGGGATCACCACCTCCCTGGGGTAAAAAGCATCGGTGAGACCCAGCATGAGCTTACACTAGTGGTGTGAGCATGGGCGTTGAGCCCCGGGGTCCAGGAGAGCCGGCCTACATGCCTCAGAGAGCTGCTCGGCTGCCCGGCGCCCCGTGACCACAGGGACATCTCAGAGATCCGAGTGTGGAGGGTGGGAAGTGGCCAGGCCACAGACCCTCAGAGGAAATAGGTAGCTGCCTGAAGGAGAGGGGACAGGTACCAAGTAAGGCTGCACCTGGACAGGGGAGGACTGAGCCTGGGACCAGAAAGCAGGGAGGAAGGAGGAAGGAGGCCTCAGGGCAGCAGGCGGGAGCTTGAGCTGAGCCTGCAGGCAACACAGTATGACTGGGAGGACTGCCTGGCAGCTCCCTCAGAGGAGAGTGCTCCTCACCATACAGCAGCTCAGCAGGAGTGAAAAAAGAGGAGGTGCTGAGATGTCCGTGGGTGACAGCGGGTAAGACTGAGGCACGACCTCGCAAAGGGTTGCTTAGGGAGGATGCCCCCAGCCTGGGGTGTGTCCCCCAAGAACATCGCCTCCAGAATTCCCCCCGCAGGTGGAAGATCCTTCCTAGTAGTAGGGTGATGGCCGCTTGACCCAGACAGAGGACCCACAGGCAGCAAGGTGAGGGTCCTGGCCTGGAGCTGAGGCATAAACAAGCAGAGCAGCCACTGTGAACGCACACACACGTCAGTGCATTCATGCCTGATTCTAACACGTGGGGATGTTCCCTGGGTAGCGCATGAGTGCAGGGCGGGGCACACATGGAAGCCTGGAGACGGAGGGTGAGAATTCCTTCCCCTGCCATGGGAGGCCGAGGACAACTCTAGGGGACACGGGGGATTGGACACGTGGGGTGCGCAGGGCAGTGGAGCCACCCCGGCCAGAGCAGGAGCACCCGGAAGAGCTGCTCTTGGACACCAGGGGAGGAAGGCCTGGGTGGAGAAAGGCCTCATGGGGGAGGGGATTTTTCCAGCAGCTCTCAGGCGAAGGGCAGGAGGGGAGGAGGTGCTGGCTCTTGGTGCTAACTGTACTGAAGAGCAGAGCCCAAAATAGCCCTAAGGCTTCACGCTGGATGGACGGAGGGGACCCAGTGAGTCCAGGAAGACAGCACGGGAGTAAAGAACATTAATTCACTTCTTTTCCTATTAATACAGAGCATTGTGACAAAATGGGTCCTGATAAAAAGATCCAGAGAGCGAGGCTATGCACTGGTGTTGCAAAGTCAGCCTTCAAAACTATTCTTATCCAATTTGGCAAATGATGTAATCCAATTTTATTTATTTATTCTTCCCAGTTTCATTGAGCTGTGATTGGCATGTATAATCCATTACAATAATGTGCTGTGGAAGCCATTACTAAACCCATCTTTTTCCCTACCCTCAAGTGTTTTTTTTCCATGGAAATCTCTAGCAAAGGGTGATTTATTTGATCCAAAGCAAAACAAAAGCACTATAACCCGTTTTTAATGCACATGGGATACATACAGCCAATTTATATGTAAGGACGCTAGTAAGTCAGTTCAGTCTCCACCCTTTCGGAATGCACTCATCCCTCAGGCAGAAAGCGAGGACAGGGTGACCCAGGAGACGAGGGTGCATCCCCCCCAACTCGTGTCCTGTCTGCTGAACCAGGTCCACCCACTGACTCGAGATCTAGGGCCCCTGGCTCCCTGCACCCGCTCTTTCACCCAGCTCACCCGGCTGCCTCGCTGCGGGCAACAGCCCCCTTGGGCAGGCCTGGCCACAAGGGTGAGCCTGGTGCACGGCAGAGTGACACAGGATCCATGTGACTGAGACTCAGGTGGCTGCTGAAAAGCGACCTAGTTACTCCTCTGAGCTGCTCACTGCCCCCACAGACTGGAGCTGGGTTCCTGAACTCGGCCAACCTTGGCCTCTCGGGTCTCCCAGCCTGTCCTCTGCCTGGGTTGACAACTGGGCCCTAGATTCATCGATCCAATAATGCCTCTGTGCTGGTGACTCTCCTAACATACACAGAGGGGAAGAACCCCCGAACCCTTGTGGGCCTGAGTCCTCGCTGGCCTCTGCTCTTTTGACAGTTCTGAGTTGTGCTGACCCGCCAGGCTCAAAAGGGCTGTCCTTGGTAGGACATAGGTTCTCTGACCCGTGTGCACCTGCAGGGGGCAGCCATGTGGAAAGGGCCTCACACAGCTGCCTTGCTGGGTCCTATGGGGATTTGTGTGAAACGCCTCGATAGAAACAGCCACACAGGGTCGTGGTCCGGTGAGGGGGCAGGGCCACTCAGCTCCCGGGATCCTTTCTGGTGCCCACTGGAGACCTAAGGAGGGCAGGTGTGGGGTGGGGGGGTAAGTGGGGCGTCTTACTTTAGGAAGAAAGGCCTTGATCATCAGGTACATGCTGCGGACGTTGAGGTTCATGGAGAAGTCCCAGTCCTTCTCCTCACAGTCCAGGATGGTTCCGTGGTGCACGAAGCTGGAGGTGATGGGACAGAGGGAGGGATGGCTGACACACTGCTGCTCCCTGTCCCTACATGACACTTGGCCCCTCGCTGAGCTCTGCAATGACTGAAGCACAGTCTGAGCACATGAGGTAACTCTCCCAACCATTTTAGCTAAGTGCATCTATTTGAAAACGACATCCTTCTTGGAGAAGAAGGTCAGAGTCAGGGGCCACCAAACAGCAGCTTTGCCCAGCAGGCAGGGACGCCCACATGGCAAGGACTAAAGGGCAGCAGCGCCCCCTGCTGGCGTGTGAGCATTTTCCAAGGAAACCATAACTGGAGGAACACCAAGCCCCCTCTCAGTAATACCGTTACAGCCCTAACAGGACTAGAAAACCAAACAGGACGAAACAAAGGCCTACAACAGCCTCACTCTTCCTCAAGTCACACCCCCCAAGGAAGCTTCTGAACTCTTGAATCCTGATTTCACCCCCACCCCGCCAACAGAATTAATTGAAAAACATTGCTAGCTGTGACTCCCATCCGCCCGCATTCTTCCAGTTCCACTGAATGCCAAGACCCAAATACTGTTTCTCTATCCCCTACACTGCTGCAAATTTGATAGATGTTCAAAATAATTTGAAGCAAATTTTGCTGTTGTCATGGCTGAGTGTGTTCTCACTGGAGACACATTATTTATAAAAAGCTCTTCACTACTGAATTTCCATACATTGTGTAACAGGTGGCAGATTGTGGATAAACCGAGGTTATCTTTTTATCCTAAAGGATGGTTAGGAAGAGCCACAAAGATCTGTACAGTTCTTGATATCTATATCAAAGCAGCTGTGTCAACGACCCTACATCAGAAAGGGGACCCCCTGGGATCCTGTGGGTGCTGAATTATGCTTCCTCTGGGAGGGGGCAGACGAGAACCCTGTAGCTTCCAGGGCTGCCCCTGTTTCCATTTGCCTCACTCACATGGTCCAGAAAGCTGGGAGCCCTGGTGAGCTCAGGGAGCCATTCTCCTTCACTACATGTGCAGGCGCTGGGGGGCACTGGCCTGAGAAGAAAGCCTGAGCTGGGGGACCTGAAGGATCTACTGGCATCTTGTGCCAAAACTTGGGGAACACCCGCGTTTCAACAAAGGGAGCACTGGCTTCTGGGAAACACTGCGTTCACAGGTGTTCTACTGGAAAGCAGGCTTTGCTTTTACTTCCCAAGTCCCTGGCACATTGGCGACATCTACTGGCAGGAGCCTGCTACCAGCCTTCGAAGCTTTCTGGTGCCAGCTGTCTCAGTGCATGGGGTTCAGTACCCCAGACCCCTGTCCAGGCACCTTCACTGTCTGGTGTGCTGGCTTTGTTCTAATAGCGATTCTGCACAGCCCCTGACCATGTTCTCCTAATGAGTATATTATAGCCTACAATGATCATTCTGCTGTGTTAGCCAAATTCTTTTCATTGAAGTCTTAGGACGTTTTCCACGCAGGGCAGGAAGTCAAAGGGCTGCTTTACCCTGCCACGTTAAAGAGAACGTCAAGTCGCTCAACCTCACTGGCGAACTGGTCAATTTGTTTCTTCTTTGTGACATCCAGGACCCGAGTCTGAATACCTGGAAAATAACACCGGAGACACTACTCACCTGGTCAGCCTCAAAGGCGGTGCTGTTCTGAAGTGGGAAGGCTGCAGTGGCCGCCTATGAAGCTGCTCTGGGGTCCTAGGAATTACTAGTAAAACTCATAAATCCTCGAGACCCCCCCAACAATACACCCCTTAGTCCCCTCCTCCCTGGCCAGTCTCTAAATTGAAGAATAAAGGACGTTCCTGAGCAAAGCCTTTGAGGGAAGTAGCATTGCTCTATTAGGTGTTTCTCAGAAAGCTGGCTGTGGGGATCATGGGCTCACTGCTACTCGTTTGCCTCAGAGGCCAGGCAGCCCCCAAGTGACCTGACTTCTCTGGCTGGTTGAGGGAGGGCAGGGCGGAGCCCCGAGAGGGTTTTTGTTTGTGCTTCACCTTTATGCTGATGCCCCTGTCTGTTCGAAATGACCGTCGTGGTCAAGGGAATTGGCATGTACTTCTGGACGGTAGCACAAGGAGCAATGAGGGAGCAGATGATGGCGTCTGACAGACGCACCTGTCCTAGCAACTACAGACTCTGAGCAAGCACCAGTGACAGCAATAGCCGCCTCTCTCTCTCTCTCTCTCTCTCTTTTTAAAGATTATTTTTATTTATTTATACAAGCACTGGGTACAGTCAGAAGCACGAGAGGGTGAGAGAATTCACCAGAGCCAGAGCGGGGAGCAGAGCAGGCAGAAGGACTGAAGTACACTGCTGAGGGGAACAGCGGACGGCAGGAGAGGTCTGCGCGCCATGTGGGACCCTCCTCCGGTGGCTGGGGAGCAGCTGGGGATAGAACTGGCGCTGCAGAGGCTGCGGGCAGCTTTGCAACCCAGCACTCAACTGCTGTGCCACCGGGGAGGCCCCGCCACTCGTGTTTTTAGAATAAGATGGTATATGGTTTATTATTCTTTTCTGAATATGAAAAGAAGAGAATAAGAAAGGAAGAGATCAACAAGGCAAAGGAAGACAGAGTTTCAGGAGACTTCCAGCCCGTGGTGCTTGTCCAGCCCAGGGGTTTAACACTGACTGGTGATTACACACGCCACTAATGTGTGTGTGTGTGTGTGTGTGTGTGTGTGTGTGTGCATAGCTGGTGCCTTCCATCAGCTAGTGCAGGAATATGATCATGTAGTTTTCTGTGCCATTTATTTATTTTTTAAAGATTTATTTACTTATGCATACAAGAACTGGGCTGTAAGCCAGAGGTGTGGTGGGTAAGAGGATTTACCAGAGAGAGTGGGGAGCAGAACAGGCAGAGCCACTGAAATCCACTGCTGAGAGGAGCAGTGGGGAGACAGGAGAGGTCTGCTGCACCCTGTAGGTTACTCCCTGGCCGGGCGGGGGATTGAACTTGTGCTGTAGTGGTTGGTGATATCTTGATAGCGCTGTCCTTAATCCCTGCGCCACCAGGGAGGGCCTGTGCCATTTATTTAGAGTGACTTCAGTGGAAGTCCTCAATGCTGCAGTTGGACTCAGTGTATGCAGTAAGGGGTGACAGGTACCAAGTAATTTGGGTAATCTCTAGGGTTTCTAACCATGATCTGTGATTTCAGGTAAGCATTCCCCAAAGCCCCTAGCTACACAAGACCACTGAGCACTTGAAATGTAGATGTCTGAATGGAAATGTGCTTTGAGTATAAAATAAACTGGATTTCAAAATTTTAGTATGAGAGATGTGAAACGGCATGAATAGTTTTTATATTGAAGATGTGTTAAAAATGAAAATATTTTAGAGTTAGCAAGGTAAATATATCATTAGAATGAATTTCCACCTGTTTCTTTTTACTGTTTAAATGTTGCCACCAGGAAATTTAAAACCCCACTCTCCTGCTGGACTGGTCTGCTAGGGAGAGAGGTGCAGAACTAAAGTTGTATCAACAGTTAAAAGAACCATCATTACATTGTCACATAAAATTTGGTAACAGGTCCTTCCGTGGCTGGGTAAATAAAGAATGCAAGGAGGCCTCCCTGGTGGCACAAGGGGTTAAGCACCTCACTATGAAGCAATCCACAGCCTCTGAAGCACAAGTTCTATTCCTGGCCGGCCAGGGAGCTACCCATATGGCGTGGCAGACCTCTGATGTCTCGCCCGCTGCTCCCCTCAGCAGTATATTTCGTCAGTCTGCCTGTTCTGTTCCCCACTCTGTCTCTGGTGGATCCTCTCATTCCCCACATCTCTGGCCTATACCCCAGCTCTTGCATGCATAAATAAGTAAATATTTAAAAAAATAAAAAGAATACAAGGAGACATCTTAAACGTGAATAGAGAAATGCACGTGAACACCTAGGGCTGGGCTGCAGGGTCCAGCGAGCTGGGGCTGCTCACCTGGGCACTGCTCCAGCTGCTGGAGCTTGCTCTCGTTGATGTCTGTGGCTATGACTCGGGCGCCTTCTCTCGCAAAAGCCTGGTGGACACAAAGCAGAAGCACAAGTGAGCCCTTTGTTTGCCAGGACCTGCTTTCCTGAGGGCAGCCTCCAGCCTCAGCTCCTTTCATCCTGGTTTCTTTGCTGTCTCTGTGCAAGGGGTTGCAGGGGGAGGGGCTCAGGCCCTCCAGCGTCACCTCCCGCTTCCCAGGGTCGTTCTTCTTATCACTAATAAAAACAACGTGACCTGCCTGCTGCCTGTCATGTGCTTTGCCCCCGTAAGTAACTCCCAGTAAAACAGTTGGTGAAAACATGTAACGCCTCTGGGGATGCCTCTGTTTCTGGGTTTGAGCGCCTGCTTGCCACCTCTGAGCAGGAGACTCAATTCCAGTTAATAGAAAAATGGGTTATTTGAACACCTTTCTTCCTGAGAGTGCAGGAGGGCATGGGGCTAATGGGAGGTGAGGGGAGCTGCCAGCGTTGGAGCCCTGAGCCCTCCACCCACAGACACATCACACATGGTGCACACACAGATGGGTCACTCAATAAACTGGTGAGGGGTGTGTTCCTTCCTCCACCCGCCTGGTTGGGGGGGTCTGGACTCCTCTTTTTGTAACTGAAGACAAGAGAAGCACAAAGTGAACTGAAAAAGGGAGAAGGGAAATGAATGACCATGGAACATGCCTGCATCGTTCAACACCGCAGAGGTCAGTGAGCCAGCACCGGGGTTTAACTCACCAAGGCAGCAGCCCGGCCGATGCCCTGGGCCGCGGCTGTCAGCACGATCACCTTCCCGTCCAGTCGGCCCATGCTGACCCCGAGGATGCTGGATCTAGAGAGAGGTGCGTCAGAGGTGTGCACTGCCTAGGGCACCCATGGACTTCCCTGAAATCCTGGAGATACCACCTCGGTGGGAACAGACCCCACCTGAATTCCCCAGGCACCCTCGAAGGCTCTAGATGCTGGCTATGTGCCCAGAGGCACTTAGCACCCCTGCAGAAGTGGTTGCAGACACAAGAGCTCCACAGCCCTCTCTGCCCCCCTCAGCTACCCAGCCCTCTCTGCCCCCCTCAGCTATGACATCACGTGTCTGTACCAGTTGGGGGGCTACTCCTCCCTTTCCTCTAGCAGAATTGTTGGTTCTGCACAATCTGAGCTTTCCCTTTGTTCCTTGGGAAAATTTCACATTTGGTCTCAGTTACTGCACAAGAGCACAGGATGTGCCCAGCACCCCATTTTACAGGTAAGGAAATTGATGGGAGGCCCTCATCCCCCAGGTCCCAGAGCCAGAACTAAACTCCTGACCCTGACAGTCCAGTGTCCAGAACATTCCACCCACAGCCTGCGGTCCCCACAAAGGTTTCCCAAGTAGTAACACTTTAACAAGCACAGAGCCGCCCTCTTAAGGGAAGACAGGAATCCGGCCTGGGGGCCTCGCCCTTGTATCCCAGGAGCAAAGCAGCCCTAGAATTCCAGCCTACAGAGTCATTGCCAATCCTAGGAGCAAAGGAGGCCAGAGTTTGAGAGTTCTGTTTTCTGGCTTTTCCAAAGTAAAAGGCAGGGAAAGTGAGCTGGGTGGGGTGGAGTGGCAAGTTCGGCCTAAGTAAGACCCAGCAGTCCGCTGCCGCACCCGGGTCTGCAGGAGGCCGGGGAAGTGGCTGGCAGGGAGGGCTCTAGTGGTGGAGCTCTTTCTTCTGGAACCTTTCTGTTCTCTGCAGTCAAGCCCGGCTTTTTCGGCTTTTATTGTTTTTTGTTGTGCCGCAAGCGGTTTATTTTTGGTGAGTTCAGCTCCCTTGCTGAGGCCCCGGACTCCTTGGGGAGGCAGGCAAAAGGGCCCAGGCAAGAGCCCTGCGCGGAGATGTCCTGCGGGCAGTGGAGCACAGGCTGGGGGCGGGGGTGCGCAGGCAGGTCAGGGGTTCCTGGGAAGGGGGTGGGCGGAAGACCTGGTTGATGGCACTCTTTTCTTCGCCCTCTTGAACCTCAGTCCTCCAGTCACCAAAGTCACTGCCCCTGAGCCTGCTCAGCTCAGAACGCTGCCCCCGATTTTATTAGAGGACGCCCGTCCAGGGGTCCTTCTGAGTAGTGCCTAAGGAGGAACAGCCCCAAGCAAACCTAAGCAGGTTTAATGCCTTTTGGAGCCTGCTCTCAGAGGGCCAGGCCAACGACAGGTCAGAGGAACTGGCTGGGGCCACGTTCCACTCAGCTGTCTGCACAGGTGAGGCCAAGGCTTGGCATTCACCGGCCTGCTTAGATGCGCTGGGTCTCTGCCGGGCTTTCAGCTCCTAGCGAGCAATACACTCTCACTCTGTGGAAAGCGGTGACTTCTAACCACCCTGCACTTCAGAGAGGGCCTCACCCCACCCCAGCAGGCCTCAACACCTGTGGCAGAGCTCGCCTGGCCCCCACCTGATCCCGGCGGGCCTCCCTGTCCTCCTGAGACCAGATTTTGGGGTCAAAGTCTTGCTATTAGCTAAACCGCACTGTCCAGAGAAAACAGACTTACTTGGGGAGATCAGTGCAAACACGGCCTGAAGCCGCAAAAAAGGCCAGGCAGCAGCACCTCCGAGGTGACCCAGGCATCTGGCCGCTCCTACTCTACATATGTCAGCTTGTCATTAGGGGAGCGAGCGAGTGAGCGCGAGCGCGCCCCTTTCCAGGAATTCTATGCTCAGGAGCCAGAAAGAAAAAGTTTTTTTGACAGAAACGCAAGTTCCTTTCTTCTCTGGCCCTCTGCAAGCCCAGGGAAGCCGAGCTGCGAGCGTGTCCAGAGCCCAGCCTCTCCCGCCCCGGGACGACTCCCCTAAAATGAGCAGCGCACAGACGGAGCAACACCTAAAAGTCAGGCCCCCCCTTTCTCAGAACAACGCGGTTTTTCAAAAATGTTAGTAAACTTACTGAGAGCTGCGAGGGGCCCGTCCAGCAGGATCCCGCAGCGCCTGGGGAGCGGGCGGGGCTGCGGGCGGGCTGCGGGCGGAGCGAGGGGCGGGCTGCGGGGCGGGCGCCGCCGGCAGCGCGGCGGGCTGCGGCGGAGCGAGGGCGGGGCGCCGCGGCAGCGCGGGGGCGGGCGCCGCCGCATCGGTGGGGGGCGGGACACCGCCGACAGAGCAGGGCGGGGCGTCGCCGGCGGAGGGGGGGCGTCGCCGGCGGAGGGCGGGCGTCGCCTGCGGGGGGCGGCGTCGCCGGCGGGGCGGGGCGTCGCCGGCGGGGCGGGGCGTCGCCGGCGGGGGGCGGGCGTCGCCGGCGCGGGGCGGGCGGGGTGCGCTCCGGCTCTCTCGGCTCGCCGCGCCTGCCTTGCGCGCGCTGCCGTCCAGGGGCGCGGGCAGCCCCGCGCTGCAAGTGGCGGCGGGAGGCTGGCGGCCGCCTGCGCGTCGCCGTCCCCTCCCGCGCCCCCCGCGGGCCCCGTGCCTTGGGGCCCACGCGGGGTCCGGGCGCGGGGCGCGCGCGGCAGGGCCCGCAGCCGCCCGGCCGGGAGGGGAGCACGCGCCTGTGGAGAGGGCGGCGCAGCCCGTCGGGGGACGCGAAGGCCGCGCACCCCGCGCCGCCAGGGGCCCCGGGCGGCTGAGGAGGGCGGGGCGCGCCTCCCGACGCGGGGTCCCGCGCGCCCTGCCGCTTGGTGCAGGCGCCTCCGTTCCCCTCGCCCGCTCAGCACCCACCCAGCGCTTTCCTGCCTGTCATTTCAGGACGTCTGGAGACAAAACCTCTGCTACTCGAGCCTCCTTTGCAGGCGGACTGGCCAGACTCACAGGGCAGGAACTCTGGGGGGTCCTTCCTCCTAGGACAGGCAGGGGAGGCCTCCCCGAAGGCTTTCGCTCCTTCCCGGCTTTTTTGCGGGCCGCACACGTGCTGCCTCCGGCCGGGCAGCCACTTTGTGACTGCGTGTGAGGCCCGAGGCCACGTTAGAACAGCGGGGCAAGGGCAGGGGCCTGGTTCCTTGAAGACAGTCTTGGGGCGGCAGTTCCAGAATAACTCCTCTACGCTTATGTGCGAAACATAAGTCTGGGCCTTCTTTTTTTCAAATTTTCGGGTTCTGGAGCTAAGTGTGTTCATGTCACGGTGGTTAAGAACAAAGACGAGTCAGAAAGATGGAGGTAAATCCTACCCTTTCCTCCCTGGTAGGATGCAGTTTCCCACAGCAGCCACCTCAGGAATCTGGGGCCTTGTGTATAAAACCATCAGCACAGCACCTGCTAGTTGTACTTAGTGAGTTTTAGAAACTCAGTTATTGATATAATGGATGGTAAACGTTGCCCAGTGCAGCTCCTAGTGTTGGCTGGTGTGTGAGCATAGCCAGCTGTGCTCCTGGCCTAACCAACAAGGCCTCTCCTTGTCCTTGGACTTAGGCACGGACTTCTGTGAACACGAGTCTTCTTCAGCGCAGGCCCACTCTAATACTTCTTTCCCGACATTGTTCCCTTCAGCCTCCCTCCTCTACTGATCTCCAACAGTGCAGGGGGCTCCCAACAGCCTGCCACCTGTTGTACCTGTCAGCCCTTCCCGCTGTCAGTAGACTAGTTCTTCAAGGGTAGGGAAGGACCCTCTCTCTCCTGCCCTTCTGTGGTGATCACCTCATATTAAAAGCTATTTGTCTTAGTTCCACAAAGGCAGTGCATTTGGTGTCTAGACCAATGATGGGCAGACAGGTCAGAAAGTATTTGCTGAGTATGAATGGTAGGTTCTCAACAAGATTCCTGGATATAATTTGCTAGGCTCTCAAAGAAATGTTTCCTATGAATAAAATATTTTGTCCTTTGGTACTGTTATTACTCTTTAGACCATTTTACTGTTGTTTGGACATAATACTACTTTTTAATATACTTGCAAGTTTCCGTTGCTGGTTTTCTTCATTGTTCCACAGGATCACTTATCATGCTATTGACACTTGTCAGAGTTGAGCAAGACTCTGAGGAAGAGGTAAATAAGACCAAGGAATAGGAAGCTTCAGCTCTCTCCCCCTGACACCAACTTACCAGTACCACAGAGGGAGACACATTTATGAGAACCTCAGAGCCCACTAGGGAGTTGTAGCAACCTCGCTGAGAGGGTAAGAGCTATTTCACTTGACCTCGCTCACTTTTTCCCAGCTCCGCCCCACTCATGGTTTCTCCATCACATGGAGAGTGGAAAGTACACCCCAAGTCCTGGGCTTTTGGAGGGCTGCTTGAGTTACTGCCTTCTGACTCCTCTGACTTGGTAGGCTGATGGGTCAGGTGTACTCGGTAGTAGGGGGCTTGAGGTCCCACCCCCCCGGATTAGTGGGCTCTGCCAATCTAAATTGCAGCTTCACCCTTGGGTGGGAGAAGTGTGGAGTGTCTGGTGGCCCAGTTTACCAGAGGGCCACCTGAGGATCACTCTATTGTGCTGGACTTGGGGTGCTGTCCTTTGAATGCTAGAGACAGAAAAAAGGGGCTTCCTGCTGCAGCACCAGCATCTGCAGTACTTCAGACAGACACGAGAGGGAACAAGAGAGGAGACCTCTGGATAAGAAACTAGTTGTAACTAGAGGCAAAGGTCTCTAGTTAAAGTCTTAAAAGATTTCAGAGACCCTCAGAATCTATCACTGGGATCACTGATGGCCTTCCCATGTGAGAAACCATCTGCACACACTACAAAAGGTGACTTTTTTTGTCAAATGCATAGAACTGAGCAAAAGATCAGAAGGGGGCCTCTCTGGTGGCACAGGCGGTTGAGCGCCGCACTGTGAAGCTGTCCGCAGCCAAATGCAGCGTGGGTTCAATCCCGGCTGGCTGGTGACAATCCCACATGGCAAAGCAGACCTCTCCTGTCTTGCCTGCTGCTCCCCTCAGCAGTGTATTTCGTCAGTCTGCCTGTTCTGTTCCCCTCTCTGTCTCTGGTGAATCCTCTCACCCTCCTGTGCATCTGGCCTGTACCCGGTTCTTGTATAAAAATAAGTATTTAAAAAAAAAGAGATATCAGAAGGCACACAAAGCCACATGTAGCCCAAAGTCACAAAACGATGCCAGAAGCCAACCCCAGTGAGTGCTGAATGCCCTGACAAGGAATTAAAAATTACTGTTTTTAAAAAGCTCAATGATCTAAGAGAATGCATAGGAAAAATTAAAAGTAACCAGGAAAATGATGCATGAAGAAAATAGTATATTAGCAGAAATTGTAAAAAAGAACCAAATTCTGGAGCGGACGAGTATGACAACCAAATTGAAACCACTACAGGGTTCAACAGCAGACTGGAGGCAGAAGAATCAACAAAGCGAAAGACAGGTCATTTGAAATCCCTCAGTCACGGAAGAAAAATAGAGAAGTGACCCTGAAGTGCTAATGGGACATCAGCAATGGACCAAAATTGCATCATGGCCTTCCAGAAATGAAGTGAGAAAGGGACACACCAAGACTAATGGCACCAAACTACCTGAAATCTGAGGAAGGACGTAGAACTCTAAATTCAAGAGTTAAGCAAACTTCTCCTAGACTGGACAGCTGATGACTGATTACGCTGTAACAACCTTCAGTTTTATTTTCCAGGTGAATATACTTGCTATGACTTTGTGCTACTTTTATTCAGAAGAGGATCACACATTGTAAAGAATAAAACCTACAGATGATAGATATATGCCTTGTTAGGCTCGGGGACAGGAAGCTGAACAGAACAATCATTTCCCTTCAGCCCTAGTGAATTCCTGTGAGTTGTTACGATAAGGAATAATATCCGAGAGGATTTAAAATGATGGTCATGATGCAAATTTGTGATCTTGTCCTTTGCATCTTCCTACCAAAGAACCAAGAATGTCCTGAAACTACTAACTGTTCTAAACTTTGTATAGCTTGCCGTTTTATGTGGTATTTCAAGTCACCTGATATAAGAGTACCATTGAGTACTCTCTCAAACCTCACTTCTTCACCTTTAATATGGTCACAGGTCCCTGAGAACATAAAGGTATGGATCTTGGGCCTTCCCGGTGGCACAGCGGTTGAGCGCTAGGTTGAGAAGCTGCCTGCAGCCGCTGCAGCAACGGTTTGATCCCCGGCCGTCGGGCGAGGGTCCCACATGGCACGCAGACCTCTCCTGCCACCCGCTGCTCCCCTCAGCAGTGTATTTCGTCAGTCTGTCTGTTCTGCTCCCCGCTCTGGCTCTAGTGAATTCTCTCGCCCTCCCACGCTTCTGACTGTACCCACTGCTTGTTTAATAAATAAATAAACCTTAAAAAAAAAAAAAAAAAAAAAAAAACTATGGATCCAGGCAGGGTGCTCACCGGGGGTGGGCGGGTAGTCAGCGTGAAAAGAAGCAAGAACTCAGGCCATTACACCACGCCGAAGATAAGGACTAGAAAACGAAGAGGCGCTAGCACTTGCTATTCCTTCATGACTGAAATCCAGAAAACGTGTATCTTCTCATAGCAAAATCCTGAAGGGCAGCAAGAGAGCAGAGCAAAACATATCGGAGTACCCAGCAAGAGGCCTCTCAGGGAGGTAATGGAGAACTGCCATTAGGAACTGCTTGACATTTACTGAATGTTCAAGGTACTAAAAATGTTTATAATTTTGCTAACCACATGATGCTTTATATTAATTTGTGCATTACAATTCAAAAGTAAGTCACATGTCTACAACTTTACACTAGTAAAATGTATACATTTTATGAATACATGGGAAAACCACACTTCCTTCAATGAATTTATTCTTTACAAAATACACAAATAAATAAAATGATTGATTTCTAAAATATTGGCATGTTGAAGCAGGCACCCCTATCACTGTCCTACCTTACTGGAAAGCACTTATCTCTGGGCTGTTCATCTTCCAATTCTGGTGGCAAAGGGAAAATGGAGTTGCAATGAGGTTGGCTGTGACAGAGCTGCCAGAGACAGTCATTTCCCAACCAGGTTCATGGGCCACTTGGATCCAAGAAAGTGACAGAGACGAGGCTACTGGGTCTTGCATTCTGGCATGTCAGACTCAGAGGAGGTGAGCCAGGCACCCGGCTGAGGGGCCACATTCTCTGCTCCGGTGGTCTGTTCTTCTGAGGGAAGAAAGCAAAAACAGAAACAATCATAGTAAAAAATATACAGAACCAAATGCAACTGGGAGTGGAAAGGATGCGAGGAAAGCAGAGATAAGAAAAAAGGAAAAAGGCCAGGTGCCCATTAACTTCCTCTGGCTTGCCTAAGAAGCAATCCTCACGTCGCCTATTTTGGAGAGATGTATCCCACTCTCTCTCTCAAATTTTTTTCACAAGTAAAAACCATATCTATAAAATGAAGTAAACTCTTACTTGGAATTCAGTAATTTGAGATTCAAAGTGATCAAACAGATGATTTTCTTTTGACTTACTTTTAGAAAAATAGTGTGCTAAATAGAGTATGTGTTTTAGAGACAATTTAGCCACCTTTGGAAAACTTTGAGACTTTAGAAAGCTCGCTCAGTCTCCTCTAATGTTTAAAAATAACACTCATTTTTAAAAGTTATTATACTTATTAAAGTAAATTGAGTATACTTGGTTTTAATAATTAGGTTGTTGAGATAATTTAGATTACCTTTTGTAATTAAAATTAATGACTGACATTAAACAATTTTTAGACTCATTTTATAAATTCAAGCTGGAACTATGTCCTTTAACTCTGAAATGTCAGTTTTTGATTTACATATTCCTCCAGGCTACTTTTTATTTACTTCACTTAATAAACAGTACCAGAGACAGTCATATATTGATAAAATGACAGGTGTTTTTATTTGTTTGGAGTAATTCATATTTTGCACGTGTTGCCTCTGTCACTATTAGATAACTCAGATTTTCAAGCCTCCTAAAATCTCACGTGTGACACAGTCCAAGCTCCCTGTGTTAGCCAGTGGACAGTTCTTAAATGTTTGTTAAATACTAGGTGGGGGACATACCCCCCAAAATGTCCTTCCTGTGCCCCTCAGAGCATGTCCAGCTGCTGACATGCTCTAACTTTGGGGTGTAATAGATGTATACGGCCTCAGACCCTGCAGCTGTGCTCAAGGCTTCTCCTGGTTCAGCAGCCCCTATCCTCAGGCCCAACAGCTGCTGCAGCTCCCAATGGGTGAGGCACCGCCCCACAGGACTCTGGCTGCACATATGGGTCATGTGACAAAGGTTGTGTCACCAGGAAGGTGACAAGAAATGCCTGTTGCCCAGAGCCTCCTGCCTCACCCTATCCTGACAGCACTCATGGGGAGGGTGGGCCCTGATCCCTTTTCTGCCCCATGCACTGATTTAACGCTCACATTTCTCTCATCTGTCCTCTCGCGCTGCGTCACTTCCTGCTGCACCACTGCCACACACTGCTATCACCACTCACTGTTCAGCAGACAGCACAGGCTGTACCACCTACAGGCCTGGGGTCTGGCTCTACTCTCGGCCCCAGGTCCACCTGCAGAGGCCTCTGTGCTCTGTGGCCCTGTTTCTGCCCTCCCACTGGGGCTGTCACCCACCTGTAGGTTAAATAACTCATGGTAATGCCCTTCAAGGAGCATTCTGTTCCCTTCAAGGAGCACCTCTAGTATACCTAAAACAAAGGTGGTGACATATCTCCTGGCCCCTGTACTCTAGAATTTGTCCTTTTCTGGACTACCCTGTTGCTGGACTGCTCCCCATGAGGGCTGGCATCATGGCTGGTTCTGCTCTTCAGTCAGTGTCCACCAGGGCTTAATGCCTGACACACAGTAAGAGGCCAACATATGCTGCTGACTGGGTGAATGCGTAAGTGCACAAGTCGCTGTCTGGCTTGTGTAGCAGGCAGGACATGAACACGTGCCATGCAATTAGTAAGAAAGGCCTTTCCAAAGAAACTATTTTGTTTATAGGGCAGTGTCTTTATGTTTTTGGGAAAAGCTGAGCATTGTAGAGGCAGAATAAAGACTGGACTTGGGGTGAGATGTGGCCACACAATAGTGCTATGGGGAATCCTCCTGCCACAGGTGCAAAGGGCACAGGCAGCTGCCCAGCCATGCCCCCTCTGCCCACACCTAGGGCTACGTGCTGAAGATGAGGTCCAATGCCCCATGCCAAGAAACCAGGACAGCCACCTACCAGGGCAAAGGCCTAGGCCAGAGTTGTCGAAATAGCGAACCGGGTGTGGTGCTGGGAAAGATTTCGTGCGACTGTCGAAGAACCAGGACTTGGGAGACTCCTGGGGCGCGGGGTCTGGTCTGTTTCGCTCCTTGCACTGGGAGGGTGTGCGGTGCCTCCTCTTAGAGACCATGCCAGCCACCTTCGGAGACTTTGGAGAAATCTCACGGGCTGCCTCACTGTGAGGGTCTCTTTTCAAAGTTCTCTCCTTCCAGGTTCTGACCTCATTGGAAAGATGGTGATTATTGCTTAAACATGGAGAAACAAAAAAGGAGCTCATTAGCATACCTGAGATCTGAAATGTCCACACATCACACTATTCTTTACAATGGAGTGACAACACAAAATATCCTTGACCATTTTATCGTGTTTATATTTTAATTTCAACCAAGCTCTTCCTGTTTGGACTGTTTCTGCAGTTCAGAAAATGGAACGAGGGCGATACAAACTGACTGACCTCCACAGTCACAGTGTTGTGGACGCAAGCCCGGAATGGGGATTGGGTCTTCGGGCGAATTAGCGTCACCCAGAGTGATTTATCTGCTGAGCTTCTGCGGCCAAACTGCAACAGAGTGGGTCTTCTGGATGCTGGATTGACCTGGCCTTTGTAATTTTAAAGATGATACTGCGTGCCCCTTCTTGCTTCCTATGGGAGAGGCCACGGGCATTGACCTAGTTCCTCCAGAGCCTGGGAGCAAGCCGAGGGGTGACTCCCTTTCCTTCACATCAGTCTGGTAGGAGGCGAAGCCACAGGCTCATCTCTGCCCTGCACCTCCTCATTGCTGTCCCCTTCGGTGCCACTGTCATCCATGCTGAGGTTACCTTTGCTGGAGCAGAATAGAGCCCGGTGCCCTAACACCAGCAACGCCATCTGACCTCACCAGGTGGGCTCACAATCCTCCCCTCACGTTCTAGATGCCCCAAAGGCCCGTGTGATCTGGACCGATGACCTGGCACCTCACCGCCCCATCCCCTGTGCCCTGGCCATGCCAGGCACCTCTGTCCCCGTCACCTGGCGGAACTCCTACTCTAGTCTCTTGATCACCACTCCTCCCGACATCTAGACAAGGTCCCACCCTCTGTTCCACCCACTCACAATGTCCCATTTGGTTTTTCACTTGTTTAATAGCAATCACTATAAATAATTATTTGTATGATTATTTGTTTAATGAACGCTTTCCTCTATGCTATCACTAGAAGTGTGTTCTTGCCAAGACGCTCATCTTTGGTAGATGCATGATAATTTGTTAGAACTGTTCCTAAAGTAAAAGTAAACAGGCCACGATACCAGACTGAAAGCTGCTTTGAGGAGAACCTTGCAGACTGGGCATGTGCAGTTGTGTATTTAAGCCGACTCTCAAAAATCTCTTGGCCCCCTGGCTCTTGGCTTAGTTGAAAATAAGTGAGTCGACTGACAGTAAGCACACAGGATGGCTGTCATCGTGTCCTTCCCCCTCTTTACAGACACGTTACACGGACTGTCTGTGTGGGAAGGTTCACCAGCAGGTACACAGTGTCTGTGCAGCCCACCCTCCCACCTGCACCTGCGCGGGGGCACGCCCGCGGCATGGTCACACACCTTACCTTAACAGTTCATCGTTTTCCTTGAGGAGCTGTTCATTTTGCTGCTTTAACTTGGAATTTTCTTTTTCTAGCCTTACATATTCACTTTTCAGGATCAGAGCTTTGGTGCTTTGTACAATGCCACTGCCACCGCCACAGGTTAGGGGTTTATTTGCAGGCTGAGACTCAGTGTGTTCTGAGACCACTGTGGGAGACAAGTACACAAACACGATGACTTTACTTACCTTCAAACTTCAAAATAAAGGAAGCCTTATTAAGTGCGATCAGTCACTATAAAAACCAAAATACCTTGATCACCACGTCCCCTGAGGTCAGATGTGACTTTCTTCTACCTCAAGCCTCCCTTGCCTAGCCACTCATCATTCTAAATACAGAATGTCTTCACTTGAAGTGAAACAATGTATGAAGAAGCCAATTTACCACAGACGAACAGTCAGAAACAAGACCTGAGTCCTCGAGCAGGGCGCTGGTCACAGACACGACCACCATGACACTTTCTAAATAAAGACCAGAACACTACTCCCCTCCATCCATCCGTTCTCCAGCCCGCTACTCCAGGGCACCTCAGGATGTTATTTCCAGGCAGGGCCCATCACACTCCCACACTCACGCTGAGGGGCCATTAAGATACTCCGATGATCCTGAATGACCCTCATGTGCAGATCTTGGGAAGTGAGGGGACCTAGAGGCCCGGAGAAGATCTACAGATGCAGGGAGAAGGTGCCAGCTCTAACGGCCAGGGCTGGGAGTCGAGCGGTGGTAACCCTCACGATGCTGCTCTGGCCCCCAGGGTGTCTCCAGGATCCTGCCAGTCCCACCACCACAGTCCTGCTCATTGCGTCTCTCCAGGGCCATGGTGCAGCAGCTCCAGTGATGGCGGCGGCACCGGGAGGGCACCTCACAGCACAGGATGTGGGAGCCACTCAGGGCACCACGAGGACTCAGCACATTTGTTCAACTAAGTGAACGTTCATCATGGAGTAACACAAAAGGCGGGGAGGGTATATGTAATTTTCTTTGCAGCTATTTTGATTTCAGCATGTACCTGAACATCAGTTACAAATCAGGTGTAATCATCTGGACCCTTCTGTAACAACGAAGGATCCTCAGGTCTCTTTTATACCTTAAAGTTTTCTAGGAACCAGGGTTATCCCGCAAGGCTCAGGGAGCTAAAGCTAAACATGTACCATGCACCTTATCTGTACATCTTTAGCTTTTCTTAAATAAGCCGAGAGTAATATGCACATCTTACGTCTGCTTGGCATCTGGAATTTTTGGTGCGTTTTCACATGGGACTGTGGGCGCGACCCTTGCACTAAGCATGTGTGAGTAGAAGGTTGGGTGGCCCCGCCCTCTCGTGGCGAAGGCATTGGTTCAGGGAGCGGCCTGCCAACTAGACAGTGGCCAAGTCCTGTGGCATCTCTCTCCCCATGTAAAACAAAAGAGACAGAATGTGGGACAGGGTGGGCTGAGGACTGTTTACGCAGAGACTTGATCAGCTCTGAAACTGCCCACGCTATACTTCCAAGCAGATGCACAGGCCAGCATGCACTCTGCGTGCCCAGCATGGACAGTAGGTCCTGTCTACATATGGCCACAACCTGTGAGACACAGGTCATGCTCTTAGGAAGGCTGCTCCTGCCTTTAGGGCTTTAAGTCAGAGCATCTTCACCAACATAAACAACTAAGACTGCAAAGGTAAAAATTCATATTTTTCAAGACTATACAGTGATAAACAGTGGAACTATGTCTACCAAGGAAATGTCTCAGGAAAAGACCCCAGGAACACATCTTAGAAACAGTTCTTCTGTGTCCGGATCAGGCAGGTTTACCTGACAGTTAGGTGCAGGAGTCTGAGAGATGTCAAGGGGCTGAGACGTACATGGAAAGTCTCTTCTACTTACTTGAGGTATCTTGGGCCTGTTGATTTCTTCTAAGATTTTCTCTCAGTACCCGTATAACTTCTTTTTGATAGTCTACGGCGGCTTTTACAGAAGTCATCCTAATAGAAGAAAAAAAGAAAGACTTTAATGGCAGACTAAAAAGACCTGTAGTCAAGAATTTTCTGCTGAGACCATCACAGTGACAGAACATCCCCAACAGGCAGGAGTGACGTCCTCATGCAGCTCCTGCAGGGGAGGGGGGTGGTCCTCACATGGGGGCAGGGACAACATTCTTAACTACTAGCTGGTTACTGAGCAGTATATCTGGAGGGACCATGAAGCCATTAGATGTTTACCATGAGGTCCTAGAAACAGCTAGAAGGCTCAGCAATTCCCTAACAGTTCCCTTCCCAGGATGTCAGGGAAGCCAACGCAGGCTGTGGCCTGGAATGCGAACGGCTGATCCGCAGTGCTAAATTACAGGGCTTCCTGTCTTTCTCAGATAGTATCTTTTTTCAGATGCTCTGAAAGTATCTGCTGACTCTGAGCTGTAAGTCAAACTGCTTTTCATAATTAACAGGTACAAATGCTACTGAAACCAACAGACTTAGCAAGAGGAAGGCTAGTTAAGTGAGACAGCACCAAGGTACAGAGAGCCACTTTGGGGCAGATTAGGTATCATTAAATATTCATCAGAGGTTTAGGGAAGAATAAAGAGTTGGGAGTCAGAAGGGCTTTTAAGAAATGCTCTATTACTGGGCCTCCCCTGGTGGCGCAGCGGTTGAGCGCTGGGCTGGGAGGCTGCCCGCAGCCTCTGCAGCGCCGGTTCGTTCCCCGGCTGCCGGCAAGGGTCCCACAAAAAAAAAAAAAAAAAAAAAAGAAAGAAATGCTCTATTACAAATCGAGCTTTGACTATTAAGGTTAGGACCAGAGAGATTCAACAGTTTGCTGAAGTGATACCTTAGTAAGTGGCAACATCTCCCTTCTCACTCAGTTTCCCTGCCTGCTTAGTATCTTTTCCTGTGCTGCTTCACCAAGGCCACGGCATGCTATCACACAGCACCGTGCATAGACAGCCCTAGAGGAGACTGTGCTCCTGGGGACAGGTGCCACAAACAACAAGGAGGTACAGCCCCCATGTGACACAACAGAAAGACCAACACAAATCTTAGTCAACCGCTAAACACACAATAACACTTTCAAGCCACACAAGGACTGTTCTTGAGCTGTTACTATGATTGATAAAAAAGCACCCCAAAGCACAGTGTTGTTAATTGATCACAATTATCATTAGTTGAAGAATTTCATATGCTTAAAATCTGGATGTATTTGTTTCAAAGAAACAATTAAGAGTATCTTCATATGGGCCTCCCAGGTGGCGCAGCGGTTGAGCGCTGGGTTGCGAAGCTGCCCGCAGCTTCTGCGGCGCCGGTTCGATCCCCGGCTGCTCCCCGGCCACCGGAGGAGGGTCCCACATGGCGTGCAGACCTCTCCTGCCGCCCGCTGCTCCCCTCAGCAGTGTACTTCGGTCCTTCTGCCTGCTCTGCTCCCCGCTCTGGCTCTGGTGAATTCTCTCACCCTCCCGCGCTTCTGACTGTACCCAGTGCTTGTACAAACAAACAAATAAATAAATAAAAAATAAAACATGCCTCTATAAAAAAAAAAAAGTAATTTAATTTAAAAGAGTATCTTCATAAACCATATTTTAAAAAGTTAACTAGTGCCGATAAACTTATATAGTATAGAAGGGGGATTTAAGTCACTAAAATCATGTCCGATTAAGGCAAAGACATACTCCTTTTCAAACTCCTTGGTGAGTTTCATCTTCTCCAGGTCTACTTTGACCAGCTTTGTTTTGAGATCTTCAATTTCTTCTTTATAAGGTTTAGCTCCCAAAACGGCCTTGTCCTACATTTTTTAGGGAAGACAAAGACAAAGATAATTTTAAAGTAGTTTCAAAGAATCCCCTCTGAGTGGGTAGGACTATTTAAGAACAGCCAACTCCAAATAAATGAAAAACAGGGAAGATCACTTAACAGCAAAACAAATAACAACTAGACATTTCATGCGAAGAATTTTTTTTTTTTTTTTAAAGATTTATTTATTTATTTATACAACCACTGGGTACAGTCAGAAGCGCAGGAGGGTGAGAGAATTCACCAGAGCCAGAGCAGGGAGCAGAGCAGGCAGAAGGACCGAGGTACACTGCTGAGAGGAGCAGCGGGCGGCAGGAGAGGACTGCGCGCCATACGGGACCCTCCTCCGGTGGCCGGGGAGCAGCTGGGGATCGAACCAGCGCTGCAGAGGCTGCAGGTAGCTTCGCAACCCAGCGCTTAACCGCTGCGCCACCGGGGAGGCCCCTCATGCGAAGAATTTCTAAAGCCGACATGTGGTTAGAGAACACACAGCTTTTAGATCTTAAATTCTTTTCCACGTAAAAAATGATGCACCTGAACAAAATGAAACCAAAAGGCTGAAAATCATGGAGTGGTGGGTGTCATCTACAAGCCCCCTGAGTGTTTTCTCCGGGTGGACACCTGTATCCATCCATTTATTTGTCATTCACCTGCTCCCAGAAACACTTTAAGATCCCCAAGTGCAAAAGAAGCGGGACCTGCTCCATCTCACTTGTGCCCGTTCTCTCTCCACTGGTCCCACAGCTGGGTCCCCACAGCTCTGCTCTAGCTCGGACTCCTCCCCAGCTCCCTAAGTCATTGCGCATCTCGGGGTCCCAGAGGCACCTCTCCTCTGGGTGCTCGGGACTGAACCCCAGAGTCATCTCATTTCTGGCAGTCGTTTGCTTTCTCAGTGTGAGCACAGCCCTTCACACGGGTATAGGGCGATGAGCAACAGATCGGAGTGCCAAACCGCCCGCCACATTCAACAGAAACAGCAAAAACCTTTTTTTAAAAATGAAAAGAGCTTAAGTCACCTGAAGGGCTTGCATCATTTCTTTTGTTTTCTCAAGGCATTCATTTGATTCATTAACTTTCCCTTGAAGTTTTGCTATCACATCAGTCATCATCTCAAGTTCTTTCTGCATTTTTATAATCTTGCTTTCTTTATGCCTCGCGCTGTCTTTAGCTTCACGCAGTGAGGCTTCCAGCTCCTGAATTCTCTATGAGGAACAGATACACATTTAAGACGGAATCACAGTAGATGAGTTTGAGACAAAGACAGTCACATTTAGGTATTAACTTTTCACAGACTGCATTAACAAAGGATAGAAAACAAGGCAAGTATCTATCTAGAAACTGGTGATGTTTGGATTAAAAATGCCCAGATTTTGCCTTCTAATGTTTATTTTATTGACTGGTTAGCACACTCCCATTTCAACACTCACAGAAAGCACTTTTGCCAGCTGACTCTTTAACATGTATAGTTCACATTTCCTTTATTTTTTTTTTTTAGGCATGTATTTTTATTTATTTATTTGTTTGTTACATGCACTGGGTACAGTCAGAAGCGCATGAGAGAATTCACCAGAGCCAGAGAGCAGAGCAGCAGAAGGACCGAAGTACACTGCTGAGGGAGCACAGGAGAGGTCTGCGCACCATGTGGGACTCCTTAGCAATCGAACCGGCGCCGCAGAGCAGTTTCGCAACCAGCGCTCAACCGCTGCGCCACCGGGAGGCCCTTCCCTTTATTTTTGAGTTAATTTTTCAAATTGAAAAATACAAGAGAAAAATTCAAAATTCATTCAAGGCATATAATGAAGAGCAAGTTTCCCGAGCTCAGACCCAGCTGACCCTGATACAATGGCCACTGAGTCCTCCGGGGTCCCCTTCCTGAGATGCCTGTGCTTCCTGGGGCGTGCTGCACGCAGCTCGCCAACACCAGCTGCATGCACAGCCACACAACACACACCCTGCTCTGCTCTTCTTTTTCACTTGATAAGGTATATTCTAGATCCTTCCATTACCGGCACAGATAGCTCTCTCACGTTTCTGTTTTTATGGGCTTTGTGGAGGTACCATAATTTGGCTAAGCCATTATGTAATGGTAAATATTTTAGGTTATTTCTAGGTTTTTGCAAGTCAGAAGTACTTGAATATAGTTACCTGACTTTGTTCGTGGGTGACAGAGTATTTACTTGCACATACATGGAGGTTTCCTGGATAAAGTCTGCGTTTTGGGCCCACCTAGCATTTATTTTTGTTTGACTCAGGTAGGAATGCAGGCTTGCTTTATTCCCGATGGCTGGGTGGTGGTCTTGAGTCAACAGAGAGGACCAGCTCTTCCCCATGACAGGGTTGTCACCATGACCAGGACCCAGTGCTGAGGCTAATCTGGAGGCACTACTGCGCACTCTGCTCTGTCCTGACCCCATATGCCAGGCTGCTCTAGCTGGGAGGTCCAAGCAGCAGCATTTTGCTCTGTTCTCCAGAAGGCACTTCCTTGGGTCGCTGAAGAAGGAGTTTCCCTCTGTTTTTTTTATCTTACTGCCTTTGGTTAGTTGTGTTTCATATTTCTCTTATTTCCATCTCTACCAGCTGAGATGGACAACTGACCAACAAATCCACATGCTGTACATTCACATTCTAGTTTCCACCAGCAAATGATCATTGAACCGTGGTCAATGTTAAAAAATGACATATGATTTATTCGTGTTGCCCACCTAGTCATTTTGTGTGCTAATAAAATAGTGTGCTTACTTAACTACTCCCAGGTTAGGGAGTAGTGACTGGACCATTCAATTAAAATACTAATTCTTAGACACAGTTAATCTGCATAAGAAATATGTTGCAGGTTTAACCTGTTAATGCTTTATTTTGATTAAGAATGAATTTATTTTTCCCTCTAAACCAGTTCTGTATACAGACAAGTTATAGTTTAATTGGAAGTCATGTGATTTTGGAAATTATAATCTAAGATACTGCAAGATAGTTCTGTTTTATAATCCAAAGGGCAGATCTTACATAATAGGACTATATGTAAAAAATAAGACACACATGGTACGTGTTTCTTAACAGATACATTCAGTGCTATAATTTTTCTCTGAAATGTTATACGGATGCACTGTGACTGACAAAACTGCTATTGAAAAGATAAGGAATCACTTACCTCTGAGGTGGGCTGTGGAGCTCTGGCTATAACATGATTCTTATCGTCTTGGGGAGCAGGGTTGACAAGGGCAACAGATGTCTGGGGGATTTTCAAAGTTTTGTAGTTTTTAAACAGTTTTTCATTTATCTCTTTCATTGATTTCAGTTTCTGCTCCCATTCTTTAGCGACAACAGCCTTTCTTTCTTCAAACTTTGTTGATTCATTAAGTATAGCCTAATGGATAGTGAAAACACAATTCTGGCTCTAAAATTATAGATTACAGGTATATGTTGAAATTCATTATTCAGAATGTTTTAAGGGCCTCTCCGGTGGCACAGTGGGTTGAGCATAGCACTGTGAAGCTGTCCACAGCCTCTGCAGCACAGGTTCGATCTCCAGCCAGCCAGGGAGAGTCCCACATGGCACGGCAGATCTCTCCTGTCGCGCCCGCTGCTCCCGTCAGCAGCGTATTTCGGTAGTCTGCCTGTTCTGCTCCCTGTTCTCTCTCTGGTGAATTCTCTCACCATCCCGTACCTCTGACCTGTACCCCAGCTCTTGCATAAATAAATCTTTAAAAAAAAAAAAAAAGAAGAAAAACCTGTAGGTTGTAATTGAAGAGGAAGTGATATTTAAAATCAAAATATTCTAAAACAAAACTTCAAAAGAATGTGAATTGTTTCTGGTTTGCATTGGTTCCCACAATTTCAGTATATGTGCTGCCGAAGCGAGCACAGTTCCCACAATTTCAGATGGTGGAAGCTGATGATGCAAATTAAAGAATAAGGACCAGGAGGCCTCACTGCTTTGCAGGATGACAGTCTCACTATTAGCTCAGCACTGAGGCGTGGGAGGACTCTGAGTTGTGCAGGGAAGGCCATTATCTATGTCATGGCTAAAAACAGAACCTTAGCAGACATCAGATAGCATGTCTGATGGGCCATCTGACAGCTGATAAGCTTAACGACTGTCCTGCTTCATTTTAAACCTCAGTGTCTATAGGGAAAAAGGTCACTGATATTTGGTAAGTGATGTGAAAACCCTGCATTCCCGTGTGGGACAGTAGTCAGACCCCAGCCTCTGTGACTTGGGGGACGGACTGAATCCACCCTCTTTCTGCCTTTGCTCTTACTACGAGGACTTGGCTGTCACCTGGTGACTTTATGTTATTTCCATCAGACGTGTCTGCTGGGTGGTATATGGCTGGCACCCTGGACTGTCCTGGGGTCTGCCCAGCCTCACACCATGCAAGCTCCCAGTTTCCCTGCCTCAGACAAATGCCTCCTATCTACACTGGGGCCTCAACAGCATAGAAAAATCAGTGATTACAGAGATGATCTTATACAGACATTGGATTTATGCTTTTCTTTGTTGATCATGCACTTTTTTTGGGAAACAGCCTATTTATTTTGTTAGCTTTGGGTAATCAATGAAGAGGATCAACGACCCTTGGGAAAACTTTTAAAAAAATAAAAACTTTATTTCCATGTGATTTAAGTGTATTTTCCAGATGAAATTAAAGTGTCGGGAAAGAATCACCCAACAGGTGAACGCACAAATCCAGTCCTGGAGGCACTGGTGTTGACCCAGCTCCCCACTCCAGCTGCCTACTCTGATCTCTGCCTATTTCACCAGGTTGTGTGGGGGCAGGGATGACTCCAGAAGTCAGACTGGGTGTTCTCATCAGAGCAAAGTGAAACAGAAGAGTGAACTGACTGTGAGCAGCCTCAGGTCTTGGGAATCTGTCCCTGGGCCAACCACCCTGGGAACAAAGATCCACATTTGACCCACCAGGTGGCAGGGCCAGTGCAGGCGATCCCAGCAGCGGCACGGACATAGGCGGGGCCCCAGGGCATTTGAGTGGCCGCCAGCTGGTCTGTGTGGCCTCCCAGCCTGCACCACGCCTGCACCCCCATCAGCTGCCATCACGGGAAGGCTCACTGCCCACAGGAATGACATGTGAGGAAGGGTGAGGGGACTCCCCATGCGGAATCTGAGGACAACACACCAGGGTCCCTTCTCCATGAGGATAAGCCCGGGGCCTGAGTGCCTTAAGGAAGCATGACCTGTGAGGGGGAATAGGCTTTACCGTCACAATTTTTTTCAAAGCATAGATGAAAAATGAAAGAGCACAAACTTAACGTTAAGTCCTTTTAAGAAGTAAAAAATTGGAGCAAACAACGGAAGAAAGAAATAACACAATAAAAATTCCTACTTACAATTATCTTGTTATTATAAAGGATATTCACTTGACTGAGCCTGTCATTTTTTCTCTGGATACCATTTTTAAGCTTTTCTGTGTCAACAGGAGTATTTAACCACTCTTTCAAAAACTGGGTCATCTCTTTCCTATTACTTAGGACTTCTTCAAATTCAGTATTTATGTTGTGGAAGTTATTTTCTGTGAGATCACTGAGAATTTCCTGGTGAAAAAAATTAAGCAACGAATAACCCAAACATGAGTGAAGTTTTAAACCAAACACCGTAGTCAAATATAAAATAAATACCATAAAAAAGGGGAGAGGACTACCATGCTGAACTGTCATTCTTACTAGTCTGAAGTAAATACAATTCTAATTTAAAATTTCGTTACTTGGATGATAAAACGTTAGCATTGCAGGCTATGGACAGGGCACGTCTGCTATCCTACCCCGGGGCTGAAGCCCGGGGCCATGTGAGCGTGCCCGAGGGCCGCAGTGCCAGAGGAGCCAGGCAGCTGTGCATGCACATACAGGCCTGTGGAGGGCCAGGCCTTACTCTGCAGGGACCACAAGTCATCCCACACGTGGTCACTGTGGCCGAAATACCAGATTCCGAGCAGAAAAGAAATCCAAAAGCATATCCTGGGGTTCCAGGAATCTGCACTTGCTGACATGAGGTCAGTTTTCCTATGCTGTGGGATTCTGAAGGAGCTAGTCCCCTTCTTACATTCTCTGCACTTGGCCAGCTGCCGCTTGGTGATGTACTTTCAATTTCTGATAAAAGAAAATGGCCCTGAGCACAGGATAAGGTAACTTTCTCCCTAACTGAAAAGGCTAAATGTCTGAACCCATTTTAAACAAACTATACCTCAGCATGTAGGTCCAAATTCTCTTCAAGGTCTCCTATTTCTATGGATGGTTCGTCACAGTCTGGCTGCAGGTGCTGTATCTTAATCAGCAGCTCATTTTGCTTTTCCACTTCATCCACAACAGCCATTTCAAATTTATTGATGGATTCATGATTTTCTTCTTTGAACTTTGTGATTTGACTTAGTACATACTTGGGGAAAAAACATGACACAAATTGGGATTGAAGCTTTCGTCACATTTAGATGAAATAATTCTATTTATTTGTCTTCTTTTGCTTTCCTTTTCTAGGTGAAGTAATTTTAAATCCTTGGGACTGTGAGGTGGGACAATTATCTTCTGTTCATCCATACCCCCTGGTGAGTGAAGTGGCCTGGAGCCTCCCCCCACCTCTTCTCAGCTTCTCAAGGGAAGACCTTCTGGGCTGCAAGTTCCACGTGCCTGACTTCCTACTGGACCTGCCTCCAGGATTCAGTTTGCCTAAGATGTCACCGTACCCCTTTCTCCAGAAAACCACCTTTCTGTTTCTTTTTTTGGCTAATTACATCACCAGTGGCCCACTCTTCCCAGCTGGGCACCTGAGGTTCCCTTTCAGTAGCCCCTCCCGCCCACAACTGGGCAACCACCAGATTGGGCAGCAACCGTCACCCATCCTCAGATGCTCGGCTTCAAGGTGACAATGGTGACAGCGCCATCTGTGGCATGGACCTTGAGAATACGCTATGGACACCCAGCTGCCAGACGTGGGGGCACGGGGTATCGGCCCCTACACCTTCCACTCACAGCTCCCCTCGCCTCCTCCACAATCACTGTTCCCAAACTGGCGACAGGTCACCAAGAGCTGGCTAACGTGGGTGGAGTGTCCAGCCCTTCACCTTGACACAGCCTCCTGAGCTGCATGGGGCACCTGTGCGTGGCTCTCTCCTGCCCCCAACTTTTCTCACCTTGAACCCCTGAATGGCTCTCTCCCACTGCACTGCAGTCTACTCTCCTCTCCTCACCTTCACTGTCATCTCACAGGCCCACTATTTTAAGCTGCGAGGCGTTTCTTGAATATCTTTCATACACTCTCTCCCTATGAGCCTTGCCCTGTGGGGCAGCACCCTCGACTCTGCTCCTGCCACTAGGCTGACCTTCCAACTCAGTTCTCTGTAGAGACTCATTGAAAATGCCAGTATGGTCAGCTCACTGTCACCACTGAGTCACTGTCAAGTGAGGTCCTAACCCGATGGCCCTGCCTGGGCCCTGCTGTCATCTGTCTCCTGTCTCGTCTCCAGGAGTGATACACACCTGCACACCCGCCCGTCACCACACTACCCCTGCCTTGTGATAGACCAGGAGGCATGGAGATGCTGTGGTACTGCCCTGAGTGCCCGGTGGCTTGGGGAGTAACCCGCTCCCGGGAGGTGGGGCACACACCTGCCTCAGCCCACACCAGCTCCCGGTCAGCAGTGAGACAAGGCAACCAGTGGCCCACTCTGGATGCACAGCAGACCAGCGTCTGGACTGAGACGCACAGCACTGTTACAGGGGTACCAGTAAAGGAGGCGGTACCTCGAATTTCTTTATGACCCGGAGGAATTCCATGGAACATCTTTGGTTTGTAGCGAGAAGCTTTTGAATCTCTTTGGTTTGTGGAGATGGAAGCGGGAGGTTTGCTTTTATTCTAGCTGAAAGCTCTTTTTGGGTTTCGATTTCCTTCTCCAGGTGACGAGATAATCTGCTTAAGCATTTGTACTGATTATCCATCTCTGGGTATTTCTTCAGAAGTTCCTAAAGAAAATAAGAATTCATTCAAGAACTCACTCTCATTTAACAATGAATAGTCCCAGCCCGAGAACTGTAACAAAATCTGTACTTTAACCCTTTCTGTTGCACAGAAATAAATTAAGACCTGTGTGTGGAGGAAAAAAAAAGAAATTATTATTGTTGATTCTGGAAATAATGTTAATATGGAAATTTAAACAAATTTATCAAAGAAAACCAGGTTATCATTTTGACCATTGTTATCATTTTGATGGCTGTTCTTTTTTTAGTCTTCTGAAATCTGTGATTTAAATAAGCCTTTGCAAAATCTGTAGTGAACTCGGAATGAGGTTCTAGCTGAAGGCTGATTTCTGTGAGAGCCGGCACCGAGGTAGCAGATCAGACAGGTGAAGAGGAACCAGACCAGCTCCCTGCCAGTCGGGGGGCTGCTGCAGAGGCCCCTTCCTGTCACCTGCCTGGAATAGGGTTCCCTGAGGTTTATCAGAATAAGGGGTCAGGTTCTAGCTCTGCCACTTCCAGACTGGGGGTCACGGGTCCATTATGACAAAAACAACAAGAGCAACAACAACAATAATACTAGTAATAATAATAAAGACTACATGGTCACCACAAAGTCTCCTAGAAATCAAGTACAGCAGCACTGTGTAATTTACTGAAAGTACGTACATATATTCAACGTGTGAAATACACAATACATCACAGCTGGAAGAAATGCTGGAGCACACCTGGAAGTGCCCCAACACCCATGTTTTAAACTGAGACAGGGTCAAATCCTGACTCTCACAATCTTTAGCCGTGTGACGGGGCCATGCCTCCCCTCCTGCACTTGTCCCTCGGATGCGCTCTCCTGCTGTATTGGTGGAGCAGAGTCCAGCTCATGACAGAAAGTGGCTGCAGGGGGCTTGGGTGTGGTGGACACCCACAAGCCCAAACGCGGGGGCAGGCGGCAGCCTGGGGAGAGCAGGTGAAGTCAGGCAGGTCAAGGTGCTGGTGGCATCGTGAGCTGACCCGCATGGCTAGTGCAGGTGCTAACAGACAAGAGGCCCTGACAGTAACCATTCTCTTTCCACCAACGCAAGGCAAAGCTTGCCATTCCCTGACCTGGGATGCTGGTGGCCCTGCCTTGGTTTTAGGATCAGCTGCACCATGGAATCTGACCTATGGCAGCACCGCAAACAACAAAAGACGTCTCTAGGGATCAGGCAACAGGAACCTCCTGGCCTCACCCTCAAACGATCACCACGTCCACTGCCAGCTCTGGGCTAAGCCACGTTCTCTCCACCTGGACATTGAGTTGGTCTTCCTGCTTTCACCCCGCCTTTCTCAACAGCAGATAGTCACATCTATGATGGTCCGTAAGGCCTGGGCTCTGCGTGGTCAAGGCTGCCACGGGTCTCCACCTCTCCCAGAGGAAGAGGAAAACCCCAGGTCCTGCCTCCTTGCTGGGAGCACAAGCCCTCAGGTCTCGCCAGCTGGGCCCTGCCCAACTCCCTGCAGCCAGCAGGCAGCCTCTGTGCTGTGTCCAGGCCCCTGTGAGGTCGATTCTCTCTCACAGGGATCTGCTCAAGTGTCACCTTTCAGTGACACTGCAGCCACAAACCACCGTGTGTATGTGTGTGTGCGCACGTGTACATGCATACTCACACCTGTACTAGATTACCAAATTAAGGAAGATATTGACCGTCTCCTATTCATTCCACAGACCAGTGACTCCATTTTAGGCTTTTAGAAAGGAATAGCTATTCACCTGAATTTTAATAAAGACACTTACTTTTATTCTAAAGCACTTCCCTCTCAGGTTTTCTGTAAGGTGTCTTCCATCACATACTGACGTTTTTCCACATTTGACCACCGCTTTGTGGTTCTGCTGGTCCTGCTGTGATACAGAGAAGTAACAAGGCTTCAGCTGGAACTAAGTTCACACATAATGTCTAGTCATATAGTGACCTGACAGTTTTTTTTATCATTTCAATAAAGGAATGAAATGATACACTTGTAGCTTAAAAACATTGTTGATACGGTTAGAGAATGAACGACAAAACAAGTGTTTTTGGAGGCAGGATTTATTCCTGTGACCTTTAGGGTTACGAATTAGATTTTCTGTTTGTCCCTGGTTCCTACTCTTCCAAGTCTCTGCATTAGCATAACTACCGCCAACCAACCACACCCCAAACAGCCCACCTCCTTGCCGGGTTCCCCAAGTCTGCGCTCGGCCTCCCCAGCACCCCATAGCACAGAGCCCACCTCCAGACGGACTGAAATCCTGCTGGCCAGCTTCTCCACTGTGCTCACTACAGTGCCCGGAAGAATGACTAACGTTTAAAACATTTCTGTGAATTAAATTTCATTATAAAATCAGGCCCCAAATTAAGATGGTTCCTCAGAGCCTGACATTTCTATTGAGATTGCAGGTGATTTATGAGAAAAGAATTTTTATAGGTTTCATACAATTTATTTGCCCAATTTTAATGTTATTTTTTAGAGGGTCCAATTAGGTTTTTAAAGGTAAATGATTCCAAATGTCTCAGAAAATGAGACTAGAGTTTCATTTTTATGTTCTCCTTGCCTTTGAACTCCACTTACAAGTGCCTCTCTCTGTCAGCAGAGGGAGAAACTGGGTCTTCAACCTTTGGATATTTCTCCATTGGGAGTAATGCTGAGTCTTGGTTTAAATACCTTTTTGAAAGTTACATTAAAAAATAATCTGCTTGGGCCTCCCCGGTGGCGCAGTGGTTGAGCACTGGGTTGCGAGGCTGCCTACAGCCTCTCCAACACCGGTTCAATCCCCAGCCGCGGCGAGGGTCCCACATGGCGCGCAGACCTCTCCTGGCACCCACTGCTCCCCTCAGCAGTGTACTTCGTCAGTCTGCCTGCTCTGCTCTCCCCTCTGGCTCTGGTGAATTCTCTCACCCTCCCACGCTTCTGACTGTACCCAGTGCTTGTATAAATAAATAAATAAATCTTAAAAAAAAAAAAAAATCTGCTTGATTTAACAAATTGGTTCTTAAAGATAAATACAAAGGTATTTTCTAGAAAAGCATTTTAGCTTCTTTTAAACTGTATTTTCTATTTGGGTGAAAAATTTATATTTTCCCATTATCCCTTTATTGTTTGTAGAAGTTTCCAAAAATCAAATATAAAAACACTGCTACCCTTTTCCAAAAGCTTGAATCGTCCACGCTACATTGTGACACAGGAGGGGAGGACTCTCACTCACTCTGGCTACCCCTTCTCCCAGGGCCTCTCTGACTTGGTCTCTTTCCATTCTGAGAGATTCTTTTATGCTCCTCAGTTCATCTCTCTCTTTAGCTACAACTCATTTCTTCAAGGCTTTCATGAAGCTTCTAAGTCAAGTCTAAGTACTCTATTTGCACACACTGCATGGATAAATTCTGGGCCTCAAATTGCTTCTTTAGCCGTTCCAATTTCTTACTGACGGATTCTTTCATTTTGAGAAGATGAAGCTCTTTTACCTGAAGTTCTTGGAGCTTGAGATAATGACAAAATAAGTTAGAAGGCAAAAACAACTCCTTCAAGGAAGGAGAAACGTCTAATATACAGTGTCTACTTACACCCACCTGTCTACATCTCTATCTCCACAGAGATAGCCCTTCTCATTCTACAAATCTGGTCACCAAAGAATAAAACACATACCTTTTTCTGTAATTCATCTTTTGCTTTATTTAAATCCTCCTGAATACACGAAATCTGTGTTGTCTTTTCTGAAAGTCTCTCTCTGAGTTTACTGATAGTTTCCTGGTGCTCCTTCAAATGTACATGAGCAGTTTTCAGTTCTCCTTGTGTTTCCTGATCCTGTGTCATAGAAATGATTGAGAAATACACTCTTAAAAAGGCACAGTGCTTGGGCCTCCCTGGTGGCACAGTGGTTGAGCGCTGGGTTGTGAGGCTGCTCACAGCCTCTGCAGCAGCAGTTCGATCCCCAGCCACCAGCAAGGGTCCCACCAAAAAAAAAAAAAAAAAAAAAAAAAAAAAAGCACAGTGCTTTTTCTTAGTGATGACCCTGTTAAGCAGAATCTCTTAAAGGGTGTGTGCCCGCTATGGAACACACCCACCTGCCACCCCAATTAAACAGCATTTATGGGGGGCTCCTGCCCCACCACTCCTCTCCTGCTGACTCTGTGTGGCTTTCTCCTTTCACCTTTCACACCTGTAGTCTTCCCACATCGGCATCATAAAGAAGCCCATTCTTAGGCTCAGACCCCACAATCTGAATGCCCGCTTAGCCAGTGCCATCCTGGTCACCTGCACTACTTCTAGGTCTTTCCCCGAGGCTGCACCAACCAAAGATGTGCACATGCACAATCCTGTACGAGGAATTGTGATAGCAAGTGTCTAAGTTCATCATCGGTCTGGGCCCAGGAAGCCGTCCAGCATGGGCGCGGGGGAGCTCACCCTCGTCAGGGCTCCCTGCAGCTCTCCCCGAAGCTGATCTCTCTCCAAGATGAGCATCTCTTCCATTCTCCGGAGACGATCCCTTTCTCTCGTTACAGATTTCATCTCTTCAAGGTTCTCATGCAATTTCTGAGCCAGATTTAAGTTCTCCATTTCCATTTTATCCAGGGTTAGACTTTGGGTCTTGAGTTGTGTCTTTAATCGCTCCATTTCAGGCATTTTTTTCTGTGTCTCACTGACAGCTTCTTTTAACTTAAGAAGCTGTTGTTCATTTGACTTCAGTTCTTGAATCTTAAGATAATCACAAAATCATACATTAGTATACAAATTTCTTCTTTCAGGGAAGGAAAAAGAATCGTTTCTAAACCTATTAGCCTAATACTTTTCTCATGTCACGCATTACTACTCTGTGTGATTCCTCTCGTGATTTACTGTCTTCTATGCATAACAGAAACCCTGAGGGTGTAACTCAATTATTCTTGACACACAGCCATGTCTTTGTAACCACCGCCCAGATTACAACACTCAGCACTCCCAGAACCCCCAGATCCCCGTCTGCTTTCCCACCTGCTCTTCCGACCCTCACAGTCCTAGACCAGCGTACCTGCCTTTCAACTTACAAAACATAACATACTTATTCTTTCTCCTGTCGACAGGCACAGACCCAGGAGGGTGATGCAGCGAGGCCAGTGAGAACTGCCACTGCACACACCCCTAGGTTCTGGGCACCAAAGTTAGTATCTAATCAAATGAGCCATCCCCCTAGTACCTTTTCTTCTAACTCGGTGTTTTTGTTTTCTAGATCCACCTGCATACTTGATATTTCATCCGTCTTCTCTGAGAGCACCCCTTGGAGTTTATCGATGGTTTCTTGCTGCTCTTTCAGACACATGTAAACAGACTTCAGTTCCTCTTGTGTTTCCAGGTCCTTCATCATTAGAGAAAATTTAAGGACAGTGATATATTATTTTAATGCTAACTGATTTTGTAAGTGAAAGCCATATTTTCTTAGTAAAAATCATCAAATGCTTGCTTATTACTCCACTATTGAGGGCACAGGTGTCCCTACCTCTCACTTCCCCAGAAATAAGCCTGTCATACCCCTATTCTGCTTGCTTCCACTCAAAATGACTTTGAGCTTCCAAAGTAAGAACATTCAAATTTATTTCACTTTTTTTAAACTGCTCTCTAGCACTCTGACATGCTGCTCATATGTGCCCAATTTCCCTCTGATTGACATTTAGGTTGTCTCATTTTTTAATTAGTCGCTATAGTGTACTCTGTGGTGTGTAAGTGCACGTTTGTGTGTGTGTGTGTGTGTGTGTGTTTTCCTTTGTCTTAACAACTGAGTACGCACGCAGGCAGACTCCAGTGTGCACTAACAATGTGGGGGCACAGCAGATGAAGTGCTCAGGACTGCCCAAGGCCCTGTCCTGAGGTCCCCAGCTTCCTGGCGGCTGTGGCGCCATTGGAGACAGGCCCGCTGTGGCAGGAGTGGGTACAGGGTGTGATGAGAAGGACTCACTTTGGTCTTGGCTGCCTGGAGGCTCTCCCTGAGCTGTTCCTGCTCTGTCTGGAGCGCCCCCTCTGCTCTTCTCAGGCCATCTCTTTCCATGGTGATAACTTCTATTTCTTTAAGGTTTTCATGAAGTTTCTGTGTCAACAGTAACTTCTCTGCTTCCAGACCTCCCAGGGTAGAGTTCTGGGCCTCCATTTCCTTCCTCAGTTGCTCTGTTTGGTATATATTTTCTGTGAGACAATGTTTTGCCTCAAGAAGTTGATGTTCTTTTTCCTGGAGTTCTTGGACCTTGAGATAATCATACAATTAGTTTGGCGACAGAAAGAGGCAAATAAACAGCTAAAAAACAGTTTCTAAACAGGGTAGGGAGAGCTTTACTTGTCTTCAATTTTAGGTTAATTCATGTCCTGTCTCATTACAAAGACCCAATTCAAATTGTTTTACTCAGGTAACAATTTAAAAAGAGAAAAATATACCTGTGATTTTAAGAAAGAATTTGTGTTTTCTAAATCCATTTGTATACTTGATATTTCATCTGTCTTCTCTGAAACCATCCCTCGGAGTTTATCAATGGTTTCTTGCTGTTCTTTCAGACTCATGCGAGCAGTTTCTAGTTCCTCTTGTATTTCCAGGTCCTTGATGGTTATTGGGAAAGATAAACACAATTCAAGCTGTGTACGAAGGAGATGTCCTACCTGAGCCCCTCCTCTGAGTGACCTGGAGAGGTCAACAGCCCCGCACCCGCCCTTTCTTCCCTGACAGGACCACCCAGTGCCCAAGCCCCCTCACCCATGGCTTCAATCTGTGGCCCCAATCTAAGCAGCCCTACCGCAGACACTGAGCATGTCCCCGTGTCCAGGTTTGCTTTACTGGTCACTGCACCTCACTGTGGCAGAGACCCTTCCACACAGCCCTGCACAGTGGTGCTGACACTGCTGGACACACAGCTGCAATGGCACTTTCCGGGTCCATGCACAACGCTTGGAAGGTCCTAGTGAGACCCTCCCCTGGCTTCCCCAGCTGGGCTGTCTCCCCTGCAGGGTTGGGGAGACCCACCCTGTTCCTTTACCCCCAATTTACCTTTTTCTGTAATTCATTGTGGGCTGTTTCTAGTTCCTTCTGCATGCTTGACAGTTCGGTTTCCCTCTCGCAAAGAGCCACTTTCAGCTGATGAATGGTTTCCTCATGTTCTTTCAGGTGATGATGAGCAATTCTCAGTTCCTTTTCCGTTTCTTGGTGCTTCATTATTAGAGGAAATTGCAAGAAATATGCAGAAACATTATAAACATCACAATATGACTAATTTGGTTTTTCAAAGGTTTAGCTTTTATAAAAATGCTTATAAAATGTTTTTAAAAACCTACTTTAGCTGTGACCTCTCCCAAGTTCTCTCTGAGTTGGTCACTTTCAGCCTGAAGGGCTTCCTGCAGCCCCTGTGACAAGCTGAGCCTTCCTGCCCCCAACTCCGGGAGAGTTGCACCCTCGACTCTGAATGGTGCCTCCGATGCCCCCTCCTCACTCGTTGTTTTCTCAGCCTCACTGCCTTTTTCTTCCATGCTGAAGGACAGTTCTTGATTTTCTTGAGATTCTTGGGCCTTAAGAAAATCATAAAATAAGACAGTTGCTATCCAGAGTCTGTATTTTATTCAAGGGGAGAAGAAATAAGGATACTCCCTACAACAATCCAGCTGGGATCGGCTCATTCATAGAGCAGCCTTCCTGCTCTTCCACAACTTGGCTGGCTAGCAGTCACTGAGGGCGCACAGCGTCCTACCAGAGGCTGGACAGCAAATGGTGAGATTTCCCCCTTGGGGTAGGAGAGATACTGTGCCAAATCCCACCAGACCCAGGTGGGGCACTCCAGGGTCTCACGGCAATCTCAGGGAGGACCTCCTGGGGGCTGGGGCATACTAGTCGAGGTCTGAAGGCTGACACCACTAACCAGGTGAAGGGGTCTCAAGAAACAGTGCAGGCAGCGAGAGCAGGACGTCTTCAGGGTGAGGGAGAGCCAGAGACCAGAGTTGTGGAGTCACGAGGAGAAGGAAGATGGGGGGAAACAAGTCCAGAAGCCAGAATGCCTGGGCCCAAGGGCACACAGGCCACGTGGGAGTCTGGTCTTTATCCCAAGGGCAAAGAGAAGCTATTCCAGGGTTTATGAAGAAAAGATTGCTTGGGATTGGGTTAGAGAATCTAAGAAGATTAAGACAGAATGGGGGAAGACCAGGTAGGACGCTATTTGCAGAAAGTCAGGGAAAGCAGTGATGGGGCTGTTGACAACTGGAGAGAAAAGTGGGTGGATTTCTCGCTCACTCTCTCTCTCACACACACACACACACACACACACACCCCACACCCCTCTTCACACCACAAGGCTAGGGAGTGAGCGGGGAGAAGGAGGGCTCCTGGGTTTTTGACTGACACAATGAGGGAGAGGGCAGTGCTGTATTTAAAGCTGGAAGAATCAGATTTAAGAGAAGGAAAGAAAATAGGTTTGCTGAATTAATTTCATATAATTTAGCATTGTTTTTTGCAAGTAATTCTGAATATTTAAGAAAACAACTGTCTTCTCTGAAGCATTTTTTGTTTCAATAATTTCTTAAGTGTTTAAGAGCAACGTCCCGTTTCCAATCACTTCATCACTAAGAGACACGTGGGGAAAACTGCTGTCACGAATGACAGATGCCCCAAACCCCAAAGACTCACTTCTTATATGCCCTTCGGGAGGGAGGATGGGTGGGAACTCACGTTGGCCACGGGCCCTCTACTGTCTTCTTTCAGCTGCTCACATTCGGCTTCAAGTGTCTCTTTCGTCCTTTGCAGGTTGTCTCTTTCCTCTGTGGGAGATTTTCTTTCTCTGGGGCTCTCCTGCAGTCCCACGCTGGCAAGCACGGCTGAATTCTCGGCTCCGGGTGGTTCTTCCCAGGTCGCTTGTCCATCCACTGTCTCCCGGGTCCGGTCGACCTCACTCACGCCAGCAAGCAGCTCCTGCTGCTCGGGAGGCTCTGGGGTCTTGGGATGGTCACGAAACACAAGGTTAGCACCTGGAGGTCATCACATCTCCCCAGCAATGGGTTGGGGGGCCTCTAGGCCTAGTGTGGATGACAATCCCCTCTTTACTCATGCCCCTTGATTGCTGCTGGAATACTCATGACTTTTCTGCTAGTCATATTCTGTCATAATTATTTTTTCTTCAGCTTTCATCCAAAGTGAACTAATTCTTATGCTTTACTGACAAATCGTTAGTTCAGTCAGCCATAAAGACCTTCATTTCCAAACTAGTTCCCAAATCTACAGCAGAAAACGCATAGTCCATCAGTTTATATCCCAAACAAGGGGTGTCCCACTCTCAGAGGAGCACCAGCACTCCTTCCCAATTTTTCATTTGTGCATATTGACAATCCTTTGCCACAACTGGTGGTGCTGCTTGTAACTGTGCACACCATATCCTGCATTTATCAAACTGGACTTTAATACACCTATATTGGGAAGAAACAAAAACTTCGTGTTTTGACGCATAGACTCAATGCCTGGCACACAGTGGGCTGTTAACAGAGGTTGTGACCCTCCAGTGCCCCATGACTTGCTTCCTCCACAGCATGGGGATCATCTCAGCCATCTTGTTCCTGGGACTATTTACTGATGACCTCCTTCCACCACAGAGGAAGCTCTATGCTCAGGGCCTGGCCCACCTGGGTCTCCTTTGTTCCTAGAACCCAGGACTGTGCTCACCATGCCAGTCACTCAGCAAACACAATCCAGTGAGTGAATGAATGACTCGTAACCAAGACACCCCTTCCTGCTTATCTTTCCTTCAAAGCAGAAAGGAGGAAAGGGCCAGAGGAGGGAAAGAAGGGAAGACAAACCTTGCACTGTAATTCAGTCCTGGATTTTTCCAAGTTCTGAATAGTCATCATCTGTGATGTCTTCTCAACAGTATTTCTTAATTCATCAATGGTTTCCTGGTGCTCTTTTAGACGAATGCGAGCCACTTTTAGTTCTTCTTTTGTTTCTAAACCCTTTATTAGCAAACGACAGGTAAACATTATAGTAACAAACCAAAGCTGTGCCTCCCCCTTCCCGAATAGCTCAGTTTTGAAGAAACATGAAAGATAAGGGTGTAACTTACTGTCAGTTCTATTTCCCTTATGTACCCTTTAAGTTTCTCTCTCTCTATTTCAAATGAATCTTGTAATTCCTTGAGATCATTTCTTTCTTTGGTTAGGGATTTTATTTCTTCACAATTTTCATGAAGTTTCTGAGCCAAATCTAGTCTCTCCATTTCTGTGCGTTCCAATGTTAATTCTTGGTTCTTTAATTCATTCTTTAAATTCTCTATGTCATTCATCTTCTTCTGCATCTCATTCACCTCTTCTTGTACAATAAGAAGTTGTTGCTGTCTTTCTTCAAGTTGTTGGCTCTTAAGAATTAAAAATTTTAATTACTATTTTGCCCATAATCTCTTAAAATTTTTATATAAAATTTACTTTACCAATGTTGAATAATACTTATCATTGACCTGCCCATTATTTTTAGCCATCAGTGTAGCAGAGGCTGTCCAAAATATGAGCATTTCAGCAGATCCACCTGTTTTGCTCCCCACTCTGTCTCTGATGAATCCTCTCAACCCCCCACTCCTCTGGCCTTCACCCCAGTTCTTCTATGCAAAATAAATAAATAAATATTAAAACAACAACAACAACAAAAAAAAAACCCCACAAAATATTAGCACTGAGGTCTGTTCACCTGGGAGGTATATGCTCTTCCAGAAACTTAGGCCTACTGGAATAAAAATTCATCACTAAAAAACAAGTTTAGTCAGGAAAGCTGGTGTGAATGGTAACATGAAAATTCACCTTTTCCTTCAGCCTTTCTTCGACTTCTAACAGTTTCTCACAGGTCCTGGAAAGCTCATCTTTCTGGATGGTACAGTCCTTTTCTTGTGTAACTATCTCTTGTTGCTTTTTGAGTTCATCTCTAAGAATTCTCAGTTCTTCCTGGTTTTCAATGGTCTACAATAAAAAAAAAAAAAGTTGAAATCAAAATATACCAGCTTACATTTACGAAACCAGGTAAAAGCTTGCATTATCTCAGCCTGAAAAGAAGTCACAAGAAACTACATCAGAAAAGACTAATTTAAAAATAAACTACATCATTAATCAACCATGCTAAGAATCTTATTATTATTTTTTTGGTCCTGTGTCTTTATCACCAAACTTACAGACCTGTCATGAGAACTACAATTGGGCTTAACATTCTGTCCCGAGAAGTCTACTCACCTCCACTCCTAAGGCAAAAGACCACTCGGACAGCCATGTCAGAAACCCCAGTGCCATGAAGCACTGCGAGGATGTGGCCGTCAGGATTCTTCTAGTTATCATTGGGACACACAGTGCTTTGGATTTGGACATCAGTCTACTAAATTCTTGTCAAGCTACACAGTGCCCTCCTGTGACCAACTACCCCAGTCAATTACTAGAGAAGCGTTTACAGCAGCTTTGCTCAAAAGAGCCAAAGAGTGGCAGCAACTCAGACTTCCACCGGCAAGACAGCAGGTGCGCAGACCCACGCTCCCAGGAGACCCCACCCGCAGAAAGGGCTGCCGGGTTGGGCAAGAGGTGTGAGTGGTTCTTCCTGTAGGAAGGTCCAGAAGAGACGGTGCTCTCTGGTGAGAAGGCCCAACTGGGGCGATTCAGGGCAGAGAAACAAAAGGCTGTCATCAGGTTGAGGGTATTTTGATGGAGAAACTAACATAATGTCACAAGGTTAATTAGCAGGTATAGTAAACATCAGAAAGATTTAAAGAGAGACTAAATATACAGATATACCTGTCAGATAACTCATTTTTCATCTCCTAAGAATGTTTTGGTAACACATTTTCACTTCTGATAAAGACATTTATAGGGGAGCCCAAATGAGTACCAAAGGCTAGTTTTTATACAAGGCTATATGGACTTGACTTCTTTAGGAGAAGAATGAAATAGACCTAAGATTTTGATAAATTCAGTTAGGTGACAGTGAAAAAGGTGAGAGTTTAAGAGAACACATTTTAGATTAAAAAAAAAAAAAAAAAAAAAAAGAGGAGACTTTCCTGGGTGAAGGAGGTGCCCTCTGACTTGACAGGGTAGAGGGTACCCAGGACAGACTTTTGTCAGGTCCTCAGACACACTTAGTGCATGTAAATTTACCTCCATATGGTTGTAAAAAAACTAAGACAAAGACAAAAACACTTTGCCATGGCTACAGTGCCAATCCTACCATTTCAATGCTCTCCTTGAGGTCAGCCTTCAGCTGTTCCTTTTCTGCGCTGACCCGCTCCAACACCTGCTGCAGCTCCTCTTTCTCCTGCACTAAAGAAAGTATTTTTCTCTGCTGCTCACGATCCTCCACGCCTGCAATCAGCATCTGGGCTGTTCTGGTGTCCCAGCTCTGTGCACCTACGCCAGACACCTAAAATGGAAAGGCAACAAAGAATTTCTTGTTCACGTGGGTCACAGTTTTAATAATAATTAAAGCCAAAGCTCTGTCTTCACTATAACCCTACGAGGGAGGTGCTGTTATCATATTCACTGGACAGAGAAAACTGGATCCAGCAAGGAGAGCCCTTGTCCACAGTGCTCGGGGGGAACAATACCCGTAACCATGGACATGAGCAGCAACGTCAGGTAGGGCAGGTGAGTCTGGCTTTAAAAGCCACCTGGAACTCTGCTTTACATCTTTCCTGCACAAGCTGCCTGGCCCCACTGCCAACAAATCTCACAAAGGCTGAAATTTTACTACATGGAGAAGACAAAATAATGTTGACACAAGTCTCCACAGCATAATTCATCTTTTCTTCATAGAGTTTAATAAATGCTTCTTAAGAAGAGTGTCCCATAGCCACTGACGCAGAGACGAGTCTTAACCGAAGCAAATGTGCAGTGTGGGCGCCCTGGTGCAGGAGGACAGACAGGGCCGTGGTTGTCTGCAGTCAGGGGTGTACAATCAGGGAGTGCAACCAGGGCTACATGTTCCAACAACTTAAAACAATGGAGAACACATTAGGGAAATGTCCGTCAGTGGATGATGCTTTGCTATGGCAACATGAGCAAATAAACACAACTTCTGTAAAATATCTTCCTAGCACGCTGGCCTTCCTGGTGTACAGCTAAGTGACGGGGTCAGCAGCTGCTTTCCTAAGATCGCAGAACAAAATAAACCATATGACCTACAATGGGTTATCAAGATGAGATCTGAGCACCTAGGAGTGAAATTATAGCCCAAGACCTAGAAATAGACATAGGCAGCACATACTCATTGCTTAGCGTCAACTCTAAACAAGTCTAACATACCAAACTTTACAGTAAATATTCTGACCATAAATATTAACAATCCAATCTTCCTTACGTTCTTAGAATTGAGAGTGGATTTTAAGTGTTTAAACTACCCCAGGTCTCAGGAAATATGAACTTGAAGTGTGAAGTAATATTTTTTGTCTTTCCCTTTTCAAAATAGTAGGAAGGTAGTAACATTTGAAGTTATTTCAAGGACATCAGGGTTAAGTTTGTAAATGATCACTAGTTATCACCACTGTGGGTAACAGGTAAGACTGAGATCACCACCATGGGCCAGAGTCTGAAGTTAAGAAGAAAGTTCACAGACAAGTATTGAGACCCAAGAACAGAAACATGCTTTACCTTTCCCTGAAATTCACCCTCTGTTTCTCCTGTGCTTCCCTCCTTGGGCACATCCCTGGAAGCTTCATCAGAAATTTTCATTTTCAGTGTGTTGATTGTTTCCTGGTGTTGTTTCAAGGACTGCAGAGCATCTCGTAGCTGTTCCTGGGTCTCTATGTTCTTTGACAAAGAAAAACAAAGACAATTTCTGTGAGCAGCAGTGAGAGTGGTATTGTCACTGCTACTCAGGCGGCGCGGGGACTGCAGGCCACCAGAGCCTCACCATGTGGACAGTGTCCTGAATGTCACTTCTGAGCTGGTCCCTCTCCACCTGCAGGCGCTCCTGCAGCTGTCTCAGCTCATCTTTTTCTTGCGTCAAGGCTCTCACTTCTTCTAAGGTCTGTTGCAGCTTCTCAGTAGCCACCGCCTTCTCCATCTCCAGCGTCTGCAGCCTAGAATCGCTACTCTCCAACTGTGCCTTCAGCTGCTCCATCCCACCCAGCCTTTCTTGACTCTCGGTTGTTTTCTGCTGAAGTTCTTGGGTCTTGTGAGAAAGCTTTAAAATAAGGAGTAGATGTGAGGAGAGTATCCTGCAGGCTGTTTACAAAAGCCAAACCTCACAAGCTTAAGGGTATTTCCTTTGAGGGTATCTGGTACGAACCTCGGTCTTCAGAGCAGCCAAACTGACACCAAGATTTTCCACCTCTTTAGACAGATTTCCTATTTCCTGATTCATTCTTAAGTTTTCCTCGAGGACCATTTCATACTTCTGCTCAAATTCAATGTGATGATTTTTAAAATCCTGGATGTCTTGACCTGTGCCTTTATAGTCTGTTTGGGTAGCTGCTAGGTCATCCTTAGCTTTCCCAATTTCCTCAAGTAAGTCTTGAATCCTACTCTCCTTATGAACTACCTCAGAAAATAAACGGTCCTTTTCTGATGTCACTGCAGAGAGTTCTTCAGACTTATCACGTATCTATGGAAAAGAAGTAGAATTCAGCTCTGTTAGCAATGTATGATCGACTGAAGCCGTTTTTAGGGAGAAAACCTTTACCAAAAAACCCACATTGAAATGAAGCCACTATTTGACAGGTTTTCTTGGTCATATTTCCATTAACAATGTGTTATCCTGGTTAACTGTGCCTTCAAGTTACATGTCCTAGGAAGGATTGCATCAAGACAGCTCAGTAGGAACACTTGGAATACGTATCTACTTAGCTATCATTGTAAAGTGCTGTCTAATTCATGGTGAGGCTCGCACCTTAGTTTTTCTCAGGATGTGACTCACTTTTACCCCCAAAGACTCTGAATAGAGTTTAGAGTGACAAAAACTGAATGCATGAATAGCTTAAATAATTAAGCTTTATTTAAAATATTACTTAAGTAATTGAAACACATCATCTAGCCTGTGAAGTTTAATCATCTCAAAAGATAAGGTGGCGGGTGACGGGAAAAACAGAGACAAAGGAAATTGGTGACCAACGGTGCGGTAGACAAGGCAGCTCAACTCTCTGTTGGGTTAAAAAGCAATAACTTTAGGGTTTTTTGGATGATTAAATGTTTCTGAAGGGCTTTGGATGTTTGCCACAGAGTAAGGACTCAGTTGCCTGTCATTTGTACTCCTTTTAGAAACTCAGAGTAGCACCACCACTTACTCAACTTGGTGACACAACTAGCAGGAAAAAACAGATGAAAACTAAGGGCGGGCCATTGAAACCTATGTAAAGCAACAGGTGGGAAGTACAGACATGGCCGTCACGTGACCATGTCACTGAGTGTAGTTAGTACATTTGGAAATACAGTGTTCACCCACTAGCATAAGAAGAAATTAGAAGAGAAATCATATCTACTTTTTTTTTTTTTAAAGATTTATTTATTTTTACACAAGAGCTGGGGTACAGGCCAGAGGTGCGGGAGGGTGAGAGGATTCACCAGAGACAGAGCAGAGAGCAGAACAGGCAGACTGATGAAATACTGAGGGGAGCAGCGGGAGTGACAGAAGAGGTCTGCCACACCATGTGGGAATCTCCCTTGCCGGCCAGGAATTGAACCTGCACTGCAGAGGCTGTGGACAGCTTCACAGCACTGCACTCAACCCGCTGCATCACCAGGGAGGCCCCATAAGCAGCGACAAACATTTACTGTCTTGCCTGCTACTTTATAGTAGACTATGGCAGAACATTAAGACTTCATTGCACACGTTTTTCTTACACAATAAGCGTTCTTGCTTAAAATGCATTTACCTCTTTCCTCAGCATTTCTATTTCTGAGGTTAAAGGCTTCAATTCTGAAAGCGTGTTGATTTCATTACGCAAAGCCTCATTTTCTTCAACTCCTTTATTCAGTTCCTTTTGAAGATCAGCAATCTTTCTTTCCAATTCCAAGTTACAGAGCAAATCTAGGTAGAAAATTTTTGGTAAATTATATAGAATTTGTTTGTGGCTGGGACAACATAAATTACATAGATCATTTCATCAGATCAATAAAATTTATTTAAAAAGTCAATTTGGTAAACATGTGATTGAATTGTTAAAAACAGAGAATGATGGATATTTAATCCTGGACCATAACTGCAACATCCTTCTGGTACATTTCAGAGAAAGCTAATTTGTGTGGAGGTAAGCCTAAAATTATAAAATACCTTTTGGAATCTTGCCATCCATAAGGGAGGTGAGCTTTGCTATTTCATTATAAGAAGACTGCAGCTCTTTCTCCAGGTCCACTTGCATTTTCTTTTTTGTCTCCAACTGCCTTTGATATGCATGAATATCATTTTCCATTTGATTGCATGTACTCGCCAGTTCTTTCTATTAAGGGAAACACTGGAAATTCACAAAAATGTGCTGACCACACCACTTTATGATAAATATTACATGATCACTTACCATTTTCTCTTTCAGCTCCAGGTTTTCACTTCTAAGAAAGGCTGACTCTCTTTTGGAATCAAGGGCTACAGTTTCGACATCAAGCAGGGTCTGCTTCATTTGTTTTAGGTCATCAGTGTTTTCCTTACAGACACAAAGAGAGGATTTAGTAAAATCTAACATTCTCACAATTAGGGAGGCTTTACAGAACATGTATACAGATGGGATTCCCAACACATCAAAAATGGTGAAAGTGTGCTGCTCCCCAAAAGCAGTCCAGAATAGATAAAAAGAAATATTTTCCATAATAGACATATTTTTAAAATCATGGTTATGCTTTTCTGAATTATAAAAGCATTGTATAGAAATACCGTAATTTAAGAAATCTATTGTGTACAAAAGGTCAATAAAATTATCGTTCAGTTAGCCTGTTAAAGTTCCACTTGTATTTTTATTTTTAAGCTACTTTCTTAAATACTTGAAAATATCCAGTTTCTTTTTTAGATAAGTGGCATTTTATCACCATGAACTGAATGAGTTCAACCACATGACTTTGACAGAGTATTAATGCACGCATGAGAGAATGGATAAAACCCACTCTATGAATAAAGAGAAGTAAACAAACAATAATCTTTTAACAAGTGGGTGAGTCTGCCTGCCACTCAGTTGAAATCAGCAGACAGACACACAGGACGTGGTGACAGGGCTGTCTTTCTAGGGCCTCAGAAAAGGGGGAACATGCTGAGGAAGAATCAGGTGTTAACAGACATTAGCAAGAGCATAGCAAGAGAAGGTTAAAGAAAAGTACTGTGTGATTAAGTGAAAACTAAAGTGAAAGTAAAGCAACATAAACTAATATATGACATAGTCTGACCAGAAAATGTGGTCTTTTAAAACAGGGTATTAAAAAGTAGGCTCAAACTTGAAATAACCAGGTGGACTGAAAGCAGACAGAAAAGAGATTAGCGATTCTTTGTGACATTCAATGTTACTTCATGCCATGATCTTTCACCAACCAACATCATCTAGAGACACAAGTTTCTGAAGAACAACCAACAAATTGTTAAAGCAGTTGCTGGAATTATAACGAGAATACAAAATGAAATATTAGATTCTGCTCAGTTGCATATGTTTTATAGTTTCATTACTTAATACCCACAGAAGTGCTCATCTGAACACAATGACTGTACGCTTCTGCACATATTTAAACTACAGAAAAAATTCTTAATTACTGAAATTCAAAATAACTTACTTCACTCAAAAAAAAATATGCTATCGTCTACTATGTCAATGGTTCTTTATCCCTAAAATGGCAGTATGAGCCCCTCTCTCGGGCCTCCCCGGTGGAGCAGCAGTTGAGCGCAGCGCTGAGAAGCTGTCCGCAGCCTCTGCAGTGCCGGTTTGATTCCCCGCTGGCTAGGGAGAACCCCACATAGCGCAGCAGACCTCTCCTGCCTCATCTGCTGCTCCCCTCAGCAGTGTCTTCGGCCCGTCTGCCTGTTCTGTACCCCGCTGTGGCTCTGGTGAATTCTCTCACTCTCCCGCACTTCTGACCTGTACCCCAGTTCTTGTATAAAATAAATAAATAAATCTTAAAAAAAAAAAAAAGAGCTCCTCTCTCATAGTATGACTGACAGCATTAAGTAAAATGTCATTTGTGTATCAATTAGAATAGTGTCAGGCATGTGAGGCTCAATGTTAGCACTTGCTATGAGGAGGAGGATGGGGTCTGTAAATGCCAACATTGTACAAGATAAATATGGTTTTTACCGATGAGTATGACAAGTCCATTCTTGTATTTTCTGACTGCTGAGAGTCTATATATTTCTGTAGCTTCTTAATCTGGTCTTCTTTTTCTTTAAGCATCTCTACTTTTGAGCTTAATTCACTCTAAAAGAGTCAAAGGGGAGTGAAACGTCATTGGGTTTGAATTCTAAATTACTGAAAAGATTTACATTGAATAGCTTAAACACTTAGACAGTAACATTTTAAAAGGGCCCATTTAAAAATCTAATTCCTTCTATTTTCTGAAGTCATGTTCAGTCACAAAATTATCACATAATTTATAGTTCTAATCCCTTGTCAATAGAAATACCAACATAAATGCTCACCTCCAGATCTTGATTATATACTTCTGCATGCTTAACTAAATTCTTTAAGTTGGAAATTTCATGAATTAGTTGCATCTGTAAGAGCATGTGAACAGGTAACACAGCAAACCAATAATTAATAAAGAGAAAAAAAGCATTCATTTACCGCTTCAGAACTACCCATCAGTTAGAAGGGACTGAGAGATCAACTATTCAAGCTACTGCAATAGAGCACTTGGTTATTTAAGATCCAATAAAAATGCAAAAGCAGCAGAAAACAAAATCAACCAACCAAAAAAAATCCCAAACTCCAATAAAAGAAACCAACAAAACCCCAGCATGACCCAAAAACCAGTATGTCATCGGTTAATAAAGCTACCATGAATTTGAAAGCAAATTAGTATGCACCGCTTGAAGGAGATGTAGTGGTAATCTGGCTATTGAAAAAATACACTTTTCATAGATTTTTGTTTGTGCAAGCTAAGTGCAGAAATAGATTCTATGAGATTTTTTTCTTTCCCATAAATGATTCATTTAGTTCTACATTGGGCTATGATTTGTAGCTCATATTGGGATTGGAATAGGTTCATTTGGTGCCTTTACAATTTTATTACTGCTCATCAAAGTCACAGAGGTCTGTGTGGGATTATCACCTCACTGTTGCCCTACTCTACAGAAAATATTAATGTTATTGCTTTACATACTTCAACTGACCAAAAGTACAAAGAATAAGACAAAATTATTTCTATTAAAGTTTCTATCAAAATAATGGCAGGATTAAATACTTGAATATCAGATTTGTTTGCATTTAGAATAGTCTATAATTTACCAAAGATATACACATTTTCCTTAGAATTATTTAATGTTCATAAGCAGATGAATCCTTGCACCTTAAAAAAGAACACGTAGAATACTTTTATTTATTTATTTTTATAAAAGCCAGTCAAATTTAGCGGGGGGGGGGGGGGGGTTGTATACCAACTTTAGTGTATACCGACTTCAGTGACACTAACGTTAATAAATACTAATAACCCACTACCATCGGGCCAGCCTGTAGAATACTTTTAATACCAAACTTTATCTAGCCTAATATACCCAAGTATTATCATTTCTTTATTGTATCAATATAAAAATTCTCAAACTATATTAAGTTTCTTTTTCTATTCTAAGTCCATTCAGACTGGTCTCATTTCAAGTGCTCAAGTGCCACCTGTCCTGTCAGGCAGTTTTAGACACTTGCTCTGAACCTTTATTCCATGTTTCTGTTATGCAAGAAAAATCACATTTACCAAAATGGAAGAACCAAATGAGAAATCTTATTTTTTGATTACATGTAGAAAGAAAAATTCTCCCACTTCTCATTTGAAATAGCATTTTAAGTGCCAGGGCTCATAAACGACCAAACCATGTGTGTGAAGGTCTGCGGGCACCCCAATAAGGCGGTGCTTAGGGGCTGAGCAGAGGGCTAAGACTGGGGGCAGCCACCACACACCACAGAGACACTGTGGGTTTTAACTGTGATTTTCAGCACGTAATATGAAATATTTTACTTCTTAAGATAACCTCTAAATTGTGAAAATTATAAAATTACATAAAACAAATTAAAATAGAATTTTGAAACTTGTCTTGCTCCTCCGACTGACTCAATCCAGTGAGCTTCAGTTTCTGCTAAGTGGTGTAAAAAAATGTTAGAGAACTATACATATGCCTCAAGTTAACTATGTCATATTATTATTTACCATAAGTGATATACAAAAATTGGATGAACTGGGGAGGAGAAGGCCCAGGGCACTCTCTCGGTGAAGGAGGAGGCCTGCAGAGCAAGCCTGGGGCGGCTGGGGCTAGCCAGGCCCTGCCGCTGATCAGGACAGGCTTGGATCTGTGGGGAGCTAGTTAGTGGCACAACTGGAGCTTCCAGGCAGTTTGGCTTCAGAAACCACACGACATGAGACAACACCCTCTCAATAAAACTCAGTCCCACCAACTGAAAGTCCCTGCTCTTTTTATGACAGTGCATTTTGTTATTACGCAAATTATGACACAAGTTAAATGACCCCCATAAAGAACTTACAGACTTCTGCCTTGCAAGTAAAATACTTATGAAGTATAGGAATAACCACATGGGCAGATGGAACTAACAGTTTGGTGCAGAATGCTTTTCCCCCTTTAAACGTGAAAAGAGGGCAAAAGACTATGACGCTGAAAAAAAGGACTGTGTCAAAAATCCAACAAGTAGTGGTAAATTAACCTGTATTTTAACTACACCAAGACACTGCCTCTTATTTTGGGAGAGTTCATGAATCAATTCAAAATCTCGTAACAGTTATGGAGTCTTGTTTCAAAAAAGCAAATATACACTAAAAAATCTTACACGGTAATTTCATCATGTCTTAAGTTAAGGATTCTATACTAAGAAATGCCTTTAATTTTGGGATAATTTCTGAGTCCCTTAAGTCTGATGGTTTCTGGATTAGGTTCTCTTAACATGTATGCTGTTATATACTTGGAAAATTTAAGTAGTCTGTTTCATTTCTAAAAACTCCCTAAAGCTACTTAGTATTAATTTTTCACAATAACTTTAAAGAGAAAAAGAAAGTACAAAATCAGCTTCCCCAGCTATTCTAATAATGTCCTAAATATTGAGGAACTGACTTTGTAAATAAAACAAAATCCATTAATATGTAGCACCCATACATAAAACATTCAGCTAGATATTAAAATTCATAACATTCAGTAGGAAACAGCTATGCTCTAGGCAGCACTTCTGGAATCACAATAAAGGAAACATTAACAGAAATCACTGGAAAATTATTTCTTCCTCCTCCTTCTTGTACAAGAGCCTATGCGAAACAAATATGACCTATTTGTGAAACAAAGTCAGTGAGTTACTTCTTAAGTTCTCCCAGCCATGACTGGAAGATGCTGGCCCCTCAGTGCCCCGCCTCTAGCAAACACCTCTCGTCTAAGCGTGGCTTTCCCTTAGTGTCCTATCTTCACAGCGCTTACCTCTTGATCTTTCTCAGCTTTTCTTTCTAGAGCCTCAAATTCATCCAAATCGTTCTTTTCTTTTAATTTCAATTCCATTTCTTCATTTTCTCTTCGTAGTTGTTCGTAGTCCAGTACCAGATTATCATAGTTAGCACGGAGTGAGTTCAACTCACTCTCTAAGTTTTCCTATTGTGAACCAAATGAGACATTCAAGTCAGAGAGAGAACGCACATCACATATTTTTTGTTTCCTTAACTAAAATTTGGATTAATCGAGTAATTCAATCTTGAATCACTTAGTGGCTTAAGCCATTCTCTTCTTCAATATCTTTCTAACAGTCCAGGTTGATTCAGTCCAGGTTTTGTAACAAACTGCTGAGACTGGCTGGGAGAGTGGGGGAGGAGGGTGCACACCAGCCGGCACACTTGGCCACAAACCCATAAGCTTCTCAGGAACATAGCTGGCTGTTTAATTTTCTACTTGCCTGGCTCTGTACTATTTCTCAGAGGGCTGTGAACTTAGGACAGAAAACAGAGTTTTATTCATTGACCTCAGAAACTTAAGAGTTTCTACTATTTCTACTTTCTATGTAAGAAAGAAATAAGCTCGGAGTCTATTAAAAAAAAAAAAAAAAGCAAAACAAACACCAGGGGTTTTTTAAATAACAACAAACTTCAAGAGTATGTTTCAGACACAAAAAAGCACTTTGCCTACAATACCTAAGTAACAATAGTAACCAAATATAATGGTTAACTAATGATAGTAATTTCCAAGAAGCACTGTAATTTTATTCCAAAATAAAATGAACTTTTATTACAAAATGAAACTGAAAATTTCTTTAACAACTGTATTTCTAAAACTATAGAAATTTCTTTGAACCTTAGCAGGCCAGAAAGTAGCCAAACTCTCTAAATGTACTACAGCATCTATCATGGTATTTCTTATTCTTAAAAGTTCTGATATGCCATACAAGAGTTATTTTTACTTTTCAGTGTTATCTGGTAACAGTTTTGTCCATGATATATCATTCCTTTACTGTTGATACATACCTGAGAAGTTTCACACTTTTAAAATCAGTTCTTTTTACCCTCATGGCTTTGCCCAAGGCAAAACAGAACGTTAAAAAAAAACCCTGACACTAAGATTTGCTGGTAGAGACCTGGAAGCAAAGGCTCACCTATAGCCAGATACATGCACCTCAGCCAGAGTTAGAGCTCGGGAAACCTTAATTAGATGCAGAATTATCACTCAAATGAAGTCAGAGCTCAAAATGTGCTTTAACAGCAGCAAACACTGATAAGGAGTTGGATTTCAAAGAGTAAAAGCACGTTCTGTGAAGTACTTTTAACTTACCTGACTTAGTAGCTTTGTTGCTGGATTCCACTCTACCTCAGTTAACGTATCAAGCGTGTTACTGAAAACATCAGACTCTGAACAGAGAGCTAGGAGGAGAAAAAGAAATTTATCCTTTACAAAGTTTCCTAAATGTCATATTGAGATCATTGAGAAATTCTGATTAGAGGTAATGATTAGTTCAAATTATCCCTCGCATTCACACTCTGAATGCCAAGGATGCAGTCACAACAGACACAGTCACATGTGCTGCTGTTTGAATTAAGATCACTTGTTGGGGGCTTCCCTCGTGGCCTACGGATTAAATCCCAACATTACTACTATGGCCTCAGCTCGATCCCTAGCCAGGGAGCTATTCACATGGCATAGCAGACCTCTCCTGTTTTGCCCCCTGATCCCCTCAGCAGTGTTTCAGTAGATCTCCCTGTTCTGCTCCCCAGTCTGTATCTGGTGAATCCTCTCACCCCCATACCTCTGGCCTGCACCCCAGCTCTTTTAAGCTAAAAAAAAAGGTTGCTTGTTGGCTTAATAATGAAGCTCCTTGATACAGGTAAAATGGACAAATCTATTCTGAATGGGATTTGATCACTGTGAGAAGATTTAAAAATTTTGCTTAAAAAATATTTATAATGTTGGAGACCTTATTTTGGAACAGACTCCAGTGTAAATGTCACCATTTCAAGATTAGCAAGGTTTAAGGTGGACGTTACAGGGGTACTAATTTAACCAGACAATGATGAGGGGCAAAACCAGTAAAAATACCTGCCTCATGTGTTTCAATCACTATTCTTGGGGGGTCTGGAAAGAGCGGCTTTGTCTTAGAGTTACTTGTTTTTATAATTACCTCCATTCTATCACAGTTAACATACTATTTAAAAAATGCTTTAACTGTACTGAGCTGTAAATTAATTTTCTCTTTAAAGGGATGCTTCATAATCAAAAGAAACTGAAAAGAAACTCACATTCATCGATTTCTCCCAGGACAGTTAGAGTAGCTCTTTGTGATTTTGTTGTTACATTTGCTGGCACATTAAATTCATCGACATAGTTTGAATCTTTCATTTTGTTAATTTTTCCGAGACACCAAGTGACTCTTCGTTTTCTTTTAGCCTAAATAGAAAGAAATCAAAATAATCTCACCTGGACCGAGGCTCAAACAATAGAAAAGAGAGAACTAGTTTCCATTTTCAAAGCCACTAACTTGGCAGAATTTTCTTAACTACTTCAATGCAAGTGTAAGGACATCCTCAGATGAGAAAACATAATCCCACTTTTCAAATCAGTGATAACTCCATAATAAATTGCATGAAACTAAGTCACATTTCATTTTTATTTGAAGGGTTCCTTGTAAGTTCCCTGGGATTTAGCTGAAATGAACCAGGGACTCCCGCTCCTTCATCAGCCCATCCCAGCCTGCGGGTCATCTTGATACTGCGACTCCTCTTGCCTTCCCTGCTTCTTGCACTTCAACCCTCACAGGGTCTTGCTAAGTTTGCCCAATTTTTCCCTCTCCAAAGTCATGCCTTTCTAAGCTGCAGTTCCGATCATGTCATGTCCCTGGATTTCTTTGTTCACAGCAATGCAATGTTCAAATCCTTTCATGTGGTTTAAAATGCCCCTGCCACAGGACAATGTAAATCTGAGGAACAGATTATGTTTTATCACAACTCTAGGCTTTTGTGCATGTTGAGATCTTCCTGAAACCCTCTTCCCTACATCTTCCCCTGGGCTGTTTCCTACCTGCTAGGTGTGTTCTGAACGCCTAGCAGTATCTATCAATAACAACCCTCGCAGCAGACACTTGCTGGAGATGTGCTGTGTGGAGAGTGAGGGGCAAGCACACTTCTGTATTACTTCACATCATTCTCACACCAGTCAGCTCACAGGTAAGGGAAGTGCAGCAAAGCACACTTAAGAATCGCCTGGTGTCAACATTTGGAGTCGACAGAACAGGATCACCTTCAAGCAGTCAGCTCCACAGCATCTCCTTACCCACATCACCTTCACCCCAGAAATAAGCCCCCACTGGAGTAAACCAAAAGCACACAAGCTGGAAGCCAGAATTTTTTAACACTATATTGATTTATATTCTCAATTTCCCTGAGACTATTACTTCAGTTTATTTAAACAGAAAATATCCCCATCTGCCCTGGAGACCTGTGGTTCCCAATGGCCTAATCTCTTAAGAAGCAGTTGCAAATGGACCCCTTGACTGTAATCTAGGATTCCCGAATTAAGGTCTGTGTGCATGGGAGCAGATCAGTATTCGTAACTGCCTTCCATGGTGCTGGCTGGTGAACAGGCAGGCACACCAGGCCTTCCGGGCTTCCTGTATACACTGTCTCACAGGATAAGAAATGACTATGTAGGGCCTCCCCAGTGGTGCAGCAATTGAACACTGGGCTGCGAGGCTGCCTGCAGCCTCTGCGGCGCCAGTTCAATCCCTGGCCACTGGCAAGGGTCCCACATGGCACAGCAGACCTCTCCTGTCTACCCCGCTGCTCCCCTCAGCAGTGTATTTCTTCGTCAGTCTGCCTGTTCTGTTCCCCACTCTGGCTCTGGTGAATTCTCTCACCCTCCCGCACTTCTGACTGTAATAAACACATCAGAACATGAATTCTATTCTCTATGGACAAAGTTTAAGCTGTCAACTTTAAAAATTTTACCTTTAATTCCTGCTGTGAGGTGAGGGAAGAAGAAGTCACCAGCATCCGTGTTAAGTTTTGAATTTTCTCAATCTGTACTTTTTGAAGCAAATCCTTTTCTTCCAGAAGTTGAGCCAATTGGTCTTTTTCCATTGCCTGGGCCCGAGTCTCTAAAGAAACCTATAGAACATAACATTGCATTATGTTGATAATGTAGCTAGATTTGAAGAATATAAATTAAGTATGTCAGCAATGAGAATTTTTTTTTTTTTTAAATAAAGATTTTTTTTTAATAGAGGCATGTTTTTATTATTTATTTGTTTGTTTGTTTGTTTTGTTTATACAAGCACTGGGTACAGTCAGAAGCGCAGGAGGGTGAGAGAATTCACCAGAGCCAGAGCGGGGAGCAGAGCAGGCAGAAGGACCGAAGTACACTGCTGAGGGGAGCAGCGGGCGGCAGGAGAGGTCTGCCCGCCATGTGGGACCCTCCTCTGGTGGCTGGGGAGCAGCCGGGGATCGAACCGGCGCCGCAGAGGCTGCGGGCAGCTTCTCAACCCAGCGCTCTACCGCTGCGCCACCGGGGAGGCCCAGAATTTTAATTTTATTGAAATAAAATATATCTCATCCACAGAACACTAGCATGCAATGACCATAATCAATAACTTCTCAAACTTATAATATGGGGCCATGATGATCACAAAATTCCAGTGGCTAGTAATTACACCATCTGTCAGATTTCTGACTCAGGGCTGAAGAACCCAAGATGGCAAGAGGTGGCCTCTTTCTAACCTAAGTCCTAGTTTGTGACAGTTTCTAGGAAGTATCTCCACATGGCCCATTTGAATATCTCAAAATTTTCCCTTTGGAAATTAAAACCCAAATCCAGAATTATTTCAAGAAACTCTATCTTTTGGCTTGTAGTAAATTAGTAAACTTTGAGTTGATTTCTTCCTGCAAACTTTTACGTTTAGGCTGCAGGACTCAGGTGCTGTCCTGGGCATTGAGAACCCAGCTCTCACTCTGCCCCTATTCTTTCCAGAAACGCATGGCTCATACATACCTCCTCTAACTGCTTTTTAAGGTCCATGATTTCCTTCCTGTATCTCTTCAGGAGAGCTTCATCACTTGACACCTCGTTAACATAGGGAGTATTTTTCATATATTTAGCAGTGCTGGCAAACTGGGGAAAAATACAAGTGTTAAGTGTTCAAAACTAAAAAGAATTAATAATACTTAGTTTTTTTTTATAACTAATACTCATTGTCGCTGCCTTAATACTTCTGAGCAGAGCGCAGCAGCTGTCCCTGAAACACTGTAAGTCCCCTGCCAGTTTCCAAAGGAAAGCATCGCTCTGCAGATGGACATCAGTAGGGCCCCTCCAACATGCGAGCTGCACCCCATCTGCCCCCTCAATGCCCCGCAGATGCTCCCTTTGCCCTGGAGCTTCGCCTCTAGTCATCTCTCCTTCCTGTGAATTCTGTCCCACTTATTAGCCACTAACTATTAACCCATGACAGCCATGCTGGAAAACAGGTCTCTGTTCCCTGTAAGACTATACATCCTGTGAAGCCAGGAAGTCTATTTTCTGTCTTTGAATCTCTGACATGACCTTGACCTAGGGGCCAACAGCCATTTGCAGCAAGTTTCTAGAGGATGAGTATCACAAGTCACTATAGGAGGGTATGTGAAGGTGGCCCTCACAGCTGTTCTGTTGCTCCTTCTCACTTTTAAGCATAAAATTCAGGTCTTGGGTAAAGGCTAAGGCAGGCACCAATCAGCCAGCAGGGATTTCAGAATTGTTTTGTTAGAAATATGCACACACCTTCTAATTTTGAAAGTGACACTTGCCTTTCATTTATAGTACTAACACAGTTCCCTTTTATACTAAAAATAAAAAATGAGCTAAAGAAAAATATCAAGTCAATTTCAGTAAAATAGTGTTGGATGTGGCAAAAAATGGAAAGAGAGGATATAAATAATTCAAGTTTGGGGAAAGTAAGGAATGCTACTTCATGGAAAACACATCAATTTTGTTGTAACACGTATATAAAGTCAATTAAAAAGCATACGTCTAATTTTAGTAAGCAGTTTTTTCTTAAAGGTGATTTCCCCCCCAACATTTAATGGAGATAAAAGTGAAGCTCACCTGCAGAGTAGTGAGGGTTTCATCATAAGACACTGGAGTAATTGTGCAGATGATACGTGTTTTTGCATTTCCTCCCAAGGAATTCTGGAGAATTCGTGTTAATTTGCTATCTCGATAATTTATGAAACCACTAAGCGAGAAATGATTTTGGAAAGAAAAAGATCAAGAATTTTTATATCACAATGCGGTTGGTTTAAAGACCTTAAATTAGGCATACCGTTAAGAATCAGTTCTTTACAAGTTACAAGAGGCAGATGAAAACAACTAGAAAGCATATAAAATAGGAAACAAATTTCGCTCTCAGTCATATGTATAAAAGGTCATGCACCACAGAACTACAAAAGCTTTTGAATATATGGGGAAAACCAGAGTCACTTTAGAGTCACTGAAATGCTAGCTCCCAACCGAAGGAGACGTGTGCAGTGGCCAGGGACCGCGGGAGACTCACCCCACTTGCCCGTCACTCAGCCTCTTGATGACTTGCCCCAAAATAAACAGGCTTCGATTTATGTTGCAGCCTTCCTTGAGCCGCACACCTGAATGATCAAACAAACAGGAAAGCAGAACTGACCCTTCCGTGGATAAGGGACAATCACCGGTTACGGGACAAGTCAGGCATGGCGGGGCCCGGTGTGACATCTGTGCTCCGGTTCCCACGAGCCCACCTCTAACTGGTGAAGGGAAGGGGCCCCCATCCACCCGCCTGCCAAATGAACTGGACAGGTGACAACTGAGAAACAGCACAAAGAAACAGATGACCAAGAAAAGAGGGAGGGTGGTGCAAACCCCAAAGAGCCTTCCTTCAAACCAAGTTCTTCCAAACTGTCAGAAGCAACTAATGACATAGAACCAAAAAGGCTCCTTTGTAAATGTTAGTATGCTCAGATGGCTAAAAGAGCAAAAAGGAAGCATATACTGAAAAAAAGCTCTCTCCCACTTTCGGCTCCCTTCTACCAGTTTCTTTCCTCACCAGAAGGAAACCTCACCAGCTTATTCTCCTAGCGATTCTTAGCACTACAAGTACACATGTATCCACCTCTCTGCCTTCTTCTCTGCACAGGCTGTGGGCACCGCACATACTACTTAGTGCTTTGTGCCTTTTCACTTGGCAACATGCCCTATTACTAAATGTCGGCCCTCCTCATTCCCTTTATAGCACAGAGGTCCGCTGTGGGCATCATCCGGCTGTACTGACCCAGCCAGCATCCTGTGGGAGGACATGCAGGTTATCAATCTACTACTGAAACAAAATAATTTGCAACATGGAATTTTCAGTAGATGCTATAGCATGAGTGTAGTACTGGGCTACTATAGTAACACAGTTGCTTCAAAAACCTGCATCAATCTCTAGCTCACGCTCTGAAGGTGGCTGGTTTGCTGCTACAGGCCACAGCCGCGTGTCCCCACAGGCTGCAGGACACTCACATGGAGGTGCCTTGGTGAGGCTGAGCCTCCCATGAATAGTATGCGTTCCATTTGTTGAAGGGTTTGGATGAGTTCTTCAGGTCTGTTTTAGAGTTTTCTTATATTGTTCTAAGTAAAAGGAGGCTTTGCTGTGCAGTGACTATTCTAACAGGCGGGTGAGCACATTGGCGCTCTGATGACCGCCTCTCTGAATTGCCTCGGTGATTACCAGGGTCTGGATGGATTGCCAGCTACCCTTCTGGGCTGCCCAGAGACACAATCCTGAGGTCTGCATAGCTTCAGTTTTCTAATAGACACTATTTCAGTCTGAAACAAAACTAGTCAATATAGACGCTGCCTTCTGTCGGAAAACTTATTATTTTCTAAACCATACAGCAGCACTTTTCTTTTACCCTGTGAAATAACAGCAGGACACTCAGCTCAGCAAACCTCATGCCTGTTCCTTACCTTCTGCCCCCGTCTGGGCAGCTCTTTCACTGTCCGCAAGATCAACCAAGTTCTGTAAGATGGGGCAAAAGGAACAATTAGGAAGGTTGGATTGAAATAATAAAACCCAAACTACTGACAGCATTTTTAGCACACAGGCTGCCTGACCACCCCTTGCCCTGGGTTCAGCTCCTGCCCCGAAGGAGACCCTCTACACTCTTTCTGTCCTTAAAGGCAGCCCCCAGGACACGGCTGGTAGAGGCCCCCTGGGAAGTTCACACAATGCCCAGGAACCATAAGTCTCTACAACTCAGCCCCACCCACGAGTGCAGTCGCAGCACTGTCACCCCACAAGCCCTGCAACTCACACACCCCTGAGCTGCCTGGGGCCGCCTCTTAGGTGGTTCTGTGCTCCAGTCTGCTCTGCTTGTCATTCAGTATGAAGTAAGGGCTGCTTCTTCACTGTGGCTCTGCCAACCTTATCCTTCCTCCCAACACCAGAGTCCTCAGGCCTTTAGGGACAAGACTTGTTCCTACAGCCCTCACTGTGCAGAGCCAGCCCCCGGTGTCTCTGGCTACACTGCAGCATCTTCAAAAGCACAACTACCAGTTCCTACATGTCTTTGCTTATTCAGTTAACAGATGGGAAAACAAACGTCCAGCAGCCGAGGGACACTGGCTCTGGCCCTGAGGAGCCACCTCATGCTCACCAAGTGGGAAACCTTGACGGAGCCGTCACAGTTAGAAGGTTCGCCTTTCTCTCTGCTTTCCAAAATCTAGACAGAAAAGGCAACTTGTAGAAAAATGAATGCATTCTTCATTGGAAAGACCAAATAGGGAGTTACCTACCATCCTGAAAATGGTATGGGAACGACTGCTTCTTTGATTCATTTTTGTAATTCCATAATGTCTGTTTTCTGCAAAAAGCGAGTCATATTTTCACCGTGTATGTTAAAGTCCTGAGAAAATCACTAACTTTTTTTAAGTTTAAAAATACAAAGTGCGACTGGAATCCCAAACACATTCAATTCAAAAGTTTATATAAGACTTTTGAAGAAATCCAGGCATAAGCTCTTACTTTCTCCCTTTGTGATCCACTTCAAAGCCATTTCTGATGTGTAAACCACTTCTTCTGTGAGATCTGACACGTATACATTCCTCTGAAACAGTTTGATTATGGGAAGATAAAAGAAACAGAAGTCATTTGAAAGTGGGCATCTCAAAAAGAAGGCGCAAACTATCACAGAATTCATTCATAGAAATTAAAAGTGGAAAACGGGGAGTATTATTCTATATGAAAATAACAAGTAAACCCATGAAACTCACAATTACTTCCTGTATCAAAGCACATAGATTCTAACCTGAGACTTTCACTTTGCTATTTTTGTGCACTTACACGAAATATTTTAGCCATCAACACTTAAAAACTATATATATATATTGCTTGAAAGATGACCTTTATAAATACTTAAGAAAACGAAAAACAAATAGAAAGAGAAGACATTTTAAAAAAATATAGAAATTCCAGGTTAATATTGAAGAGCAATAACGCCAGTATGTGTGTCTATTTTGGGAGCCCCTGAACTCTTACATTGAAGTCTTCCCGAATTATTAAAGGCTTCATTTTTTGCGTGTCACAGAGTAAGTCTGTGATGGTCTCATTGTAGATCTCCATGTAGGACACACGTAAGAGAAATTCCCTATCAGGAAACTATAAGGAAAAAAAACAAAAACAAAAACAGTAGAAACAGATCATCCAATTATGAAAACTAAATACTGAAGAAACATGTGCTAGCAAAAAATTCATAAAACACACACACACAGAACCCTATGATTTTACATTGACAGTAATAATGGCATACTATGAAAGCATCGTGTCACAAATAATGAAAGTGTAATACCATGGAATTAGAAAAGCACCCAGCTCAACTCTCTCTTAAGCTCAAAGAAAACTCTATCAATAGGTGTCCGAATAAGAAACAACTACCGACTGGTAACGAATCAAGTTGCCTCTCAGCCCTTCTGCCTCCCTTCTCTTACCTACATCTACTTTTTACTGCTCCCTGACGAGCAATGGTAGCTAAGCAAAGGCAGAGGAGCTAACCATTCTGGTAAGATTTTCCTGTTTCTCAATGCTCCGTTTTGGAAGGAGGATTACTCCTTAAGGATCCCAGAGAATGAAAGAACTATCGTATAAGCTCTGTAAAGTAAGTCTGCAGGGAAAGTGTGACTCCATGCTTTGTCTTTCTTCTCCCCCCAGGAATACCCAAGAGAGCTGCAAATCTGCTTCCTTTCATCACTGTAAGGGAGAACTATGGTTGTGGTCCTATTATTATCACTTCTACTCACATGAACTAGAAATTTAGGCATTTACCTTCTTAATTTTTTGGAAAATGTCATGAATCGCCCTGGGTATTACACCCAAATATTCTTTTGACCCCATCATAGTGTAAGTTTTTCCTGAAGCAGTCTGCCCATAGGCAAAGATAGTACCTGCGAAAACAACAAAGATTGAAAATGAATAGTTGTGAAACTATCAATACCTGTTAAACAGACACCTAAGACTAAAATGTGTCTTCAGTGAGTACAAACCATTGTAGCCTTGGATAGCAGAGTCTATGATTGGTACTGCTATTTCTTCATACACGTTTTTAGTAGTTTCATTACTATGAAAGACACGATCTAAAAACAAAACAAAACAAAACACAGAAATCAAACCAAACAAATCAAATGTGTTTTCAGGGGGGGAAATATTGTTTAAGAATGAACAATGATGTAAAAAAAAAAAAAAATTAATATTAAAAAAAAAATGTGTTTTCATTCTGAAGCAGTAGTTACCCAAAGAAAACTGTTAGGTGGTAATATGACAAAATATTTAAGACACAATGTTTTCTTCTTATCATTTCTCCAAAAATATACTTTTTAAAAAAGATTTATTTATTCATGCATACAAGAATGGGGTACAGGCCAGATGTGTGGGAGGGTGAGAGGATTCACCAGAGACAGAGCCGGGAACAGAACAGGCAGACTAATGAAATACACTGCTGAGGGGAGCAGCGGGAGAGACAGGAGAGGTTTGCCGCGCCATGTGGGATTCTTGCCGGCTGGCCAGGATTGAACCTGCACTGCAGAGGCTGCGGACAGCTCCACAGCGCTGCGCTCAACTGCCTGCACCACCAGGGGAGGCCCCCCAAATATACTTTTCTATAAGAGGTACTGTTCCTCACAAGAAAAAGTGCAAGTTAGCTATCCTATGTGCTTTCAAGACAGCAGGGCAAAGTGGCTACATATGGTGGTCTGGATCAGGCTGGACAGAAATCCTGGTCCTGCCAGTTTTAAGTGGTGTGACTTTGGTCAAGGTGGTCGATGTGTCTCGGTTCCTAACCTGTAAAGCGAATACATATTATCTTCCTCACAGAATGACAGTGAACATACCAATACTACTTAGCAAATGTGAATTACTAGTCTTTGAGAAATTTAAATGTTCAGAATCTATCCAGCAAGCTCCGGCTCTCACTCAAGCAAGGCATGCAGACATCTGGGAGATCAGCACTGGACGAAGCTGCAGTGTCACAGGACGACCAGCCAGCTGGCTGCAGAAGACTGGGCTGGGGCAGTGTTTGCACCAATGAATCATTAGGATAGGATACAATTCTCTGCTTTTGTGAGCAGACTAAAAAGAGCCACTCCTTTAGTGGTCTCATAGTACAAAGCTCCTAAAAAATGGATTTGCAATTTAGAAGGGAAGTGTACTGACTCTCAGTGAGAAACTGTGATCACACAGCTGGCTCTGTGAACTCACATCTGCCCAGTCAGCAAGACTCCATGGAACCATGAAGAGTCGTGCTGCAGAGCATGGAGAGCCAGCTGCATAGTTTTCCCTGTCTCAGACAGGGGGAGACGGCAATCCTCCACAGGCACGTGTGGCTGCGGAGAACCTGCAGCACCTGAACGTGACAGCTGGCGCACCTCCCAATCTTGCTTTTATGATCTCACACGTACTGTGTTAAGTTTTGAAAATGACACCCATACCATCAAACAGCCCTTTTCCAAAAGTCATTCTGTCTTCTGTTCATCTTTATCCTAAATCTGTTATGTTGGCCTTGCAGTTCAATACTAAGATGGCAACTGCAGCCTGACTCCTGGCTGTTGCGAGGACCTGAGGTGCTTTGCCGAGGAGCCAGAGAGGCAGCACAGCCAGGAGCTGGACGGAGATCTGGAGTGCAACTCCCCCACTTGCTGCAGCCAGGAGCATGGCCTGTTCGGCTTCTCATGGAAACGGGAAGCTCAGCGTGCAGTGCAGATGCACAGACCAGGTACAGAATGCACAAGCTGACATGTACTGGGCACACAGGACATGCCTGGAACATGGCAGCACTACCCATGCTAGACCAATATCCAGAGCAGCCGGGTCACTCCTTAGCAACTCCAGGTTCCTTAGTCCTGGCCAGTTGTCTCTCATGCTTTGCATCTACCCAGACAGGCTAGGTCCCCGCAATAAACTCCCATAGCACTTAGGGCATGAAATGTGACTATGTGTGGAAAGCCTTTCTTCCCACTGTACGATCAACTCCACAGAAGCAGAGTGCATCCCCACAGTGTTCCAGCACACAAAGAAAGAAGATCTTCACCGCTTGAGCCTCAAAGAGCTTCTAGTAATTCACTGTGCAAAGAACATGCTGAAACCAATGAGCTTAAAGATGACCTGACATTAGCCACAAGTCCTGGGGCTAGGGGATTTCAGGCCGCGAATACATGTATGCATAAGAGGGTACAAAGTTGGTACTATGACTAAAACACTGTTTTAAATGTCAATGTATTAACTTATTCATGATGAACATTTTTTAAAAACTTCCCCTGAAGAAGTTTAGAGAAGGCATAGTCTGATTTTTTTTTAAAAGGAAACTAATCTTTGTACTTTCAGCAGGAAAAAGATAACATATTTACTTTTATGCTATTATAATCTTACCAAAATTGAAGGATTTACTCCCATCAACTTGATAAATAACATTATTGTCAGTTTTCCAGTAAACTTGGGTCTCTTCTCCAAGGGCTTCTTCTCTGAAAGAATAAAATACTGCACTTTAGTAAAGCTGATCTTAGAAGTCACAATAATTCAAAAATAAAATATTTCATCTTCTAAAGAGTATTTTAAAAGATGGTAATAACATTCCATATATAAGAAAAATATGGAAAATCCATCTTTGAGAGAGCAACACTTTTCAATGGGGCTTCAGTTACCTCCTGCCTCTTCTAGACTTCCTTGTAAAGTTCTGTTCAATCCTTTACCCAGTACTGACAGCAGAAGAGACAGATTCAGAACCGAACTCTAGTAGGTTCATTACCCAACTCTGATTAAAAACTGCCTGAAATCCTTAATATGGCAGATAAGATCTGGATCATTTTTTTCTCTCTTCAACTTTCTCTTTCTCTAGTTCTTATATACACCCTCGAGTAAATACCTGAGGACTCCTCAAAATACCAGTCAACCACCTTGTGCCTGAAATTCTCCAATACTGATTTCCATGAAAAGTGTCACTGGTTTCCTCCCTCACACTGTGCAGGGGAGGGCTAATGACCTCTCTAGCAAACAACAGCAACCTTGGTCAGAAGGGCTTCTGTCTTCTAACACAATGAGAGCCTGGAAAACAGGAAATTCCTCACCTTAATATTCTAGTTTGTTAACACCCAGTAATATTTAACATTTCTCAAACACAAGCTGTGTTAGCTTTCTGGAACCAGGGCCAGACGCTAAAGAAGCAAAGGGACTTCATCTCCCCTTCCTGCTTTTTCTCTGTAGCACCCGTGACTCCAGTGTCACCACCTAATATCTTGTATGTTTTGTTTTCTGTCTCCCCCACTAGAAAGATCTACAAAGCAACAATGTAGTGTCTGTTTAGTAAAAACAATACACTGTGTTAAAATAAACAACCAATATTGAGTCAACATTCTGAATGTCAATTTAGTCCTTGACTGAAAGAAGATTTGAGTGCCAACCGAATACAATCATGCTCTGCTCTAAGGTGGAGAAGGACATCCTCTGAGAAATGTGAAGTAAGTTCTTCCTAGAGCAGAGTGCAAAGGCACAAACCAAGATGGTAGACCCCAGCACACATGTACGTATGTGTACACACACGTATGTATACACAGGGACCGCCTCCCTATAAGCAGTTCTTCCGTGTTCAAAACGTGCACTGTAGCAAGACAGAGGGGCCCTGCCCTGAGAAGTACTCAGTAAGAGGGACAGGCACTCAAGCGTGTAAAACGACTACCTGCGCAGTGCAGGTAAGGCTCGTTCCCACCAAGACTCCCCGGGAGCGGAGGCACGGGGGGATGAGGGGTCGAGGGGGCGCAGGTGGGGGAGGCCCGGGTGGGAAGCCAGGCCTTGCGCTCAGGGGTGCCCCTGCAGCCGAGTTCCCGGGAGCTAAGGGTACATCTTCCAGCCCCCGGGCCGCGGAACCCCACAGGCCCGAGGCCGAGCACTCCCCTACCTGCTGTTGAGCGGCCGCACCCGCACGCACACAGCCACGGCCCCTTCCTCTGCCATCCCGCCGGCGTCGGCTCGCACCCAGCTGCTTCGGGAGCTCGGCAGCACTACCTAAGTTTAAATTTCCGACGCCGCGTCTGATTGGTCGCTGCATAGTGACGTCACGGGCGTGCGCCCGCCGGCCGGCGCAGACGGGCGCGAGGCGGGCGGCGCGTCCACGGGCGGGGCGGCACGGGGGCGGGCTGCGGGGCGGGGCCGCGGGGTCCGGGGTGGGGGCGGGGCCCGGGCTTGGGGGCGGGGCCTGGCGCGGGGCCTCCTGCGCCGGCCGCCCGCCCTCGCACCGGCCGCCAGGGGCTGCCCTCACACCTCGCGCGCGCTGGAAAACCGCCGCAGACAGCGGCTCTTTCCTTAACAAATCAGAATTACGACCTTAAAAAAAGGAAACCAGCAATTTTGTTTTTGTGAACAACCGACAAACGACCAGAGTTGGAACTCAAGGCCAGCCAGGAGTCTTGGAGGCCTTGCCCCACGGCCTCTCCGCCTCCCCCGGGCTGTCAGCGCCAGGCCTCCGGCTCGGGCCGTTTCTCGAGGCCCCTGCGGCTCAGCGCCCGCCCTGCCGGGCCTTCCCAGAGAGCCAGAGCCTCCTCCTTCCTTGTCATTCCAGGACGGGCCGAACGTCACTTTTTAGAGCCCTCTCTCCACAAAACAGCAGCTCTCCTGTCTGCCACACGTTTCTTCCCTTCTCTCTGAACGCTCCTTGCAAGGTTCAGGCCCCGTAGTGTGAACTGCTCAGTCATCACGGTCTGCTGTGGCCGCAGCGTCCGCCCACGAGGTCCCTGCCCGCCGTTTGCTCCCCGCTGCCTGCAGCTACAGGGATACTTCCACGGAGTCAACAGTTGGGGGAAGACCGCGTTTTCAGTGATCACTCCACGCGCCCGCCAGCTTCTGGGAAGGCGCACGGAACACACGCTTTCCTCGGAGGCGAGAACTAAATTAGAAAAGAGACCTTTCATGACACGTGACTTCATACTTACGACTATCCTAATAAATATTACTTCCTCTCTGCTTTAAGAAATGAGGGACTCGAGGGCCTCCCTGGTGGCGCAAGGGGTTAAGCACCGCACTATGAGGCGCTCCGCGGCCTCTGCAGCACGAGTTCGATCCCCGGCCGGCCAGGGAGCAACCCACATGGCGGGCAGACCTCTCCTGTCTCCCCGCTGCTCCCCTCAGCAGTGGATTTCAGTCACAGGCCTGTTCTGCTTCCCGCTCTGTCTCTGGTGGATGGATCCTCTCACTGCCCGCCCCCCTCATCTCTGGCCTGCACCCCAGCTCTTGTATGCGTAAATAATTTTTTTTTTTTAAATAGGGACTCGATTAAAAACTAAATAAAACCCTTCCAGGCCTTGCTTGGCCAACCAGCTGTGAGCGGCGAGCGCTACACAAGCTTCTCTGAGCCGCGGGGGAGGGGAGGAGGGGGGTCGTGGGCGAGCGAGTCAGCACAGGGGTGCCAGCGCTCAGAAAGCGGGGTTCGCATGGGACCAGCCTGACCCCGAGCTGGGCCTCCCTCTAGTTTCCCGCCATCGCGCGGGCCACCGACGCGCGTGCCGTGGCGGGGGGGGGGGGGGGGGGGCCGGAAACGCCCTCTGCCGTAAAGCGCGGTCGTCTAGTTGGCGCCTATCGTGAAGCCGGTCGTGCTCGCGACAGTGGCCGCGCTCCTCACAGCCGAGTGCGGCGGGCGCGGCCGATGAGGCGGCCTCGGCACGCGGTGCCGCTGCAGAGGCGCTCGCTGGAGAGGCGCCGAGGTGGGGTGCGGGCGAGCCCCTTTGAGAGGTACGGAGGGGCTTGCGGGGAACGTCTCTCCTTACCTGAAGGGCTACGGTGGGCTCGCGGCCGCAGGCACAGTCACAGCGATAGTCGCGTCGCGGGTCTCCTCAGGGTGCGCGTCTGCGCCTCCAGCGCCGCAGGCCTGTGTTCTAGAAGCTTCTTCTCAAACAAATCTGTGGCTGTGCGGCCCTGTGAGTCTTTTTCAGAAGGCAAGCCCGGGTACCCGCTGTGGGCGCCGTCGCTACTTCGTTTAAATGTGACTTTGCCTAAATGTTTTCACTCAGTTCAGGAAGGTGAAGTGAATTTGGGAGGCATATTAATTGCCCACTTCCACATTATGTTTCCATTATTGTCTCTCACAGACAAACACTAACACCAGTCCTTGAAGGGTGGCTAGAGTGAGGCACCCAGAGGAGGAGTGGGAACTGGGGGAGGGTGGGAGCGCACCTTGGACTGAGGGGCGACTGGGGTGCTCAGGTGGTGGGAGAGCAGGTGACCACACCTGAGGAGGCCGGCCGCACCGTCAGAAAATTAACAAGGCTGTGGAATATGGCACTTAATTAAAGATAAATGATAATAATAAATATAAATAAGAAAAACGAAAAAAAGGTAAAAAGAAAAAGAAAGAAAAAAGTAAAAAAGAAAAAAAAAAAAGATTGTTCCCGGCACCAAACAGTGCTAACTTCTTTTGTAACAGCAGAGGGCACCATCATCCTGCCCAAAGGGGCCTTGCCTCTTCACGGTGTTTAGCAAATCTTGAGTGTGGTGAAAATATTAGGATTCACTTATTTTCTGTAACATTAATTGTAATGTGTTTTATATTATGCTGTCGCCTACAACACAGTGACTGTGTTTGATAGATACAGGTTTGATTTCCAAAGCATAGGTCTTGTCTTTAATTTCGGTGTGATGACTTTTGCACGGGTGGTACAAAGAGTGTCCCTTTCCTTGGAATCTGGGTGGCCGAGGATGTGGGTGGCTTCGTGGAAATGACACTGGCGGGGGTCAGTCCAGCTGTACCCTTAATAAGCTGTGGTGCCACCCTGGAAAATCCCTCCAAAGTTGCCGTTTTCTTATCCACTAAGTGAGGACGTTGGGTTTCTAAAATTCTTTTTAGCTTTGATAAATATATGACATTTACATGGAAAAAAATGGCTAAAATTGAGTCTGTATGAGCATCATATGGATGTGAGGGAGTCGGAAGGGCTGTTGAACTTACAGAGAAAATCTAAGGTGGGTACCTTGTACCCCCACTGATGGCAGTCCTCCTCCCCCCCAGGCTGTCCTGAGTTAGGTGCTGCTTCGACATAAAAATTTGTGGTGGGCGCACCTTTTCCTCCTTGCCCTTGTGGGCATCATGTTCCCTTTCTCTTAGTATCCACGCCAAACCTTGACCTCGTTCCTGACCTCGCCAGCTCCTGCCACGTGGTGACTATGCTGTGCTGCCAGGGTCATCAGATAGCGGCCTCACCTCCCGGGCTCCATCCCACACCAGTTCTTACCTTGAAATTTCCCTCCATTTCTTGAGAATGAGGTGTCTGTCAAGTCCCAGAGGATCCTTCCATTCTGCCCTGGTGCGTTCTTCTCCAGGCCCCTCCCCCAACTTGCTCCAGCAATTATTCTTCTATTTTATTTGTTTTTTTTTTTTCCCCTAAAGATTATTTATTTTTGCATAGAACAACTGGAGGGCAGGGGCAGGGTGTTGAAAGGATTCACCAGAGACAGAGTGGGGAGTAGAACAGGCAGATTGACTGAAACACACTGCTGAGGGGAGCAGCGGGTGAGTCAGGAGAGGTCTGCTGCACCATGGGGTAGCTCCCTGGCCAGGGGATCAAACTCAGGTCCTCTAGGTAGTATCACTGATACAAACCCTAGGCCACCAGGGAGGCCCTATTCTTCTATTTTAGGGGAAAAATGCTGGAAAACAATAAAAAGAAGAATCACCTGTATTCGTTATTCCAAATAATTATGCAAAGTCATCAAGTGATTATGCATTTTATCTACCCACCAATTCTTCCTCAGTAACTTATTTTAAGTTTCTTTTTGATCTTGGTTATGGTGGGAGCTGGGAAGGATCAAGGCAAGGATAAGAACTCCTTGTGCCCACCATCTGGGTATGGTCTGCTGCAGCCCTTTGGCTCTGGAGGCCCCGAGCTCTGTTCTCACAAGTGAGGTTCACCTGGAGAGAACGTCTCTAGGTACAGAAGAAGGCAGAGGCAAAACCAAACTTTGTCTGGCTTCTCTGGATTATGCAGGGAGCAGGCTGTTAAAAACACAGCTCCTGGAGTCGGTGGCCCCCACCGCACAGGTGCCCCTATATTTCTGTGAATGACACTCTTCCCCTCTCTCCTGGAACTGTTTAATTTCATTGCCATTCAGGATGACTTCAATCCGCTAATAAATGAACCCTGAGAAAGATCATAAATCGATGATTAGTTTACCTACTTGCACGTGGTATCCAGTCTTAACTCCTTTAATTGTTCCCAGAGCAACAAGAGCCTTGTCATCTGTATGTCAACCACATACTCCTAATTGGTTGGCAGTTAGCAACTGAGAATTTCTCTGTGCCAGGAATTAGGAATTTAGGATACAACTTTGAACAAAACAAACAAAAAATATTTGGCTTTAACTTGGCATTTTCCAGTTTACTCATATTTACTAATAACTTAGAACAAGAGATTTAAAATTCCAAGTACATTTTTCACCCCTTTTAGTCATATTTATCCCTTCTCCGTACACATGCACACGTGCATACACATTCACACATACACACACACTCAGCTGTTTAAAATCTGGAGCATTTCATGGTTAATACTAAAGCTGTGCTCCTAATTTTGACTGTCTCCATTCATTACTTTTCTGCTAAAGATTGTCAACTACATGATTTTAGATTTTTTTTATAATATTTGCTTTGTTTCATAACTCCATATCTAGTCACAAATTTATGAAATGGGGGAACATAAAGAATAAGGAGTAAAACCTTAAAATTTTCCAGCAAGAGAAACCCTAAGAAAATAGACATTTGTGGATGTTGAAATAATAAGAAATTTACACACCCACAAATGTCCATTGAGAAAACTACTAAGTGGGCATTTGAGAGGGAGGAAGTAACATGGAGGCAAAAATCACAAATGCAAGAAGTGGCAAATATTTTGATAAATTTCACTGACTACTGATTGCAGAAAGAACTGGGCTTTTAGCATGTATTTTTTTTTTTTTAAGATGATACACCTCTGGCAAAGGGTAATTGAAGCATGTAAAGATTTGTTAAAATAAATTTTCACTGAACTAACATTGG